CAACACCACACAACACCACACAACACCACACAACACCACACAACACCACACAACACCACACAACACCACACAACACCACACAACACCACACAACATCAACCTCCCAACGAACCTCCCAATCCCAACGCACATTCCCATCCCTGTTCAACCTCTCCATCGACACGCACATCAACATTACCATCAAATCTCCACATCAACCTCCCCTAGTCAACACCCACACCAACAACCTTCACACCTTCCAATCTGAAAACAGCCAAAGTAGCGTATTATACAGTCCAGACAAACCAGCAATTCACCATAGCATACCGCACTACCACTACCACACTACTATACACTACTACCATTCTGAATATCTCTCTCTATTAGCACATCTTCCATTTCCTTCCATTTTTAGCTTAGAACCCCGTCTACCATAACCCCTACCAACCCCAAACAGCATACCCCCAACCGGTATCAATCCCAAACACATTATTACTAACAAACCCCCCTCCCCCTTTCTCCCCTCATAAACCTCTCCTAAACCCCCTCCAAACCCCCTCCTAAACAATTCCATAAACCATAAACCACAAGCAAGATAGATATACAAAGAGCATACAACAAAACAAACAGATCTAAAAGACCGACAAAGACCCACTTGGCTAAACGATTGGAAGTCGGTATATACATGTTATTCTACTATCATTACTACCATCATTATTATTACTACCATATTTCTTTATGACTATAACTATAACTATAACTACAACTACAACTATACCTACAACTCTAATTACTAGTATTATTAGCATTATCAGCAGTCTAGACAAGGTGTTTTTCTTCTTTTCTTTTTGGACAAGGGGGGGAGGGCGGACAGTTCGGTGTTTAGTAAGAATTTGGCCAAAAGGTAAAAAAAAAACAGAGGGGGGGGGGGGGGGGGGCTATAAGACGGGGTTTGGGTAAGTGGTAGAATGGATTTTTTGTGTGAGGTTCGAATGGAGCAGTATATCGAGGAGATAGATGGGTTGGATCGGGTGACTCGACTGGATGGATATATAGGTCTAAGAGTAAGAAGTTGGTATAATCATTTCAAGTAATCGAGCAAGCGGACTTTTGTAATGCTGTATCATAATCTGAACCCCCCTATCCCACGCCACGCCACCCACCACCCACCCTCCCCCTAAAAAGAAAAACCCCCTACCCCAAACTCTGCACCTTCAACACAAACGCCCCCCGCTCAATCGTATTAACAACAATAAACCCCGACTCAAACAACGCATACGACGACCACGTCCCCACAAAATCAATAACCCCGCCATTCGGCTCCGCATCATCCTCCGGGTAAACATCAAAAAACGCCACCTCCTTCACCCCCGCCCCGGTCGGATCCGCGGGGATAGACGAGACATCCAAGATCCGGAACCCAGAGCCATAATTACTCTGATACGCATACTTGCCCGCGATATACTGGTTATGATCGACCGAGTAGGCGGTGCTCTTGTAGTAGCCCGTCTGCCTGGGTCGTTCCAGCTCGGAGATATCCCAGATATAGGTGACAGGATGGCCGTCGGCCGCAGGGCCAACGCGGTCAAACTCGTCGTATTCGTCGTCCATGATCAGGTATTCCTGCCAGTCCGGGTCGAGCACCCAGCCCTGGTGGGTGTAGGCGGCGCCGTCGTAGGAGGTGACGGAGACGAGGTGCGGGTCGAGCTTGTCGGACATGTCGTAGATGGAGAGCGAGTCTTCGTTGTAGCCGTAGCAGATCTCGCGGCCGGCGTACTTGGCGTCGGGCCCCTTGTACATGAGGCACTGGGCGTCGTGGACGTAGCCGTCGATGGCGGCGCAGCCGGGGGAGGTCGGGTGAGCGGGGTCGGACATGTCGATTGCGATGAGGCCGGAGCGGCATTTATCTGTGCGGGGGGCGGCGCCGACGGAGTATGCGAAGCCCGAGGCCGGGTTTGCGACGACGTTGTGGGTGCGGCCGATGGGGAGGTCGGTGAAGATGCCGGTGACGTCGGTGTCGGGGTTGAAGGTGACGGGGTTGCGGTTGTCGAGGTCGAGCAGCTTGGTCATGTCGAAGATCTGGATGTTGTGCTTTTCGGCCTCGGAGCCGATGATCATGTAGTTGTTGTAGCCGCGGATTTCGCGCCAGATCTCGGGCTCGGCGGCGCTGGTCTTGGGCAGGCGGCCGAGGTATTCGAGCTTGCCGGCTGTGGTGACTTGGGCGAAGGCTGCGCCGTCGGCTTGGGCGATGGCGATGAACTCTCGGCCGTCGTCGGATGTCCAGCCCCATGAGGAGGATCCCTCGCCGGTTGCGCTGCCTAGAGCGGCGTGGGAGAGGAAGTGATGGAGGTTGAGCTGGGACGTTGTTAGTGCTGTCTGTGATGGACATGGAGAGGGTGCTTCGACATACGTTGTTGCAGCGAAAGGCCAGTGTAGCATTGTTCCTGAACGGCTGGGCTTTTCCATCCCGACAATTGGCAAAAGGGAGCTCGATGTATTGCTCCGAGTTCATGGCGCCGCTGTCACGCTGACGCTGGAATGTGCCTCGCTTGGTGGCCATGATTTCCATGTGCATAGTCCCGCTGTCGTACTTATCGGCTGCAATGCTAAAGTCCTTTGGCTTCTCCTTGCACAACACACTGCCTGCCAGGGCGGCAAAGGTAGCGAGACGATACATGATGAGAGTCACACAAACGAAAGTCCACTCGTTGTCGTGTGAGAGAGTCCAGAGGAGGTCCAGGGCAGAGATGATCGATCAAGTAGTTCTACCCAGAGGAAGGCTGGAAGGAGCTGGTCAATCGGTCCCAGAGCATCTCCTTTTGTAGGCCCCCAGGCCGCAGTATATGGCAAGACATGCTGTCCTTCCTTATCGACATCTTTGTATACATGGCATATCACTGCTCCAAGGAGAAGGTCACATACGACCTAGGTCGACCCGATGATTGATGAAAGGACGTTACTGGTCCAGGGATCAAGCATTCCGCCTTGCCCCAGTCTGCCGAGAAGGCTGATCTGGAGCCAAGACGAGCAGCGTGCTTGGCGTACTCCGCCCGTTTGTGGATGGATGCAGCCGAGCACCATCGATCAGCCACTCGCTTTATAAACACATACCTATTATGAATGTAACGATTCTTCCTGCTGTCTATCAGTCTCTCATCGCCTGCTGCCCCTCTCTAATTCTGATGCTCTCACACAGCAGATGTAGCCGTGTATCAATCGACCCACTGGACATGTTGTTTACCTGACAAGACAGGAGTCCCCTGTCATGGGCATCTATCTCCGCGCCAAGTGTACTAGTCGGTAGATGGTATATGAATGGATCGCAAGCATCGAGTAGGCTACCCTGGGCAGATCGACATATCAGGTAGGTAGTACGCAAACGGAGCCGGAGCTCGCGACAGGGCTGTGGTCAGCATTCCTCCCTTTTTTGCCTAATATGAAACATTTTCGATCGACGTTTACTTTCAAAACAATTCGATTGTTGGAATTGTTCAATGGGAGATAATTCGGAAAATATATCCTCCCTATCAGTCACTGCGCACGACAACCGGCTCGAACAAGTGAATTACACGCCAGAATCTTTATTCTTACTACCCGGTATCATACGTGCATAACGTTGATCATGAATGTGCCACCCGGAGAGTCCTAGTCCTGTATGGACAAACGCATGATGCCCCTCATCACGCTCCTATAATGAAAACTTGCCTACGACGCCGTTGCTTATGCATGACCGCAAAAAGGGAAATCATAACAGTCATGGCTTGGAGCCTCTTATGCTGCTCCGAAAACACTTCTCACACGGCGGAGAATTTCCGCACCCATAGCTCTCCGTGTACCCACCGTTCGAGATGCCGCATCCTTGTTCTCTGCTGCTCTTCTGAGGAGATAGTTCAAACACTCCCGCGTCGTACCCCAGGACACACACTTGTATGCGAACGGCGTATCGACATCTGCAGGCCGTGATACACCCCTCGTCTTGTCCAGTAGGTTGCAGCTGACCTCATCTGCCATGCCCAGAAGTTGTGCGTATGCAAGCTTGATCCGTGGCTCGCCATTTGCAGCCTGCGCATCGCGAATCGCGCGCGCTTTGCGTACAGACTCTGCATTATGCGTTGCGATAACCAGCTCGACCTCTGGAAATGTGGTATTTTCTGGATCTGCGGGACGGAGCATGTCACCGTACTGCCGCTTGAGCAGGGATTCAGTCAGTTCGTCGTAGCATTTGTGCGTCTCCTCAATGGTGGCCCAGAGAAGATGTCGCGGTTCGGAATTCAGATATGCGCCTCTGACGAGCTTCACACCAAGGATATAGTTATGCTTCTGTGCTTCGGCCAGGTCACGTGCAAGATTCACGGGTGTGCTGCGGTCGTAGGCTTGATAGGTGGTGTATACTATGGCACGGCCTCGTTCCTTGGTGTTGTATTTGCGCTGCAGAGCGCGGTTCCACGAGTCAATGCCGATATTTGTGGCGTGTTCCTCTGCGTCATTGAGAAGCATCACGCCTTTCGCAGAGGCTCGGTCACAGAGCTGCGTGATTGCGTCGTGCATAAGCGGCGTGGGTGGCTTATTCTGTTTTAGAAGCTGTAGGGCATATGGGCCCAGGCCTGACCATCTATTGGCGAGATCAGTATACGCTCACGAACTGGCATGTATGGTTTTGACTCACTTGATGCCGACAAAATCGCCGGGCGCGCAAATCTCGACCGTTTGTAAAGCACCCTTTCTCCAATGCTCAACGGCCGCCTTGGTCTCGGCACTATCAGCACTCAAAGACGACTGGCCTTTCTCACCAAGGACTTCCAGAGCATATTCGAGAATAACGCCCTTGTAGCCCAGGTCCTTTATTCGAGCCATAGTGCTTTGTATCTCTGCCCTATTTTCTCCCGCACAGAATTGAGCATAGAATGTCTTCTTCAGCAGCCACGAGAGAATGGGATTCTTGTCCACATTGAGTAAAGCCGACTTTGACTGTAGCATGCGCGTCAGGAGAGCGAGACATGCGTCTAGCAGTATGGGCGACGAGGACATGGCTGTGATGACATAGCTTCGTAGGACATCGGAGGCAGGGAGTCGGGATAGGGGACTGGTAATTGGAGGTTTGGATACGGCATGGTGAGGAGGGATTGAAGGAAACGGCGAAGCTGGAAGGGCGACACTCCGAGGCTTGCTGGATTGGACTGAACGAGAGAAGCTGAGGACGTATGTCGGCGTCAAAGTCCGGAAATGTCTGGCAGCGTGCATCTGAGATCTCATTGTGGCCATATGTAGGGAGAGAACGGAAAATGAGAGCAGGAGATGGAGAAAAGAGAGGGGAAGCTGGTGATGAAGCGGGAGGGGGGACTTGAAGGTGAAGTTGATATAAGAAAGGTACGAACTGGCAGGCACGGACTGGGGTTACGCGACTTATCAGGTCTCGTGCCTACTTGGGTACTTACTATTAAGTAACTTGTCTGCACTGCAGCTGAGGAGGTTATCTGTTACTCGACCGACCGATATAAAGCAAAAGACGCGATCTATTGCGAAGTGGACTGGGAGGCATCGAACGGCTAGCATCGGCTTGCATGACCTGAGTACCAGAGTCCAGTAACCAGTAGCAGTCTGAGAATTGCCTAATCAATCCATTAATTAGTGGTATGAATGTCATGCCCAGAGTCCCAAGTATAAACATTTCCCCGGCCTCTCCGATGACGTGAGCGGGGAGCATTCTCTCGTCGATGGAAGCAGTGCAAACACGATGCTACACTCTATATACGCTGAACGCTGCCAGCACTACCCATGAGTATTCCATCACCAGAACAAAGCTGATTGCTTGTCTCCCTCACTTCACTTTACTTCACGTCGCGTCCCATCACGGCAAAATGAATAGATTCGAGACCGATATAAGTCCGTTTGATCTGTCCAAGAGCCGCATCTAACCGATATCTGTGCCCCGCCCATGCTCCGATACCGGATGGATTGGACGATTGATAACGGAGTTTTGGCAGTGGAACTTGGCCTTTTATGGATCACCGATGGACAATTAACAGTCAGAAGACAGTAAACACGTAGAAGTAGACAAAGTGTGATGATGATGATGGTGATGTTGACAGACGAGACGAGACGAGGACTTAGTACTCACTAATCAGGTAGGTTTCCAGTCGCCTAGCACTAACCTGTATTTGGAGTGACTCGCACGTGATCTGAGCTAGCGTGTCAACCGCCAAACTTTTCTCCAGTCCTTCACTTCTGACTTCTGCTACGTGCCAACGTCAACAACACCACCATCGCCATCTTCGACTTCTATTCCAGGCATATATCTCGTGCATCGACCGAAGCAATGATAAACCTATGCTGTCTTGATCACCTGCTCGTCGAGTATATGACAGTCCAGATGTCCTGGTGAAGTGTGACGCTGTATCGTCACTTCATGCACAGTATCATTGGACACTCGCAACAAACATGCGCACTATATCCTACGCACATGACAGACTCCTCATCTGCAGCAGCATCTCAATTCAGCACCTCCAAGCAACGCAAACACTCAACCCGCCGCTTCAAACCCTATAAGCTCCTTCGGGAATGTGCGCTTGACGTCTTGCGTTTTGCTTGACCCAAGCCACAGGCGGGAAAGCTGAGTCTGGACTGGGACGCCTTATCCGCGCTCCTGTATCCATCCCTTTGCAAGATCAAGATTTACCTACGGCCCCTCATAGTTCTCACTACTTGACCTCTCGCGGGACTCTTTTATACCGAGAGTGGGACTCCTTGCGTGCCGACATTCTGCGGGTCTCTTTACTTCGTTATCACAGTTCCCCTCATTTAGGTCACTGTTTTGTGATTGTGAACTTTGGTGAATGCTGGGCTAGAGCCTGGGGTTAGGGTTAGAGTTGAAGTGCGTGGTTGCATGACGGGGTGTTTGAGAGAGCATTACGCGGATCGGAGTCATCTTGAGTATGTTGTAGGTCTGATGGCTTTGATATCACATAAATCCTACGTCGACAGCAATAGCAACATGCAGCTAAACATTTCACATATCCAAAGATTCTGCGTACTGTTGTATATGTGACGTCATTGGACTAGACTCCCACTGCATACATGGTTAAGTAGCTGCCATGCCACCAACAACAACACATAGCCAACCCACTTGCTTACATCCGTATGCCAATCAAGCAAATTGTATAGACAAGTTACACGACACGCAATCTACACAATCAACATCCGCCAGCATGGGCACAGAGTCCTCCGACCAGAAGCATCCCCAGTTCGGCCATCTCCCCCTGGCAACATCGGGACCACAGGAATGCGCACTCACCGGCAACGCCCTGCTGCGCAACCCATACTTCAACAAAGGCTCCGCCTTCACGGCCGAGGAACGCGAGACGTTCAAGCTCCACGGTCTGCTCCCGTCGAATGTGCAGACGCTCGAGGAGCAGGTCGAGCGCGCGTACAAGCAGTACTGCAGCCGCCAGGATGATCTGGCGAAGAATACGTTCATGACTAGCATGAAGGAGCAGAACGAGGTGCTTTACTACCGGGTATGTGGCAGTGGATGGCTACTTTTATGGGAGGGTGTGTGCTAATATCTGGTAGCTCATCCAAGATCATCTCAAGGAGATGTTCCCGGTCATCTACACGCCCACCGAGGGCGAGGCGATTGCCAATTACTCGCGCTTGTTCCGCCGACCGGAGGGCTGCTTTCTGAACATCTACGACATGGACCGTATAGACGACAATCTCGCACAGTGGGGTGCCCCTGACGATATCGATCTTATTGTGGTATCGGACGGAGAACAGGTGTGCAGATAGTCGATCATGTAGCCACCACCACTGACACCAACAAACCCAGATCCTCGGCATCGGCGACCAAGGCGTCGGCGGAATCCTCATCAGCATCGCAAAGCTCGTCATCTACACCCTCTGCGCCGGCATCCACCCCACACGCACCCTCCCCGTCGTCCTCGACGCCGGCACAAACGTATGCACCCCCTTCACCCCCTATTCCCCAAACACAAACCCCCCTTTTCCACACCCAAACTCACACCCCCAACCAGAACAAAGCCTTCCTCCAAGACCCCCTCTACCTCGGCCTCCCCAAACCGCGCGCCCCAACCCAACAATACAACACCTTCATCGACACCTTCATCCGCTCCGCCCGCACCCACCACCCAAACGCCTACATCCACTTCGAAGACTTCGGCCTCGCAAACGCCCGCACAATCCTAGACAAATACACCCCCCACATCGCCTGCTTCAACGACGACATCCAAGGCACCGGCTGCGTCACCCTCGCCGCCCTCACCGCCGCCCTGCACATCACCCGCACCCCCTGGGCCCACCTACGCGTCCTCGTCTACGGCGCCGGCACAGCAGGCACCGGCATCGCAGACCAGATCCGCGACGCGATAGCCGTGGAGACGGGGCGCGAGGCCAGCGACGCCGCCGCGCAGATCTGGTGCGTGGACAAGCACGGGCTTCTCCTCCGCTCCGACGGCGAGCGGCTGACCTCCGCACAAGCAAGCTACGCCCGCCGCGACGAGGACTGGACACACACACCCCACACCGACCTCCTCAGCATCGTCCACGCCGTCAAACCGCACGTCCTCATCGGCACGTCCACCCAGCCCGGCGCATTCACCGAGGCCGTCATCCGCGGCATGACCTCGCACGTGCCGCGCCCCGTGATCTTCCCGCTCAGCAACCCCACACGACTGCACGAGGCGCAGCCAAGCGACATTTTCAAATGGACGGGTGGCAAAGCGCTGATCGCCACCGGCAGCCCGTTCCCACCCGTCGAGCACGACGGCGAGACGTACGAGGTCGCGGAGTGTAATAACTCGGTGTGTTTCCCGGGGATCGGGCTCGGGGCGGTGCTGTGTCGGACGAGGCTGCTTTCGCCGGCGTTGTTGGTTGCGGCGACGAGGGCGCTTGCGGCGCAGGCGCCTGCGCTGAGGGATCCGAGGAGGGGGCTTGTGCCTGATGTTACGGAGGTGAGGGAGGTGAGTGTTAGGGTTGCGGCGGCGGTGATTAGGGAGGCGGGTAGGGAGGGACTGAGTCGGGTGGGGGGGATTCCGGAGGGGGAGGCGGAGTTGGAGGGGTGGATTCGGGAGCAGATGTGGGAGGCTCGGTATCGGGGTTTGGAGCTGGTTGGGCGGGAGAGGGCGAGTAGGGTTGCGAGGGGGGAGGCTGGGGCGACGGGGAGTCGGTTGGCGAGGGAGTAGATGGATGGGGTGAGAAAGAGGAGTGGTTCATCGGTCTACGTCTATATTCGATATCATGTCACATCTACATGGTGTCTATACAGTCGACGCCCTGAACCCACGCACCAAGTCCCCCTTCAAATCAACCCAGTCCTCGATCCCCACACTCACGCGCAACAGCCGCTCGTCCACGCCTTCGTCGCTCATGCGCCGCCACTCGATCAGGCTCTCCACTCCGCCCAGACTGGTGGCATGGTGGAACAGCGTCAGCTTCGAGGGCAGGGCGCGCGCCGCGCCGGCAGTCTTCATGTTGATTGCGAAGACGGGGCCGAAGCCGCCGGGCATTTGCTGCTTGAGCCAGTGCATGTCTGCTTTCTGGAGGCTGGCGTGCTGGACGCTGTGCACGCATGACCTTACGATTGCTGCTTCTTCTTCTTCGTCTTCTTTCTCCCCCTTGCCATCCTCCCCTTTGACCCCCTGACTCTCCCCCCTTAAACACCCATCCAACCACCCCACCAGCCTCTCCGCACTCTCACTCTGCCTCCGCACCCGCAACTCCAGCGTCCTCACCCCCCTGATCCCAAGCCAAGCCTCCATACTCCCCGGCACAGCCCCCAGGAAAACCCTCTCCACACCCAACCCCTCAACCCACTCCCTCCGCCTCACCGCCAGCACCCCAAGCAACAAATCGCTGTGCCCCCCAATATACTTCGTCCCAGAATGCATCACCACATCAACTCCATACGCCCCAAACGGCTCCTGCAATCCCGGCGGGCCGAGCGTCGCGTCGACGGACACCCATGCCCCGCGCTCCCTCGCCCTCTTCACAAAGAACGCTAAATCGCGTGCTTCGCCGGTGGGATTAACGGGTGTTTCGACGTGCACCAAGTCCCCCTTCCCCAAGCCCGCTGCATCCCAGGCTTCGTCGTCAGCGAAGAGGTCTACAACCTTGCAGCCGGTGAGTTTGCGGTATATGCCCAGCACGCCGTGGCAGCCGTGGTAGCCGCCGGAGATGGCGACGGTTTTGGGGTGGAGGTAGACGAGCAAGGCGTGGAAGGCGGCGAGGCCGGAGGTGTAGGCGAGGACCGGGGCGTGCAGGAGGGCGGAGAGGATTGTTTCGAGGCGGGTTGAGGTTGGGGCGGAGACGCGGGAGTAGATGTGGGTTGGGTTTGCGAGGGTAGGGTTCTGTGGTTGTGGGTTAGGAGTGGTTGAACGGAGAGGGGAGGAGGATGATGGTACCTCGTCGCCGTTGATCGGGACCAGGTCGTCTGGGTTCTCCGGGTAGCGGAAGGTCGTGGAGACGTGGAGGGCTGGGGCGACGTCTGTTGTTGAGTTGAGGATGTCGTCGGCGTGGAGGGCGAGGGTGGACAGGGCGTGGGTTGTGCTGTTCAGGCTGGCAGTGGTTTCTTCTTCGACATGGGGATCCATGATGATGGTGTTGGTTGGACAATTACTGTAGTAAGGTACGATGCGATGATGGATGTTTCTAACCAAGTGGCAGCCAGCTGCGTAGTGAGTAGGTTCAATGTACTATTCACACCATCCAACACTACCTACTGTCTGCCGTCATGCTAGCGTGGACGTGGGTGAAATGCCTGTTCATTAGCGCGGGGTAGTGGGGTAAGCGTGCCTACGGTTTCCCTAGTTGAGCGACGGCGACGTCCATTGATGCAGGCTAATCACCATAAACAAAGACGAAAAGAAGGCATGCAGCACATATACAGGCGCGGACAGTTTGGCAGTATTCAATTGGACGGTTTCATTGTCTGAGAGCTGCTGCTACAGGTGTGCGGTTGCTGGTTTGTACCGAGATGCTACAGCTCGTAAACAGCTCGCTAGTATTGTATCTTTAGGGACAAGATTCTTTGGGCCGTCCTTTATAGTATTCCGGACTTGTCGATGGTAGGGGCCTTGGGGTATTTGACAGCGCCAGAGTCGCTTCCCGCGGCCTCGATACCCCGGACAACCTTGTATGAAGCAACGTCACCGTCAGGGACTTCTCCGAAGACGACGTGCTTGCCATCCAACCAGCTCGTTACGACAGTGGTGATGAAGAATTGAGAACCGTTGCTACGACACACCTTAATGTCAGCTCACTCTATCGGGAGTGTGATACATGGCACGTACGTGTTGGGCCCAGCGTTGGCCATGGACAGAAGGAATGGCTTTTGGTGCTTTAGCTTGAAGTTCTCATCGGCGAACTTTTCACCGTAGATGGACTTTCCGCCAGTGCCCTACGCCAATGTCAGTAGTTGTATCTTTGGCTGCACGGTGTTGAGAAGTCGCATACGTTACCGCGAGTGAAGTCACCGCCCTGGAGCATGAACTTGGGGATGACACGGTGGAACTTGGAGCCAGCATAGCCAAAGCCCTTCTCGTTTGTGCATAGGGCGCGGAAATTCTCGGCAGTCTTTGGTGTAACATCGTCGAAGAGGTCGAAGTTGATGCGTCCGCGTTGCTCTGAAGGGATTGATGATTAGCACTCGAGCATCAACGAAGCGACGGCAACGACATACCCTTGACGTCGCCTTTCCTGGTCACGTTGCCAGCATTGTCAACCTCGACCTCGGGGCCAACCCAGCTAACGTCGAAAAACACCTTGACAACCATGTTTGAGGGTGATGGGTGGAAGAATCTCTTTGACGCAGGAGTGGCGTGAAAGAATGGAGAAGAGGAGGGGGAGGAGGGGAGAAAAGAGTTTCTGAGGATGGAGGGGCAGCTCTGGAAAGTCTTCATGGTGGGGGTGGACTGCGGGGTTCATGTCAGCGCCTTGTTGCCTGAAAACCTGAGAACCTGAATGTTTGGAGCTCTGCCAGCCAGCCAGCCAGCCAGCCAGGAGGTGCCCAATGCCAGAACAGACAGAATGCCATCCATTCACTTTGCACGTCAGGAGTGTGGTGTGGGCCTTGCATCCATCTCCCCCTGACGGCCGGGCAGAGTGTAGCAATGCATGAAGACTTACCACGGGATCTGGTCCGGATTGCGCCGAGATGTGGAAAGGTAACCTTGGGAAGCTCTGAAGATGAAGCTTAGAAAGGAAGCTCTGCGATAGTATGGCGCACTGGTCGCGTCGATATTACTCTGTCGAAGGGGAGTATTACGCTGGAGATGCACAGCTTTAATATGTACAAGGCAATTAGATGAGATTGCAGCTGCACTGAAATGGAATTGGAGCTGTTGATTGATGATGCTGCGAAGAAAATGTTCTCGACATCCCTGAGCTCTGACCTATAGGGAGGAAGACGCAGACCACGGAGCGGCTCTGACTCGCCGAGGATGGTCAGGTGACGGTCCTCGCACCTGCATGAAACACGTCGATTCGGCCTTTTAGCAAAGAGAAATGTACGATATTATAGCTAGAAGCAGTAGAAAATTCAATTACATCCAGATTCGTATACCTTAAGGTCAATCTTGATCATTGGAGTGGTCTGCCCCAAACTGTTCTCGGCTCTTTCACGTGACCACACTCGACCATGACTAAGCTGCCACCTCAGGCATGGAAGCTGGAGGCCGGCGCCGGGACCGGGGCTGCCAATATAGAATGTAGACAGGTCAGCACGCATTAAAACCATACCAGCAACACCACTCCCACAAGAAACTGTCCACGCCTCAGGGCCATTTGGCGCCATGGATTTCGCAAGTCTCAAAGACCAAGTGAGCAATCTCTCGCTCTACGACATCAAGGCGGGCGTCCGTAAGGTCCAGAATGGTAGGTTTACACAGGAGCCAGGGGAGAATTGAACATTTGTTGATTCCGTCAAGCCGTTATGAACTTCACAGAGATGGAAGCCAAGGTAGGTCCAACATCTCGAACAGAAAAGATCGAAGAGCCCTGCTAACCATACATTGTAGGTTCGCGAAGCCACTAATAACGAACCTTGGGGTGCCTCCTCTACACTCATGCAAGAGATTGCCAATGCTACTTTCAACTAGTATGTCGTTGCACAACTACAGTCAGCAACGCAGTCTAAAGCCTGTCCAGCCAATTATTGAACGAGATCATGCCCATGATCTACAAGCGATTTACTGAGAAAGCGGCGGAGGAGTGGAGACAAATATACAAAGTATGCCGGCCCTCATGCTCATGAAAACATTGCTTATAACTTGCTAGGCCCAGCAACTGCTCGAGTTCCTCATCAAGAATGGTTCGGAACGGGTGATTGACGACGCGCGGTCTCATATTTCTCTCCTCAAAATGCTGCGACAATTTCATTACATCGACCAGAATGGAAAGGACCAGGGTATCAATGTTCGAAACCGAGCAAAAGAGTTGGCTGAGCTTCTAAGCGACGTTGACAGGATTAGACAAGAGCGGAAGAAAGCAAGAGCAACTAGGAACAAGTATGGTGGCGTCGAAGGAGGTATGGGATTAGGAGGAGGAATGTCTAGCAGCAGTCGATATGGAGGTTATGGAAGTGAAGATGCAGGTGGCTATGGCGGCTATAGTGGCGGTGTATACGGCGACGGTGGTGGATTTGGAGGCAACACATCTGGCTTTCAAGACACACAGGCCCGGCGAGATCGCTTTGAAGAGTACGACGAAGGCGATGATGGAGCGGCAACTACTGCTGGTCGGAGTAGGACGGGTGCTGAGGCATCAACCGCGAAAGAGCCCAAAAAGCCAGACCCACCGAAACCAAAAGCCCCTGAAGTCGATCTATTTTCGTTCGACGAGCCTGCCGCTCCGTCTGCACCCAGCGGCATGCAAGCAACACCCGCCGGAAACGGCTTGGCTGACGACGACGACGAAGACTTTGACGATTTCCAGTCTGCCGCTCCAGCGCCCTCTCAGCCACCGCAAGTTCAAGCCAAGCAGGCGTTTAGCATACCAGCCCCTTCAACAACATCTACCACCAGCTCTGCCACACAATTCGCTGCTCCACAGCCACGATCAGGAGCTCAAGGGGCCAGCTTGAATGACATGTTCTCATCGATATCTCCTGCGCCAGGTCAAACACAGCGGCCGACCGGCTACCAAGCCTCGCAGCCAAACTACTTTACCTCTGTCCCAGTCGCAAACAATCAGCCGGCGTCTGGGACCAGCACGCCTTCCCTGATGTCACCAGGCGCGCAGAAGCCTGCAGCATCAAAGTCGTCTGCTGGAGCAGATCCTTTCGGTTCTCTGCTCGCTGGATCCAATCTGAAAAAGGCTGGCACTCCGTCGCAGAAAGGCATGTCCATAGCCGACATGCAAAAACAAAAAGCAAGCGCGGGTATTTGGGGGGCGCCTGCCTCCTCACAGCAGGGCGGTGCTGCTTCGTCAAACGCCAAACCGACGCAACAGGCTGGAGCCTTTGGTGATCTTCTTGGTTAAACATGAATAGGTTGGTCTCAAAACATACGTAGAGAAAATCATCTGGAAGACAGAGATTGTATACCCTGTCCTGTATTGCAGTTCGCCCCAAGGTTAATAAACTCGATAGCACGTGACGAGAAGTAACCGCTTCCACTGTTTCTTCTTCTTCTTCTTCCCACACGTAGCTGCTTTAAACCAGTTTCTGCCGTCTGCCGCAGTCTAAGCAATCGTGCTCCCCCTATCCTATCCACACATGCACATAGCCAACACCAAACCCATTCTCCCCTTACCCCACCTACCCGCCCAAACAAACCCGCCCAAACAAACCCAATAAATCAAAACCAAAATAGATAAATAAAGACAGACAAACTCCTCCCCCCCCCTCCCCCAGAGTTAAAATCTCAAAACTCCCCAACCGTATAGTCAACAACAAGCACCCGCTCCACCACCTCCCCGGCCCGCGCCTTGAACGCCGCATGCACCGGGTCCGCATTCACGTAGTAGTCCCGGTCTGCCAGGCTCTCGAACCCGACGATGAAGGCGTGTGTCATGCCGGCCTGGTGGGGTTGGGGTTAGTTGGTTAGTTAGTTGGGGGTGTTAGTATGTGTGTGGAAGAGGGCAAGAAAGGGGTAGGAAAGGGGGATGAGGGGATAGGAAAAGGGGATAAGGGGGGACAAGGTACTCACAGCAGCCCCCTCCTGCGAATTGTCCCGCCCGCCGTGCATCTCGGTGATGTACGGCTTGTTGCCTGCGCCCGCGGGGTCTTTGCAGGTGTGTTGGAGGGCGAGCATGTTTGTTACTATCTAGGGGCCGAGGGTGGGGTTAGAGGTTGGTTGGTTGTGTGTGTGTGTGTGTGTGTATGTTTTGGTGCAAGGCGGGATCAATGTATACAGTACTTACATCCTGCACTGCTTCTGGGCTAGCGGTAGGCTTGAACTTGAAGAGGACGATGTGTTTTATTAGGCCCACTTTTGGGGATATTGTGGTTTTGATAGTGAGGTGTGGGATTTGCGAAGGAGGGAGTTATTGTTTTTCGGTGCGATGGATGATGGAAGGGTGAGGGTGAGAGGGTTGTTATAGGGGGTTTTGGGATAGGGGGTTGTGGAGGGTATTGTGTGTGTGGATGATGTGAGGGGGTCTAGACTGTGGGAGGGCGCCGTCGGAGTTGAGGGTTGTGGAAATGGGATATTAGATGGTTTTAAGGTTCGGGGCTGGAGTGGGGTTGGGCTGGCACGGAGTGTGTTTTTTGTCTACGCCGCACGTGGAAGGAGTTACGTTTGAGGGTATTGCACGTTGTCTGGTTTGTTGGTTAAGTTTGTTAATTGACTGGTCTTGTTTGGAGCTTCCTTTGGGTGACTGCTTTGAAGATCATGGCGATGTATTGACTGGTAATTACGAGTATGAATTGACGACCGCGCATATCTCGTAGCGCCTTCCACCAAGGTTCTTGAAGCATTGTCATTATCGCGAACGCGCTGGTTGTGGCTCTTGCAACACCATTAAAGTGATATTGAATGGTACGATACTAACCCTTCCGTATCTGGAAAGAAGCTAGAGTGCCGAGCAGTACAACAACGTGTCGCGTCGATCCCGAATCAGATCGCCATCCCGCAAAGTCGACAAACTTAGTCGACACGATGCAGCTTTTCAGAAAAACGCATAACGCAGAAGCGACCGCTTCAGCAAACCGCCAAAACCTCGTTCTCCCGGACAACTTGCCTTGCTATATGATTCCGTACGGTCGGAACCTCAAGTTCTATGGCAGGGAAGCGGAACTCGACGAGATCAAGACCGTCCTTGATCCAACGCCACAGAGCGATGATCTCAAAGTGCTTTCGATTTGCGGCCTCGGCGGAGTTGGCAAAACACAACTTGCTCTGCAGTATGCAAATACGATGATGGAGTCGTATGACGCGGTAGCTTGGATACCTGCCGATACACAGGCCATACTTGTCCGGGCACTCGCCATGTTCGCTGCGAAGCTAGGTCTGATGAAAGACGGCAGCGAGGACGATCTACAGGCTGTTCAGAAGGTTCGAGACTGGCTTAGCACCGCCGGAAGGAGGGTTCTGCTCGTCTTTGATAATCTTGAGGACGTGCAGATACTGAGTCAGGTCTGGCCATGGGCTGGGAATGGATCTTTCATTATAACGACTCGCTCGCCGGCAGTCGCATCGGGACGAGCCAGGTGTGTATTGCACCTGAAGTCATTCGAGACGAGTACAGCAGTAAAGGTGTTGAATGAATTGACTGGCATTCAAGCTCTTGAAGAGAGCGAGAAGCAAGCTGCGATTGAGATCTGCCAGTCAATCGGCGGACTACCTCTAGCGATAGTCCACATGAGTTCCTTCATACAGGACCGTGGCTCCACCTACGAAGAGTTTCTAGATTTGTTCAAGAAGCACGCAGAAAGGATCCTTGCCAGCTCTCAGACTCAGGTCGATTACGATCATACTCTGTATACTGTATGGGACTCGTCAATGCAGTCCCTATCTACCAACGCAAAGACACTACTCAGCCTTCTCTCCTTTTTCGATCCCAACGCAATTCCAGAACGGTTTTTGACGAACCCCCAAAATCAAATTACTGATCCGCGGTTTGAGTTCTTGAGTGATGACTTCGCGTAAGCTCGCTTCTGAATGTGTGTAAAAGTTTCACTGACATACGTCGCAGCTTCGGCGATGCCGTCTCAGAGTTGATCACCAAGGCGTCCCTTGTCGACAGACTGACCTCAGCGAAGTCAATCTCCATGAATCGTCTTGTCAAGATTGTCTCTTCAGTACGAGTGCCAGAAGAAGAGCGCACAGTGTATTTCAATACCACGATCCAAATGCTGTCTAACGCATTCCCGAACACTTGGGACAGCAGAGTAGATCAACAAGGCCATGGATTCCAGTCATGGGAGACCTGTAGTGCTGTTGTTGCACACGTTTCCTCGCTCATGGTACTGCAGGAACAGTATGGCTTGGAAGCGACGAACACAGAAGCCTTTGCAGAGCTTGTATTCCGTATTGGCACGTAAGTCAACTAGCCTCCAGTAACAGCTCAACTCCCAGGATACTTACGCTCAAGTGTAGATACTTGTGGGAGAGTGAGCAGCCCCTGACTGCCAAGACGTTCTTTGAATATGGCCTGCACTTGGGTATTGACCCTGAGAGTCGAGTGTACGCCCATGTGTACCGCTTACTAGGTCACATTGCCCTCGACATCGCACAGCCCAGAGCCGCCCTTGCAGCATACCAGAGAGCATATGAAGTAACAGAGCTTCTCGATGGGCCCGAGTCCATCGCCGTCGGCGAAGTCTTAGATTCACTGGCATGCAGCTGCGCAGAAATCGGCGACGTACTCAGAGCTCGCGCATATCTCGAACGATCAGACGAGATCAACCAAGCACAAAACGGTCGAACTTCGAGCCGCACACAGGCCATCTTCGCACTCGCGTACCTACGCGGCCACGAACCAGAGGAAGCATTGGATGCGTTAAATCTGTGTTGGAGACTCCAGGGTAAGACTGGAAAGGAGATTAAGTACTCCCAATATCCAAAACATGCCGGGGACATCGTTCTTTATGCACGTATCAAATTCGCTCTGGGCCAGAAAGACGAGGCACGACAACTAGTGTTGAGGTCAATTGAGATGCGCCGAGGCATATTCAGTTCTAAAGGACCCCGTGTCGCAGATTCGCTCTTCATCCTGGCGAGGATGTTAGAGGATGAAGCAGAGGAAAACGCCGCGGCGAAGATGTATCGCGAGATTATCGACATGAATTGCGGTTCTGCGGAAATGAAGGGCCATCTCGCCCGCAGTCTTTGGTTTCTTGCTGGAGTAGAGGGGCGTCTAGGGAGAGCAGACTATGCGAGTGATCTAAGAAAACTTGCAAATGAAGAGCGAGCAAAGATCATGGGTCGAGAACATCTTGACGAGGACACAGATGAGGCTTTCATGAGTCTGGTCGGATGGATGCTTTGGTGAGGGTTTTGTATGTCTGTAGACATTATAGAAACGTCATTCATACTATGCAGAATCGACCCAACGCAATCATACCGTAAGTCTCAATTACAGGAGATCTTCAAACGCGACCTGGACCATATAGTACATATTATTCTTGGTGAAGCCGACCTACCAGCACATGGAAACGCCAAGACGCTAGTATTTATCAAGCTAGTGGGCTTAAGCGAAACTTCGCGCACCATTTTGAGTCGCACCTCAACTCGTTCAAGACGACTACCAACGAAGCGACGAAGCGCCCCGACAATTCCGGCACGATTTTAACTCATATATCGCAGAAATGTCTTCAAAAAGAGGGTATGTTGCTCCAACCCAGCTCTCAAGAGCTCACCGAGAATACTATGGCAAAAGACTGACATTAAAAACAGTCGCGGTTCCTCCTCCGGTAACAAGCTCAAGATGACGCTTGGTCTGCCAGTGTATGTCCCCGAGATTCTCGATTTCGCCTGTCCCATAACTCCATATACCTGAAGAGGCGGATAGAAGTTTTTCAAAAGTTGAATATCGGCTAATGTTTTTACAGCGGTGCCGTCATGAACTGCTGCGACAACTCCGGTGCCCGCAACTTGTACATCATCTCCGTGAAGGGTATCGGTGCGCGCTTGAACAGACTTCCTGCTGGTGGTGTGGGTGACATGGTCATGGCCACTGTCAAGAAGGGAAAGCCCGAATTGCGAAAGAAGGTCATGCCCGCAGTCATCGTCAGGCAAAGCAAGCCGTGGAGGAGAGCGGACGGTGTCTTCCTCTACTTCGAAGATAACGCTGGTGTGGTAAGTTGATACTCAAGAAATAGTCGGACACAGGACCCTCGAGGCAACCTGGAGAGAACGGCTATCGAGGGAACACAACCGCTGACATGTCGACAGATTGTCAACCCGAAAGGTGAAATGAAGGGATCTGCCATCACTGGACCTGTAGGAAAGGAAGCTGCCGAGCTGTGGCCAGTAAGTCAAAACTATCTCATGACTTTGTATCAATCTAACCTATCTTGCAGCGTATTGCCAGTAACTCAGGTGTGGTGATGTGAGCTTTGGTATTTCCCTGTTGATGTTCTTTATGAGGTTATCCGGGCATGCGCTACATGCATTTGGTGTCACGGACATGGGGTAGACTTTTGCTATAAAGAAGCAAGAGACCAAACCAAATCAAGCAAATAAATCAATTAGTCCAACACTCTGGAACCTGCGGACTGGAACGTGAACGGGAAATGACGTATTGACGAATATTGCTGATATCAACTGAGGTGCTATACCGTGATGTCAACCCGTGTGATTATGCATTCGTATCGCTGTTGAGATCATGGCGGCTACGGCTGAGGCACGCAAGGCTGAGGGCGCGAACAAGAACGCCCCACCGAGGGCCGCCCCTGAGTTTACCCAGCACTCTTTTCTTGAATCGCGTCGCTCTTCCGCCAACACCACAATGTCTTGATGCAAAAGTCCGTACTTTTACTCCGGCTCGTCCGGGTTCTATTTCCTCTTTCTGTTATTGGCACCGTGTATATTTACTTTTACCCTTTCTTCCACAAATGTCACTTCCCCGAGCCGTGGACCGCGCCCGACTGGAACGAGCAATGCGCCCACTATGTACGAGAACCACATATAGCACCCTTCCGACTCCTTGCACTTGGTGACCCGCAGCTCGAAGGAGACAGTTCCCTTCCTGGCGGTGCTATCGAGCCACCTCCCAGCATACCTTCTATATGGCGCGACACGTTGGGCTTGAGTGAGGAGCCACGCGCATGGGTTGACATACTTCAATACGACATTCCCGACCTGTTCGTGAAATGGCGGAAACAGATAGATCTCTTCGGCAACGACTTCTACCTCGCACATCAGTATCGCACCATGCGTTGGTGGACGCGCCCATCCCACATATCCGTGCTAGGGGACCTCCTTGGGAGTCAGTGGAGTACGGACGAGGAGTATGAAAGTCGATCGCAAAGGTTTTGGAATAGAGTCTTTAAGGGAGGACTCAAGGTTTCAACAGACATCACTTCACCGAATGAGACAACGGGCAGAGTGGAGGTGCTGGGGGACGACGTGCTTTGGGAACAACGGCTCATCAATATTGTGGGCAATCATGATGTTGGGTAAGTCCGCAGGTGACTAGAATACATGTCACATAGCGCTGACAGAGAATTAGATACGCCGGCGATCTGGATGAAACTAGAGTCGATCGGTTTGAAAGAGCGTTCGGCCAAGTTAATTGGGACATACGCTTTGAACTGCCGCAGTTCTCTTTAACGAACCTGAATCTAAATGAAACGACAGAAAAGATACCGTCGCTGCATATAATCGTCCTGAACTCCATGAACCTCGATGGACCGGTACTATCGGAGAAGCTACAAGGAGACACTTACAAGTTCATCAACGATGTCATAAGTTCCAGATCCGCTCCAGTTGAGGATCATACATCCGCCACACTACTGCTCACTCATATACCGCTGCACAAAGAAGACGGCGTCTGCATTGACGGGCCATTCTTCGACTACTTCCCATCAGAAGAAGGCGGGGGGATAAGAGAACAAAACCATCTTAGTGAACATGGAACCAAATCGGTGCTCCAGGGAATCTTCGGTCTCAGTGGGAACAAAGGAGCTCCCGGCAATGGCCTGGGCCGAAACGGTCTCATAGTAAACGGACATGATCACGAAGGTTGCGACGTATGGCATAGCATTCGCTATGGGGAGGAATCATGGCGAGCGGAGCGGTATCCGCCCGCGCAGAACACGAGTGAATCAATGTCCTTACCTGGCATCCGCGAAGTCAATCCCGGTCTTCGCGAGATCACACTCCGAAGCATGATGGGGGAGTTTGGTGGCTATGCAGGCTTGCTTAGTGCATGGTACGATCCGGGAGCTGGCAAATGGGAGTTTGCCTTTGACTACTGTAGCATGGGCATTCAGCACTACTGGTGGGCGATTCATATTGTGGACATCGTCACCATTATTTGTATTCTCGCCATCATCCCTGTCCGGCTCTTAGAGCGATTGCCAGACGGAAATGAAGGAGCGAGGCATAGGGGAGAGAAAGCTATGAAGCGCGATTAGAAACAAATTGTCCCAAGTAATGAACAAACAAAAGATATGTGGTTCTGCATTGTACGTGCTAATTGACTTGCGAAATCGATTCGGGACTTTTAAGCAAAGTGACATTTTAATACCGATCGTTTTCAGGGACCCTCTATAACCTTGGCAAGGCTGCAGATGCTTGCCAAGGATTATGTAATGAAGCGCCGCGACTTGATTATCTTCAACTAGGTAAAGTTTCACACGCGATTCCGTCGTTCGCCATCACCACCTCCACCTCCACCTCTACCATCGTTCTTCTTCGCGCGTGGAACTTTGGGTCGCAGAGGCTGGAACCATCTTAACAACTATCTAGCTACTGCGTGGGCAGTTTAGTTGGTGTGAGCTGCTACCGCCGCGTGGACTCAATCGCCTCCTCGCGAGCACCGTTGTGCTATCAAGGACGACTTATACTTGTCCACGAGTGGTGCGCATCTGCTGCCACGCAGAACCGACCTCTCCGCCGGCTTGACGAAACAACCTGAAATCCGAATATCACGAACACGATGTCTGGGCCACCACCACCGCCCCCTCCGCCCTTCGGTGCTTGGGCGCCTCCACCACCACCCCCTTCTTTTGGACCTCCAGCTGTGGGAGCACCACCACCTCCTCCAGGCTTGCCCCCAGCACAATCCGCTGCCGATCTGAAATTTGCGCAAAAGAAGAAGGAATGGCTACGGTACCAGCGCCAGAGGTTTGGTGAGAAGAGACGGGCTGGGGCTGTTGAGTTCCCAAAGGTCGACACACCACCAGAAATGCTGCGCAAAGCATTCAAGGACATAGGTGATGTGTCTCAAAAGAAGTTTGACAAAGACAAGCGGGCTTACCTTGGAGCCCTGAAGTTCATGCCGCACGCGGTCTTGAAGCTACTTGAGAATATGCCAATGCCATGGGAGGACAGGCGCTATGTCAAGGTGCTTTATCACGTCAATGGATGTCTCACCATCGTCAATGAGGTACCTCGGGTCATCCAACCAGTCTTTCATGCTCAATGGGCAAGCATGTGGGTGACAATGAGACGCGAGAAGCGGGACAGACGACACTTCCGACGCATGCGTTTCCCTCCCTTCGACGATGAAGAACCACCAATCAATTTCTCTGAGAACATAGAAGATATCACGGATCCACAAGAGCCGGTACAAATGGAACTTGACGGAGAGGAGGACGCCGAGGTCGTGGACTGGTTCTACGAGCACCGACCTCTTGCTGAAAGCGAACACACCAATGGCCCAAGTTATAGGAAGTGGCACATGAGCATTCGACAAATGGCCACACTCTACCGCTTAAGTCATCAGCTACTAAGTGATGTTGTCGATAAGAATTACTATCATATGTTTGATCTCAAGTCATTCTACACCGCGAAAGCACTGAACGTTGCGATTCCTGGTGGGCCGCGCTTTGAGCCTCTGTACAAAGATATCGATCCGAATGACGAAGATTTTGGGGAGTTCAACGCCATAGACCGTATCATCTTTCGTCAACCAGTTCGAACCGAATACCGAGTAACCTTTCCTTATCTATATAATTCTCTGCCCCGCAGTGTCAAGATTGCTTGGTATGCTCACCCGCAAACCGTCTATATCAAAGCAAACGATCCGGCTTTGCCGGCCTTCTACTTCGACCCCGCTATCAACCCAATCTCGTCCCGCTCTGTTGCGCCGAAGAACCTAACTGTGAGCCACGAAGATGAGGTATTTGGTAAGGGCAACAACGAGGATGATGAGTTTGAGCTACCAAACGAACTTGAGCCGTTTATGTCCGAAGAATCAGAATATACCGAAGATACAGCCGATGCCATCATGCTATGGTGGGCACCATATCCATTTGACCGTCGCTCGGGAAATATGGTGCGTGCCGAAGATGTCCCCTTGATCAAGCAATGGTACCTGGAGCATTCGCCTCGTGAAGGACCGGTCAAGACGCGTGTATCATACCAGAAACTGCTTAAAAGTTACGTCTTGAACGAGCTTCACACTCGCCCACCAAAAGCGATGAACAAGCAGAACCTCATGCGGACTCTGAAGTCTACAAAGTTCTTCCAACAGACGACACTAGACTGGCTGGAAGCCGGCCTTCAAGTTTGTAGGCAAGGCTACAATATGTTGAATCTACTCATTCACAGGAAGAACCTGACCTACCTGCATTTGGATTACAATTTCAATCTCAAGCCGATTAAGACGTTGACGACGAAGGAGCGAAAGAAGTCAAGGTTTGGCAATGCTTTCCACCTGATGAGAGAGATTCTTCGATTGACGAAATTGATCGTGGACGCGAATGTGCAGTATCGTTTGGGCAATATTGATGCATTCCAACTTGCCGACGGCATTCTCTACGCCTTCAATCATGTTGGTCAGCTTACGGGTATGTACCGGTATAAGTACAAGCTTATGCACCAAATCAGATCTTGTAAGGACCTGAAGCATATCATATACCACCGCTTCAACAGTGGACCGGTTGGAAAAGGACCTGGGTGTGGATTCTGGGCCCCAGCTTGGAGAGTTTGGTTGTTCTTCATGCGGGGTATCATTCCGTTGCTTGAACGATGGCTCGGAAATCTGCTGTCTCGTCAATTTGAAGGTCGTCATAGCAAAGGCGTTGCGAAGACGGTTACCAAGCAGCGCGTTGAATCTCACTTCGATTTGGAATTGCGTGCGTCTGTCATGGCGGACCTCGTCGACATGATGCCCGAAGGCATCAAGCAAAACAAGATTCATCTGATCTTGCAACATTTATCGGAAGCTTGGCGATGTTGGAAAAGTAATATTCCTTGGAAGGTCCCTGGCCTACCGGCACCAATCGAGAATGTTATCCTGAGATATGTAAAGAGCAAGGCAGACTGGTGGGTTTCAGTGGCCCACTATAATCGTGAGAGAATCCGGCGCGGAGCGACGGTCGATAAGACGGTTGCGAAGAAGAATCTAGGGAGACTTACCAGACTGTGGCTCAAAGCTGAACAGGAGCGCCAGCACAACTACATGAAAGATGGCCCGTACGTGTCCTCAGAGGAAGCTGTTGCGATATACACGACAACAGTACATTGGCTGGAGTCGCGAAAGTTCCAACCGATACCGTTCCCTTCAGTGTCGTACAAGCACGATACAAAGATGTTGATTCTGGCCCTAGAGCGCCTTCGTGAGGCTTACTCCGTTAAGGGACGACTCAACCAAAGCCAGAGAGAGGAGTTGGCTTTGATCGAACAAGCTTATGACTCGCCTGGCACGACCTTGGCACGAATCAAGCGTTTCTTACTGACACAGAGAGCGTTCAAGGAAGTCGGGATTGATATGAACGACAATTATAGCACAATCAACCCTGTCTATGACGTCGAGCCCATTGAGAAGATCACAGATGCATACCTGGATCAGTATTTGTGGTACCAAGCAGATCAGCGCCAACTGTTCCCACCATGGATCAAGCCTTCTGACTCGGAAGTTCCACCGCTTCTGGTGTACAAGTGGGCTCAAGCAGTGAACAATCTTGACAAGGTTTGGGAACACGAAAATGGCGAGACAAACGTGCTCATTGAGACTCAACTGTCCAAAGTCTATGAGAAGATTGATCTGACCCTTCTCAATCGCTTGCTTCGTCTCATCATGGATCACAATTTGGCAGACTACATCACTGCAAAGAATAACGTGTTGCTCAACTACAAAGACATGAACCACGTCAACAGCTATGGTTTGATCCGAGGTCTACAGTTTTCGGCCTTTGTCTTCCAGTACTACGGTCTCATCATCGATCTGCTCCTCCTAGGTCTGAAAAGAGCAAGCGATCTAGCTGGCCCGCCGAACAGCCCGAACGATTTCTTGCAATTCAGGGATCAGGCTACCGAAGTCAGACATCCAATCCGCATCTACACTCGCTACATTGATAAGATCTACATCTTCTTCAGATTCAGTGCCGATGAGTCGAAGGATCTGATTCAACGTTTCTTGACGGAACAGCCAGATCCCAATTTTGAAAACGTGATAGGCTATAGAAACAAGAAATGTTGGCCTCGAGATTCGCGAATGCGCCTGATGCGCCACGACGTAAACCTCGGACGTGCTGTCTTCTGGGACTTGAAGAACCGTCTCCCACGATCAGTCACCACGATCGAATGGGAAGATACATTTGCCAGTGTGTACAGCAGGGACAATCCGAACCTGCTATTCTCTATGGTTGGATTCGAGGTCCGGATCTTGCCCAAGTCACGTAACCTGAACGAGGAGTTCAAGGTTCACGACAGTGTTTGGAATCTTGTCAATAATACCACTAAGGAAAGGACAGCCCACGCATTCTTACAGGTGACCGAGGAAGACATCCAGAAGTTCAACAATCGAATTCGACAGATCCTTATGTCCTCTGGATCCACAACCTTCACGAAGATCGCCAATAAGTGGAACACAACGCTGATTGCCTTGTTTACCTACTACCGTGAGGCTGCGGTCTCAACGGTCAACCTTCTCGATGCGATAGTCAAGTGCGAGACGAAGATTCAGACCAGAGTAAAGATTGGCCTGAACTCGAAGATGCCTTCTCGTTTCCCGCCCGCTGTGTTCTATACTCCGAAGGAACTTGGTGGTCTCGGTATGATCTCCGGCTCCCACATTCTCATCCCTGCTAGCGACAAGAGATTTTCTATGCAGACGGATACCGGTATCACACATTACCGCCAGGGCATGTCTCATCAGACCGAGGAGGAAACGTTGATTCCGAATATCTTCCGCTACATCATACCCTGGGAGTCCGAGTTCATCGATTCTCAACGTGTGTGGATGGAGTATGCACAAAAGCGTCAGGAGGCTGTCCAACAGAACCGTAGGCTTACTCTGGAGGACCTGGAGGACAGCTGGGACCGCGGTCTGCCACGTATCAATACGCTGTTCCAGAAAGATAGAAGTACTCTTAGCTTCGACAAAGGCTTCAGAGTGCGCACCGAGTTCAAGACTTACCAGCATATGAAGAGCAATCCCTTCTGGTGGACAAGTCAAAGACATGATGGTAAATTGTGGAACCTCAATGCATACAGAACCGATGTTATTCAAGCTCTTGGTGGTGTGGAGAATATCTTGGAGCACACCCTCTTCAAAGGGACGGCATTCCCTACCTGGGAGGGTCTGTTCTGGGAGAAGGTAAGTGGCTCAAATATTGTATGCCAAGTTCACCGCTAACACTAATCAAGGCTTCTGGATTCGAAGAGTCGATGAAGTTCAAGAAGCTCACGAACGCGCAGCGTTCGGGTTTGAATCAAATTCCCAATCGTCGTTTCACACTTTGGTGGTCACCCACCATTAATCGAGCAAATGTCTATGTCGGTTTCCAAGTTCAACTGGATCTCACGGGAATCTTTTTGCACGGTAAGATTCCGACATTGAAGATCTCGCTCATTCAGATCTTCCGAGCCCATTTGTGGCAGAAAATTCACGAGTCAGTTGTTATGGATCTTTGTCAGGTGTTCGATCAAGAACTTGAAGCGCTCGGTATCGAGACCGTGCAGAAGGAGACAATCCATCCTCGTAAGTCGTACAAGATGAACAGCTCGTGCGCGGATATTCTCTTGTTTGCGACACACAAGTGGGGTGTTACGAACCCATCACATCTGCACGACACGCGCGATCAAATCATGCCGGTAACAGCGACGAAATTCTGGATTGATGTGCAACTCCGATATGGCGATTACGACTCTCATGATATCGAGCGGTACATTCACGCCAAGTTCATGGACTACAGTTCCGACCAAATGAGTATCTATCCATCGCCTCATGGGCTGATGATCGGTATTGATCTGGCATATAATGTGCACTCAGCATATGGTCAGTGGTTCCCGGGTCTCAAGCAGCTTGTGCAAGCGGCAATGGCCAAGATTATGAAGGCAAACCCTGCACTCTACGTTCTGCGAGAGCGCATTCGGAAAGCCCTGCAGTTGTATGCCTCTGAAAGTAACCAGGAGTTCCTCAACTCCCAGAATTACTCGGAGCTATTCAGCGACCGCATCCAGCTCTTTATCGATGACACCAATGTTTATCGAGTGACAATCCACAAAACATTCGAGGGCAATTTGACCACCAAACCAATCAACGGCGCCATCTTCATTTTCAATCCTCGGACTGGACAATTGTTCCTGAAAATTATCCACACAAAAGTCTGGGCCGGGCAGAAACGTCTAGGTCAACTAGCGAAATGGAAGACTGCGGAAGAAGTCGCGGCTCTTATTCGTTCCTTGCCTGTTGAAGAGCAGCCGAAGCAGTTGATTGTTACTCGAAAGGGTCTTTTGGATCCTCTCGAGGTGCATCTGCTGGACTTCCCCAATATCTCGATTCGTGCGTCGGAGCTGCAATTACCATTCCAGGCTGCCATGAAGATCGAGAAGCTCGGCGACATGATCCTAGCTGCTACTGGACCACAGATGGTACTATTCAACCTGTACGATGAGTGGCTGAAGACGATATCCTCGTACACCGCGTTCTCTCGTCTCATTCTGATTCTCCGTGCACTTCACGTCAATCAGGATAAGACCAAACTCATCCTGAGACCGGACCACAAGGTCATCACCGAGTCTCACCATATTTGGCCTTCTCTTAGTGATGAGGATTGGATGAAGGTCGAGACGAGCCTCCGTGACCTGATTCTGAATGACTACGGAAAGAAGAACAATGTGAACGTTTCCAGTCTGACGAGTAGTGAGGTTCGCGACATCATCCTTGGTATGGAAATTAGCGCCCCTTCGTTGCAGAGACAGCAGGCTATGGAGATTGAGAAGCAGGAGGGCGATCAACAGCAGCTCACTGCTGTCACCACAAAGACCCAGAACGTGCGCGGAGAGAACATCGTCGTTACGACAACGTCGCAGTACGAGCAACAGTCATTCGCTTCCAAGACCGAATGGCGGACTCGAGCCATCGCAACCACCAATCTCCGCACACGCGCCAACCACATCTACATCTCGTCGGAAGACATTCGCGAAGACGATCATTACACATATGTCATGCCAAAGAACATCCTGAAGCGCTTCATCGCAATTGCGGACCTCCGTGTTCGCGTGGCTGGGTATCTCTACGGAAGCTCCCCCAAGGACAATGACCAGGTCAAGGAGATACGAACGATCGTGCTCGTCCCGCAAGTCGGCAGCACCAAAGAAGTGCAGCTACCTCAGCAGCTTCCCGAGAATCCGGCTCTGAACCAGTTGGAACCCCTAGGCATCATCCACACCATCAGTGGCAACGAGCTCCCGTACATGACTGCTGCAGATGTGACGCAGCACGCTCGTCTCATGGTCGCCCACAAAGCCTGGGACAAGAGAACGGTGACCATGACAGTCAACTTCACACCCGGCTCTGTCGCCCTTACGGCATGGTCGCTCACCACGGACGGCTACAAATGGGGCGCCCTGAACAAAGACATGATGTCCGACGCGCCCGAGGGCTTCTCAACCGAGTACGGCGCTAAGTGCCAGCTGCTGCTCAGCGACCGCATCAAGGGATATTTCATGGTGCCTGACCACAATCTATGGAATTTTAGCTTCTTGGGAACTGTGTTTGCGAACTTGGAGAAGAAGAGGGTTTCTGTCAAGATGGATGTACCGGCCAGGTTCTATGATGCATTGCATCGCCCTATTCATTTCCAGAACTTTAGCCAGTTGGAGGATATCTGGGTTGACAAGGAGGATTTCTTCGAGTGATTGATGGATGTGCGAGATGATATTGGCCTGGCGTTGGGTTGGATGGCGAGGCATAGCATGTATACGTGTGTAAGATTGGAACTATGAGTGAGAAGGGGTTGTTGGAGCTATAGCACGAGCAAAAAGGGTCCGCGAGTAGTAATGGTTCAGGAGCTGGCATGGCGCCTGGCGATACTTGTAATATACAAAACCATGATGGATCTGAGTAGCCAACATCTGCCATGTCCACAACCCATCCACATCCACATCCCAATTCCGATTCCCACTCATCCCTCCTTCTCCACCCTCCTCGCCCTCCACCGCCCACCCCTCCACTGCAACACCAACACAGGCAACCAACCCACAACAAACACAATCCCAGCCATAAGCCCTCCACTCGCCCCAACCCCCAACTTCGTAATCATATCCGGAAACCAAAACGGCCCAATAAACCCCCACGTACTCCGCACCACATTGACAAACACCCCGATACTGCTCGAGTGCTCGCCGTGGCAATCCACCGCATACGTCACCAGCACCGTCGTCACAATCTGGTTCCCCGCCGCCGCAACCGCGATCCCGACGATGGGCGTCACATTCCAGTGGCCCTTTGCCGCCTGCTCCGTGCGCACGCCAAACACGACCAGCCCGACGATCGCGAGCAGGAAGCCCAGGTACGAGAGGTACAGGCGGTGTTCGGGCCGGGGCCTAGGCCGCGGCCGCGCACTGCTTTGTTCACTCCCATCCCTATTCCGGTTCCGGTTCATCCACCAATCGCTCAGCGGGCCGGCGAGTTGCTCGCCGACGACACTGCCGACGACGATGCCGAGAAACTGCAGGCCGAGGCCCTGGGGCGAGAGGGCGAATTTGGGAATGAAGATTTGGGGGATTTCGACGGTCAGGTAGACGGATGCGAAGCCGAAGACGAAGGTGTAGCTGAGGGTTGGGATGAGGATGGAGGGGTATGCGGCGAGGGATAGGGGGTGGAGGAATTCGAGGGCGGTGAGGGGGGTGGGGTCGATGCGGGTGAGGATGGAGAGGTATTGGGCTTTGAAGGGGGAGGGTTTGGGGTTGGGTTTGGTTGTTGTGGGTGTGTGGGAGACGCGCATGTAGCGGGTTTCGGGGCCAAAGGGGATGTAGAGGAGGAGTTGGACGAGGTTTGTGATGGCGAGGACCCAGTATATCCAGCGGTAGCCGATGTGTTCGGCGACGAAGCCCATGAAGAAGGGGCCGGCGGGGGGTCCGAGGGTGACCATGAGGCTGGAGGGAGAGGGTTAGTGATGCTGCTTGGGAGAGATGTGGGTATGGTGTGGGTATGTGTATATACTCACGTCCAGACGCCCATGAACCGGCCTCTGTCCTTCTTGAAGAACGTCTCGACAACGACACCCGACCCGATCGCAATAGCGGGACAGATGAAGAAGGCAACAAGACAGCGGCACGCCGCCATCGCCGCATAGTTCGGACTGACCGCACAGCCTACATTGCAGATACCCGACAGAGCGACCGACACGAGCCAGACGGGCCTGCGGCCGTAGCGGTTGGAGATGGGCTTCCAGAGCAAGGGCCCGAAGCCGAGAACGGCGATTTGCATGCTGGTGAGATAGGAGGCCTTGACGAGGGAGACGTCGAGGTCTTCGGCGATGATCTCGAAGGCTGGGATGATGGCGGCGGCGGTGAAGGTTGTCATCATGGCGTGGACTGCGACGAGGATGAGGTTTGCGGTTTTCTGGACGGGCGTTAGTCGGTGGGTTTGTATACGCTTGCTCAGCACGAGGGCAGGGAGATGATGATGCTCACCTTCCAGCCGGGCCAGTTGTAAGGGTCAGCGGGATCCATTGAGGGCATAGGGTCCAGCGCCAGAGTTCCATGGCGCTGGAGGAGATAGTCGCGATGCTCCTGCGGCAAGTGGGCAAGCGAGGAATCATCAATATAGGTAGACTTGAGCCCAAGCTGCTTCTCCTGATCGCGAGACGACGACGACGATGTCTCTTCCTCCTCTCGCATCTCCAAGGCCGGTTCCTTGACGGCAGCCATCAAGACAGACGCAGAGTTCGCTTTAACGTATACGTGCGTGCTACTGCTGGGGAAGGTGTAAAGCTCAAACCCAACGATGAAGAAAGACAGACAGATATACAGACAGACAGACAGACAGACAAAAGACCACGTTCGCAGAAAAGGCGAACCAGAGCTCATTATCTACTCAACCGACCACCATACGTACCGTTCCTCATAACCACACCCCCCCAGCAGCCTTCTCCGCATTTAAAACGACGTCGTTCCATGGAGACAGGCCCCATCAGCGGGAAGCGCCATAAGGCCCCAGAATTCCCACCAGAAATCGAATGCAAGTCACTGGCTATCAAGACGACTTGACTTTTGTGGATATTACCCGCTCTTCCCGGCATCCCCCACACGACAGGTTCCAGGTTTTGGGCTGTGATAAGTATGTGTGAGTGTGAGTGTGCGTATGTGCGTATGTGTGTGTGTGTGTGCGATGACCTGGCGGGACCCCGGAGAAGAACGGCAATGGATCACAGACACTCGCCTCGACACCAAAGCACACGAAACATGTCAGTGGTATATTAAATATAGTTTCTGCATCCATCCCGTGGACTGGCTGGCTGGCTGGCTGGATTTCTGGCTGATAGAACGGCGAATCCCCCCCGCACTTCCACAAAGTTTGATACAGCGAGATAGAACAGTCAGAACAGACAACAAGACCATCCTCACAACCGCCCCCGGCGCAGAGTCTAGATCGATACAAGTCCGGTCGGAGCTTAACGGAGGAAAGCAAGATACAAAAAAGTGTGGTTGAGGTTTGCTGTGGGGATGACACGCACGCGCGCTGACTGGACGTGTGTAAATCCATACAGCCAGAGTCGTAGTAGTTAGTAATCCTAGGCGTTGGCGAGACCAAACCGACGCGTCTGCCGAACTTACTGCCGCGAATTTTTCCCACCAAGCCTCCCTGCTTCGGAGGAGCCATATTTTCCAAAGCACCGACACGAAATCCTACAGACAGTGTTAAGTGTGGACAGACATCCAAGGGTAATTGCTGTATTTCTTTTTCCTTTTCCTTTCATCTTCTTTTGCAATCCTCGAATCCTCTGGCCTGGAAGCTCCTTCCTAAAATCCCCCACTCCCCGTGTCTCCCCGTGTCTCCCGCTCTCCGTTCTCCGGTTTTTCTTTTTTAGTCTCCATTATGCGGACCGCTGATAATGCGACGAAGGAGAGAGGATTAATAATAATAGTAGCAGTCTGGCAGGCTCGAAGTAGCCCTCCTCGTAGGTGTTACTCTTGGCATGCTTTTTAGCTTACAGTAGCGTGCCTCACAGACATTGTGATTTTGTGTACTTCCCTGTTGTTGTTACGCTGTTTTAGCTTGCTTGTTAGGTAGAGGACTTTACTCTTGTTCTATTCTAGCTCGGTAATAGGAGATTATAATTCTTGATGAGGAAGATAGCAGGAAGGGAAAGAGAGTAAGAGACTAAGTGTTTGTATTAATCTTCAGAATTAATACACGCTGTCTAGACACGATGCTTCTTAACAAAATTCTTATTCTTATATTATCCAATAGACATACATAAAAGAAAGCTTACGTTGTGCTGTTATCATAGTGTGTAAATCGCCGTTAGATAAGTACTAAGAGTAACGGCGAATCTGAGCCCGAACGGATCCACGATATCTCTCTATTTACTCTGTCCTTTTCTTCTCCCGTCTACTCTCCTATTTTCTCAACCCACCTAATTGAATCTTCAACTACCCGCCTCCTTATCCTTCCATCTATCCTTCCATCTACCCTTCCATCTACCCTTCCATCTATCCTTCCATCTATCCATCCATCCATCCTTCTATCCATCCTTCCATCTATCTTTCCATCTATCCTTCCATCTATCCTTCTACCCACCCACCCGTCCATCAACCTACCTCACCATCATACAGCCAGCAAGCAGTAAGAGTCCGCATCTCAGACTAGGTCTAGATCAATATACTAGTGCATAAAGAATAGGCAAGATAGCACTCATTACTCAAGGGATCAGTATCTATCTGTGTAATCCTTGGTCTATGCGTAACTGCTATAGTATCGCAGCTTGATTCATCTACTAACTTATTCTTCTTATACGTATCCTTCGTAGATGAATCGTTATATATATATATATATATATATATATATATATATGTATATATGTGTGTGTGTGTATATGTGTGTGTATATATGTGTATATATGTGTGTATATGTGTGCAGGGAGACGCTACAATGAGTGCACTAGTCCGTATGACAGACACGGGGCTTCTTATCACTTCACTGATGTGGCATCGTATGTTGGACTTCGTATAGTATGATGGTAGGAGCTGACGAGGTTGATAACTCTCAAAGATACGCGGTAGGCGTGCCATGTGTATATCCGCATGTATGCTGAGATAACATTCCCGACACCAAGAAAACCCACCCAATCTAAAGAAAGATATGAAGAAAATCTAGCAGAATGCTGCTCGTTCGTCGAGTATCCTAGATTATCATCAAGAGAGCCATGCTTTTACCTTCCCCCCCTACCTTCCTCTCGTTCCATGTCCATCCGCACCAAACTACACAAGCACACAAATCACCCAACACGACATACTTCCCCACTATCACTGCGACGGTATAGATTCGATATAACTTTACTTGATTGGGATATCATTAAAATCGACCGTCTTGGCATGGAAATTTCCCTCCACTTCGCCCATTCCCATTTCCCTTTACATAGCCCCGTGTCCATATGGGCTTCCTTGTCCATGTACCAATCAATACATGCATGTATATATAGCCATGTACATATCCAGACCGCCCAGCTGTGTGTTGCGCCCGCGTACAAAGGAAAAGAAAGAGAGAGAAAGTCGAAGGAATGACTATGCGGGCGTGGGCCTGGCATGTACAAACAGACGGACAGACAGAGAGACAGACAGGTAGACAAAATAAGGCAAGGAAAAGAAAGGTGCCATGACGATGACGGTGTGTGTGTGTGTGTGAGAGTGTGTGTATCCAGCCCCCCCTTTGGGCTTTTCCTTTCATTCATTCCCATGCAAGCTCTTCAAACAAACCGAATCGCGCCCTCCTCAACCCAGCTCGTCCCCTGCTCCCCTCTAAACACCTTATCCCTCTCCTTATCCTCCAGCTCGCGCTCCCGCCTATCATCATCAATCCGCTTCGGGCTCCTGACAGGAACATCAGGCACAGGAGGCAACGTACGACCGTTATAGCGCGCAATCATGCGGCGCTCGTCGAGGAGCTTCTTCTCCATGCCACGGCGCTCGATACTGCGCTCGCGCTCGCGCTCGTATTCGCGGTCGGGGCTGCGGACCTCGAGGTAGTCCGAGGACGCCGTGGAGTGGATGCCGGTGTTGAGGTGGAGGTTGAGATGGGAGTTGTGGTTGGAGTACGGGTTCGGGTTGTTGCGGTCGCGCTTCGCGTTGCCTGTTGCGTCGAGCTCGACGGGCGGGAGCGGGAGGGAGAGGCCGCGGAGTTTGGACTCGAGGGCGCGGGTGGGCGGGATGAGGCCTTCCCAGCGCATGGGCGCGAGCCAGCAGTAGCTTTTTGTTTGGTCTGCTTCCCAGACGGTTTGGGGGAAGAGCGAGTCCCATGGTGGGCACTTCTTTAGGCTGGGGCAGAGGAGGTAGCTTACGGAGTCGGAGAAGCGGAGGCCCTCGGCGTCGACGGAGAGGGTGGAGAGGGTCTGGAGGACGCCGTAGATGAGGATCCAGCGGCCGATACGGGCGTCTTGTGGGGAGATGGCTTTGAGCTGGGCGGACTTTTCGTATTTCTCGAGGGCGTCGATGAGGTCGTTTGAGGCGAAGGAGGTGCCGAGGCGGTGGATGTTGGATGCGTCCGAGTAGATGACGGCGGCTTGGAGCTTCTCTTTCCAGTCTTTTGTGGACTGGGGTGCGGGCTTTTCTTTTCTGAATGCGCTGAAGATGTTCTTCTTCTTCTCGGGCTGGGATGCGGCGCTCGCTGCTGCGCCTTTTGGTAGGAGAGGGTATGGGTGCGGAATGTGTTTGTATGAGTGTTTGTTGTCAAAGGAGAGTAGCATGTCTGTCAGTGGCAGCTCAGCGGTCTCGATGGCGAGAAAGTCTGGCTCTGGTCGTGTGGTGACCATCTGCCATTTGCGTGACGATCGCTCTTCGCGCTCCTCCCAACAGACGTCACGGTCGACGAGAAAGTCGTACGCAGATCCGAAATCCTGCTGCATCTGGATCACCAGGTCGCGCGTGAGCCAGTGGCCGTTCTTCTGGCGAGGGGGCGGCCATGATCCGTAGGTGGAGCTATAGAAGTCGATGAGAAAGTCTCGGAATGCATTGAAACTGCGTTGATGAGTCGTCCCAGCCGGGTTCTTGGTCTTCGGCGGTGGGAATATCTCGTGCAACTCGAACGCGGCAAGACGCTCCTCGGCTTCGACGACGCGGAGTTTGAGCAGCGTAGAGGCGTTGTTCAGATTATACCGCGTAACGGTAGAGAGACGCTTGAACTCGGCAGATTCACATATCCTTGGTGTGAGCATGCCCGCGCAGTGAACGAAGGCTTCCATGTAGCCTGCCTGCCACCGCACACTGTCCTGCTCACTCCAGGCAAGCAGCCCGAGAGCCATTCGCCAATTGTTACGCACGTCATCCAAATGACGATCTGTGAGATAGTGTACAATGTACTGTACGCCCTTGTGCGACTGCGACCTGTCTAGCTCGTAAAATGTCTTGATGACGCTCTCCAGCTCGACAAGCATCTCAAAGAAGTCATGCCCGACCAAGGGTTTGTTGTACAGCAGGGCGATAAAGTTGCGCTGTGCGAGATGGTGGCGTCTTTTGGCTTGCGGGGTCTTCAAAAACGCCGGAGCTGGAAACCAAACCTCGTGCGTGACTTCGATTTCCTTTACGCTTCTCCCGGTAGACGATCCGCCATCACTCCCGATGGGGCTGTACGCCGGCTCGTTGAGTGACGGCAGTCCGTCGCGCAGGCCGCCCCTGACTGGTGATCGTGAGTAGCTCCGTGGAGTCCACATATTCGGATTACGCTGTGAAAAGTCATCCGACTGTAACGAATCTGTCCCTGCCGACAGAGTAGAGGAGATTGTCGTATGTCGCGATGCTACGGAACTGTAGCCAGCGCCTGGCGAGACTGGTGTTATCTGATCCTCATCCTTGTTGATCGCACTGTACTTTAGTAAATTGTTCAGCAGCGTGGATCGCGCCTTTTTCAGCCTGCGGGTGTGAACACGTAATGACGGCCTAGGGTTGTCGCCCATGGACTCCTCAGTGAAGAAGATGTAGCAGTCGCCGTTCTCCATCCACATATCCATGTCCTAGAAAAGGTGAGCATGGGGGCTGGCAGGTTGTGATATGAGGAACAATCATGATCACGTGGTGTACATACATTGTCAAGTCCCCGGTATGGCTGCGGCGTGATGCTGTTGCCATACCAGATTTGTGCGCCAGGCCATCTGCCATCTCCCCCGGTAGAGTCCCCTCGTCGTCGTGGAAGTTCTCTGGAGACGACTGATGGTGCTCTGTTGCTACTCGGCGGCGCCTTGTTGGGCACACCACCACCTCGACCTCGCGGAGCTGCCGTTTCCTTGCCCTTGGCGGCATACTTTTTGGTGCCGTCCGTCTTGTGACTACCATGTGATATCGCAGAGAAACCACTGGGACTGGAAGGTCTCGAACTCTGGATAGATACTCGAGAATTCTTTACGCCGCTGGTCGACGATTGCTTGACCGCAGCAGAATTCGTTCGTTTTGAGCCTTCGGAAGAGAGAGTCCAAGCGTCGAATGGTGATCTGATCTGGGTGTCCTTCTTCTCCTTCTTCACGAGTTCCTTGTCCAACACCTTGCGGCTCCTTGCACCCCGTGCGGCCATTTTCCAGAGTGTGCAATGCTAGGAGGACCCTGTCGAGATGTCTAAGTAGTCAATGACAGGACACTACTTAAGCAGCGAGAGAAAAAAAAAGTGGGTTGGGCGCCGGACGAGGGCTCTCCCAAAGGAGGGGGGACAATGATGTCGATATAATTTAGGGACAGGTATGGATGGCATGGACAACCAAAGTCCGACGGGGAGAAATGAAGGCGAGCAACAAGACTAGATATCTTAGTTGCAATAAATGAGGCATAGACTGCGGGACGTTCAGAGTCTTAGTCTGGCCGCGGGACCCTTAGACCGGACTAGCGCTCTGCAGAGCGCACGGAAGCAGAGCTAAGGCAGAGGTATCAATAAACCAGACGAGATGGGCACTCGGCAGAGAGATGCTACGAGATTACAGTTTGATAGGAGACCGATAGAACGGACCGGAGCTGTTGATGACGATGATGCGGGCAAAGGGCGTGGCAGTGGTTCATGTTCAGGTGGGGTTGACGTTGGACCTGGGGCGTGGAGCAAGCTTATGTTGCGAGCTGTGAGGAGTGAGGGAGTCTTGAATGAGAGGCAACAGAAGAACAATGATCAAGAGTCCAGTCGACTCGACTCGACGTCTTGACTCTCAACAAGAAAGATGAAGCGACAGACAGGCCCAGGAGAGATCCGTGGAACGTGTGAGGCCTGTGATTAAGACGGCAGCTAAGCCTGACAAGTATCGCCGGACTGGCGGGTCGCTGTACTAGGTCCTGTGTAGTGTAGTGTGGTGTGGTGCCTGATATTAGTGGGCTCCAGCTCGCAATCCGTGAACAGTGGACGATCAGGAATGATGAAGGGGGGGAAAGAGTCGTCGAAGGAGAGGAGGCACAAAAGGGGGCCGAGAGTGACAGAACGGGACAGCTGGGGAAGAGAAGTAATTAATATCTAGCTATGTCTACTACCTGGGCCCTTCTGCTGCTGTGTGCGATAACTCCAGCCGTATCGTTCAGCCCTCTCTCCGAGGGCTGGAATGCGTCCGGCCATTCTTGGCATGGATGCAGTAAGTGGCACACAAACACCTGCAACATGCACATGCACCACCCAACAGGGAACAGGCATGGGACAGACACAAGTGACAAGTTGCAAGCACAGAGAGATATATTTACTACAGCTACGATACATCAATCCAGACTGTCCTTGTAAGCCACAGCTAGTAGCCATAGCATATCCAAAACTCCTGCATCTGCATGCCGTTCTCGTCTATCTCGTCTATATTACCCATCTACCATACCCCTACCCACCACCAGTCTGAGACGCGAACCAGCAAGGATACTGCCCTATATCCCCTCCTATCCTAACCCTTCTCACCCCTCCTCCAATCCCGTCCTATCCCTCGTCTGAAAGCCCCCAAACAGCCGCAGTCGCAGTCGCAGTCGCAGTCACAGTGCCAGCAGGGCAGCAGGCAACAGGAGTAAGCAGCAGCAGCATCTTACACTTTCCGCCCGCCAGCCAGGCCCCGAGCCAGACCACCACCGAACCCAGCCAGAAAACAAGGAACTCACGACTTGCAACCCCGTATCCAAACCAGCGCACCTCGGAGGAATAGTGCTGTCTGCATACATTCAGTCCCGAGCCAAAGCCACAGTCCGCTCCTCCGTTCCTCAAGGCAGACCTTGATGATCGCCAACTCGACAGTATATCGCGTTCTACATTGAGCACTGTATACCCTGGTAGAGGACTAGTAGTAAACAGTGACAGTCGTAGTAGTGATTAACACTGCAGATCAAAAAGTACCCCAATCCTTCTATCGCGCTGCACGCAGGACTTCTGCGGGTCCGGCAAACTGCCAGCCAGCCTGTCCGTGGGGATCTTGGGGGGAGGGGAGGGTGGTCTGGGGACAACAAGGTCAGGGCACGGGGCAAGGGGCAAGGGGAGAGAATAAAGGGGGCGTTTTTCTAAAGGATCCACGACGGCGCGCGCTCGGCTGGGCGACCCCGGTCCTCCCCGCTTGACTGGTGTACCTAAGAATGCATTTATGTAGTTGATGCATTCATTTCGCTGTTTGCTGCAAACGCTCGCACGCGAACTAATGTATTAACTGAACCACCTGGCTTTGCGCCTGCAGTCGCCATGTTGATCTAGTGATGCACAGCGCTTATGGGATGGATCTAGGTTTCTGGTTAATTAGCTGCTCCCCCTTTGCCGAGTTATATGTCTGGTTGCTGGCCTCTAGGTACACATCTGTGTCTTCGTCAGGAGCATTCACCGCAATCGTAGGCCTACTACTGCTGCCCAAACTTGTGCATCAAGGTAGAGTGAATCATGTCTATAAGCGGAGATGTGAAAAGCCCCACCATCGAGGATCTCATATCCAGAGATCTGACACGTTTCCCACAACTCATCATATGCAAAATCCGCATCTTTGGAATCTTGGCATGTGACTCTGTCTGGAAAGGATATAACCACATGTGCTAATATACCCCATTCATTACGCCTCAGGCGCGCGCCGCCGCTCACTAACCGCTCCCCACCGCCCGGCAACTCTGTTTGTGAATCTGTGATCTTTCTCCTTTCCCCTTGTCGATCTTGCTGATCTCCCGCTTTTCTGCTCTCTGATCAGGATCAAGATCATCGAAATTGATTCTTTTGCTCGGCGCCGGCACTAACTCCTTTATACATCCATCCTCTTCCCATCATCTCGGGAAGCCTATTATTCAGGAATCGGATGCTCATTATTGCTTCCAATAGCTTCTTTCCCTTCGCTGATCAACCACGCGTACGGCGTGCGGTGTGCCCGCCTGATTTCTCATCTCGCATCATTCTATGGTTCCCAATGCGCCATTACGACTTCTCTTTCCGTTAGTGCTCCACCTCCTTTCACGTCTTTCCAAGCTTTCGTTTCTTGTATGCCGACAGTACCTCTGGAGCGGGGCTGGCGTTCTCCTTGTCAACTTCCTTGATTTCGCCAATTCTGCCAATCTCGCTTTCTATCGGCAATCTAAGTGCGAGAAATCGCTCCTCGGCCCGCTCCATCCTATCAAATACATCTTCCATGTACTTTTGCACCTCCGAGGGCGCTCGTACTGCACGCATAAGACACTCTAGACTATTCGCATTGTGCGAGTACAAGTACCCCGTCACTGGCTGGTAGAAACGTGGACTACTGTCCTTTTCGGCTTCTGCAGGTGTCTTCACCATTGCTGTAGACGTCTGATCTGGCGTGTTCGACGATGCCTGCCCTTCAGCTGGCTTCGCCTCTAACTTTGGCTCTGGCTTTGGCTCCTCAGGAGGCTTGATGACCAGGAATGAAAACCGCACCTGTTGTCCACCAGGAAAATACTCTAGAATGCTGTTCTCAGGAAATATAAGACGATCACCAGGCCCCTCTATGAATTCAAAGTAGATCCTACGAAGAGGCGGTTTTGGAGGTGGAGGAGGCGGAGCATAAGGTGAGTGTAGTGGTGGTGCTTGATTGTATTGTGGATGGGTTGGCATTGGCGGTGCTTGACCGTATTGTGGATGGCTTTGTATTGGCGGCGCAGCGGCTGCAGTGGGATGTTGCGGCATAGCTTGTGATGAATTTTGACCGCTAACTGCAGGTGCCATCGGCGGCGCGCCTACTGGTGGTGTTGGTGTCGGATGAGCGCCAGCTGTGTTGCTACGAGCATCATTATTCATGATGGGAGCAGGAGAAGGTAGCGCAGACGCAGGAGCTGCAACAGATGGTCCTGGATTTGCTACCTGTGCTTGCACATTGGAAGTCGTTTGAGACCCCGTCGGCTGACCTTGCTGCTGTGCTATCGCTGGGCTTGGTGCAGTTTGTAGTTGAGATTGAGGCTGCGGTATCGATAGCGCTGGTGCAGCCTGTGGTTGGGATTGAGGCTGCGGTAAAGCTTGAGTAGGTGTCTGTTGTTGATTGTGAAAAGCTTGTGATTGCGTGTGAGGAGGTGCAGCTGATGCTGTCTGACCGGCAACAGGAGCCACAGGAGCCATAGGAGCCACAGGAGCAGGAGCAGGAGCAGGAGCAGGAGCAGGAGCAGGAGCAGGAGTAGGAATAGGAACAGGAACAGGAGCCGCAGCAGCAGCGGCCTTCCTCGCCTCAATCATTGCCGTCAACTCGCTGATGTGACCCTGGAAGTATTCGAGCTGGGCCGGAGTCGCTTTGCCAGCCGCAACAACCTTCATGACAGCCTTGAGCTTCATGTCCGTCCCTGCTCTTCGGGCCAGCTCGTGAATGACCGGGTCCGGCGCACCTGGAGCTGCTGGTGGTGGTGCACGATTACCCTGTGTCGAGGGTCCCGGAGCCTTTTGTTGGCTCATTTGCGAGTCCAACGGAGCTTTTGGTGGTTGCTTTGGCTGGTGGGTGTACTTTGGGGTAGAAGCTTGAGGAGCTTGGTGGTAAGTAGGAGGTCCCTGTCCGCTGTTGTATACAGGCGGCGAGGCCTGATACGGCGCATAGTTCTTGGCAGCTGTGTTGTGGTACGTTTGGTGGATTGGTTTGTTCGGAGTGCCCCATTGTTGTTGTTGCTGGCGATGTGTATTGCTTACTGGTGGCTCCTTGGTCATATATAGAGCCACTCGAAAGACGTGTGGTTCGATCGTCATTTCGCATTCTCCAATTCGTACCATGTTCTTGAGGAGTTGTTTGTCTTTTGCCATCTGCTCCTTGTCCTCAGCTGTCCTGTCCTTGACCTTCTTAGGTATCGTTTTCGTGAAATATTTGGTGAAGTGTGCTCCGCTGACCCATGAGTCTCTCGAGCGCTTTATCGAGGCAGCCAAAACTCCGCTATATAGCATTTAGTTTTCGAATTCGCCTAGACATATTTCAGGCGCTTACCTCTGAGCAATGGTCTGATAGTAGTCTCCATTTTCTTTGAAGGACTGTAGCTCTTTCAACGTAGGCAATGGCTCTCCATCCGTAATCTTCGCAGGTAGCAGCTCAACAGCCTCTTCAACAACGCCATCATCCTGAACGACCTCAGGTTCTACTACAATACTATTTCTTGGCCTTCCGATGCCTCTCTTTCCAGACTTCTTCGCAGACTTGCTCTTTCCTTCTACCGGAGTCCTTGTACCTGGTGTTGCTAATGAACGCTTTCGAGGATTGGGTGTATCGGTGGAGCTCGCATCATTGATGGGCGTAGACAGCTCTGGCTTGCTTTTTCTAGCCGATCGGCGCGTTTGTCGGGGTGTCTCAGACATCTTGTGAACAGGCAGTCAAGACCTGACTGATATCGCAGTACACGATGCGATGGCAGACGATGCGGCGGAGTTCGGGGGTGACGTTGCGGAGGTTTCGTGGCTTGCGCGGGAAGGATTATGGGCTCATGGCCACGCGTGGAAAGGGTTCATGTATGCCCTGAACGAGTTGGAATTTAACCCCAAGCAATATACCCGTATTCTGCAGCCTGCTCTGGTGTCTGAATGAATGGCGTTGCCTTGTGAATTGGCAGTGTACTTGCGTCGTACTCACCTCATTGCGCCGAAGTAACGCCGCGTTGGCAGATTGGTATATAAGACAATCGACGACAGTCGACAACACTCATTCACATGAAAAAGTCGGGGCTCAGCAATCAACCCATTTGCATTCTGTACACATCTCTTGTAAGTAATCCTTCTCATCTCGCCCTGTTCCCTGCTCTTATCCAGCATGTCGAAAGAGAATTGCCGAGGCATGGTGTATATCTTGAAACTCACATCCATCTGTCTACAATGACTAAGCAAAACATCATTCTGGCGGACTTCGTGCGATCTTGTCTATGCATAGTCCTTTTCTTCTATAATTCCTAACCCCGTCGAATAGAATCGTCATTGCGGACCTCCTGAACAGCGATGGTCTCACGACTAGTAGTCAAAGCCTACTGGACCTTTGCCGCACTGGGAGGCATATATGCTATTATATTAGGCCTCCTAACTCAACCCCTATTACAAAGACAGTAAATCACCCCCGGAAACTCAATCTGAGCATGTACTAACATCTCTCAGTGCACTATACGCCCACAAGATCCACACAGGAACATGGTGGAATAACATCTCAGAACCCGAAACGTTCGGCTTCGCAAGCAAGTGACCCCCTAACAACAAACTTATCAACAACCAACCACTAACCTCCAAACTAGAAAACCAAGTAACCCCATTCTACCTCCCCACCCCGGACGGCGAACGTCTCTACTGCTGGCACATCCTCCCCCTCAGCATCTACGCCCAACACCAAGACACCATCACCACCCAACCCGCCGGCCCGGTCGCCGACTTCACCACCACCACCGCCCACGCCCTCCTCCGCGCCGACCCAACCTCCCGCATCGTCATCAACTTCCACGGCAACGCCGGCCACCTCGCGCAGGGCCACCGCACCCAAACCTACGCCTCCATCACCGCCCTGCCCGCCGCCCACCTCCTCACCTGCGACTACCGCGGCTTCGGCCTCAGCTCCGGCTCCCCCTCCGAGCAAGGCCTCATCACCGACGCCCTCACCCTCACCTCCTTCGTCCTCCACACCCTCAACCACCCGCCCGCCCGCACCCTCATCCTCGGCCAATCCCTCGGCACCGCCGTCGCATCCGCTACATCCCTCTTCTACCTCGACCCCCACTCCCCACTCCTCCCCGCCTCCCTCTCAAACACCACCACATCACCACCACCAACCCCCATATCATTCGCATCCACAATCCTCGTCGCCCCCTTCCCCTCCCTCCCCGCCCTCCTCCTCAAATACCGCATCGCAGGCCTCATCCCCGTCCTCGGGCCCCTAAAAGGCTACCCGAAACTCCTCGCCTACATGACCGCCCGCATCATCGACCCCTGGCCCACGCTCCCCCGCTGGCAAGCAGCCTTCGCCACCGCACGCGCCCTCAACGTCCCGCTAAACCTGCACATCTTGCACGCGCGCAACGACGCGGATATCCCGTTTGCACAGGGCGAGGCGCTGTTCGAGGGTGTATCTGCGGTGATGCGGGATGGGGTTGGTAGTGGAGAGCAGAGTGTGCTTCGGGAGATTCATGAGCGGCGGTCGGAGGTTGGGGATGCGGTGAGGCGGGGCGCGTGGGCGTATCGGAGGTGCGTGGATGGGGAAGGGGTGCGGGTGGGGGATGATGGGATGGCGAAGGTGACGGCGCGCAGACGGGTTGAGTTGGAGATTACGCGGTGGGGCGGACATAATCGGATTGTTGCGGGGGCGCAGGTTGCGCTTGCTGTGCGGCGGGCGTTTGAGGAGGCGGCGTGAGCTTGAATATGAAAGAGGGAGGGAGAGGGACAGAGAGAGAGAGAGAGGGAGAGAGAGAGAGAGGGAGAGAGAGAGAGAGAGAGAGAGGCAGGTGGATAGAGGGTAGATTCCATAGAGGACTCAGTCACTCAGAGATAGAGGAGCAGTCGGAGTCAGGGGCGTTTTCCGCAGGATTTGTACATTATAATACAGTAGTAGTAGTGTAGTAGTGATGAGACCATCCGTCTATGTGAAGACCCGGGGCGGCATATCATGACGACCGCAATGAACCCCCCTTTTGGCCCCAAACCCCCTTTCCCTCTAAATGCAGTCTTGACAAACCTTCACATATCATACAGACATACAATACAGCAGAGCACATCTCTAGATACCCACCGGCTCAACCGCATGCGACGGCGTCACCAATCTCATCTCTTCTTTTCAAATATACATCCACACACACACCTCACTTATGCCGATCCGCCTGCTCCTTCTGATACTTCGCAATCAACTCCCTCTGCAGCTGCACCGGCGCAGGCGCATAATGGCTAAACTCCATGCTAAACTCGCCCTTGCCCTGCGTCGCGGCACGCAGCTGCGAGCTGAAGCCAAACATGCTATTCAGACTGCAATCGGCCTGCAGCACAAAATCATCCGTGCCAATCTCCGTGTCGCTGATGGTGCCGTTGCGCTTGTTGAGCAGGGTCAGGATGTTACCCTGGAACTCGTTGGGCGCGGTGATGGTGGTCTTCATGACGGGCTCGAGGATCTGGGGCGAGCACTCCTTGACCGCCTTGCGGAAGGCTTGCTGCGTTGCTTGGTAGAAGGAGTAGTCGGACGAGTCTGTCATGTGGGTTACGCCGTCGGTGATGTGCATGCTGGCGCCCAGGACCTTGTGCCCGATCAGTGGGCCCTTCTCACATATCGCGTAGAAGCCCTTCTCGCAGGACGTGAGGTATTTCTCGGGCACGGTTCCGCCGGTGACTGTATGCTTGAACTTGTTCGTCGTAATGTCACCGGTTGGTTCCAAGTGGCCCATAACACGAGCAAAGTCACCTGGACCACCCGTCTGTTTCTTGAGTAGGTGATCGAAGTCAGTGCTGCCTTCAATGGTCTCGCGGTAGGCAACGCGGGGTTGTCCAGTGACTACGTCGACTTTGTATTCACGTTTCATACGTTCAATATAAATTTCCAAGTGCAGCTCGCCCATACCAGAAATGATGGTCTCCTGAGACTCGGGGTCTAGAGTGACACGGAATGTGGGATCTTCACGCTGGAATCGGGACATGGCTTTTTGGAAGTTGTTATAAGATGCCGACGTCTTGGGCGCAATGGACAGAGAGATGACCGCTTCCGGTACGAACATGGACGTCTGAACAACATAAGCTTGATAGACAACAAACCTGACGTTGACTTACCATTGTATATTCAAGCTTACCATCCGTGAAAGTATCTCCTGATGCGCATTCCACGCCAAACACAGCGCAAATCTCTCCGGCTCCAATTTCCTGTACATCTTCCATCTCATTCGAGTGCATACGCACTATTCTAGGAATCTTGACCTTCTTATCTGACCTTGCATTGAACACAGTCATCCCTCTTCTAAGCGTACCCTGGTACACTCGAATGTATGTTAATTGACCAAAGTTGCTCTCTTCCAGCTTGAAAGCCAAACCAACGAACGGTAGCGAGTTGTACGATACGAGCTTGACCGACGTTTCCTTTCTTCTGCGGTCTAGAGCAAGATTCTCGACTTCCGAGGGATTGGGCAAGTAGTCGACGACTCCGTCCAGCATCGGCTGCACCGCTTTGTCAGCCAGCGCGCTTCCCATGAAGACTGGCGAGAATTTGAGGCTAATAGTAGCCCTACGAATGGCCGCCTTGATCTGGTCTTCCGTGGGCTCTTCCTCATTCAGGAAGAGCTCTGCGATTTCGTCGTCAGCATCCGCAAGCTTCTCGATAAGCAATTGACGCTTCTCATTTGCAAGCTCGACTAGATCAGCCGGGATCTCGTCGGTTTCTCTCACGATTATACCCTTCTCGCCCTCGCTATAGATTGCCTTCATCCGAATTAGGTCCACGACTCCGATGAAGCCGTCTTCGCTTCCAATCGGTATCTGTACAGCCGCAGCATTAATCTTCAGTTTGTAATTAATCTGCTCGATTGGCTTCCACGGGTTTGCGCCCATTCTGTCCATCTTGTTGATGAATGTTATCCTTGGGACGTTATATCGCTTCATTTGCCTGTCCACTGTGATCGTCTGACTCTGGACTCCGGATACAGCACACAGAATCATGACGGCACCGTCCAGGACTCTTAATGCTCGTTCGACCTCGATCGTAAAGTCTACGTGGCCGGGTGTATCGATCAAGTTGATGTGGTATTTCTGGTCCACGCCATCCTTGTCTTTCTTCACCCAGTCACAGAATGTCGCCGCAGACTGAATCGTGATACCCTTTTCTCTTTCCAGGTCCATAGAGTCCATCTTTGCGCCTACCGAGTCTCGCCCTCGAACCTCATGTATAGCCTTTATGCGGCCGGTATAGAATAAGACGCGCTCGGTGGCAGTCGTTTTGCCAGAGTCAATGTGCGCCTAGAAATTGAAATCAGAAGCTGCGGGCTGGAACCGATGGAGTCTAAGCGTATACATACTGCAATACCGATATTTCGGATGCGAGACAACCGTTCGGCCTCCACTGGATCTAAGTTCTCTATGATTGTCTCCTGAGCCAGTGTGCCCGGCGTTGTCTTTGCTTGCTCCAGCCTGTGCGACTGTCAGGACCATGAGTTGTTATATGGTCTATAGTAATCACTCACACTGCAGCAGCAGCACCAGACTGATACCTCCGGGGTTGCTGCCATGGTAATGAGGCGGATGTGCTGCGCGTGGCACCCGACAAGATCGTAGGGGAGTATCGCGATGCACCGGCGACGCGGCTGCAAACGCTGAAGGAGCGCAAAGCAGTCGCCTGTGCCCTGACGATACTACTCGGACGCAGGATCATAATTCGATTGTGGGAGAGGTGTAGGGCTGGTTGGGAAGAGATAATCCAATTGAACTTCTTTGCAAAAAATACCTGTCTAGAGCTAGCCATCCATTGCTGTATTTGGTCTAGTGTGAAAAGCAACCATCCCGTCCCTTGGTCCCTTAAGGCAAAAAGAAACCTTGTCACATTAATTATCTCCGACACGACCATAAACAACAGAAATCCAATGTCTAACCAGCACAAGATAACCAAAGGGCCATTAAAACCAGTCCTGAGGACTCCGGCCACAACTGCTTCAAGCGCTCGTGGCGATCTTACGTTCATCCTACCAGCAGAACAGCCAAAGCACAATGGTGCGTGCTCTTTTGCGAGATCTATATCAATAATACACAATTTTCTGAATCATCTCAGCAGTGATCACTTTCAATTCCACTCGCTTCCAATCACCTTTTCTGTATCCAGCGAGTTCCGAAACGAAGTTGGGAAAGCACACGTATACAGCAGGTCTGCGAAGTCGAATTAGGGGGGTTGAGGACGCACTTTAGTTTATACGAGAATCATGTGTATGTTCGATGGCTTCCATTATTTATATCTGTATCTGTGAAACGGCTGATAAGCGTGATTTCTGACAGCTGCGACGTTGTATTTCCAATGCGTGAGAGACACAGAAGACAAAACGCCAGACAATGCAAAGATATACTGATGTCTTCCTGGCAAGTATATAGGTACGCTAATTGAAAGAGGTAGCGCTCTGCTTGTAGAGAGTATGAACAGCAAGCAACAAGGAATTACAAGAAGCTTGAAGTAGTGGTATCAGGGAGCTACAAACCTCCAAACAGCCAATCAAAAAACATTAGCAATATAAAATTCCATGAGACGTCCTGAAGGCTCATCAAGCCATGAAAGCCTCTCGCCATCTAGTCCGCATCCGGCGTGGCTATGCCCGTCATATTCTCGCCTGTAGGGCTAGGCGGGCTAACGATTGTTGTCGGCGTATTTAACTTTCCTTCTTCTTCATCATCATCATGAGCACCGTCACCAGTAGTCTCAATATTAATCTCGCTCTCGCCTTCTTCAGGAATCGACGGGCTCAGCGGGTTTCTAGGTTCGCCACCACTTGGATTCTGCGCAGCCCTCCTTCTTGCTCTTCGTCTTGACCTTTCATCATCTGCGCTTTCTCGTCTCCGCCGCACGCGAATTGAGTCATCTCCACCAGGCGTATCATCTCCGCGCAGACCTTGTAAGAGACTTGCGGCACGGTCCGCAACGTCTTCTTCCTTGACCTCTGGGTCCGGGCTTGTTGTGCCATTATTCTCATCACCTTCACTTCGGGGGCTGACCATGCCATTCTCTTTCTCGTATGTAGTAGGCAGTTCAGGCATCTTCTGTCCACTTGCAACACGAACTTCGTGGCGATCCTTGAGTCTTGCTCGGCGGCGACGATCGCGCTGGTCGCGCACCTGGGGTGCTGCAGCACGAAGCTTCTCAAGAAGGCTGTCCATCGCACCAGTGGATGCAGGCGATACCGGGCCATCAGGGCCGATGTCGCCGGCCGTACCCACTGCGAGCTGATTCTTACGGCGCATCGAGGCTTCATTGCGACGTTTGAGGTCTTCAATTGCCATGTTCTTTTCTTTGGATTTCTTCCATTCACTGACGAAGATAGCAAGCTTCGAGAAAAAGTCTCTACGAGCGTTTTCGTCGAGTGGGTCTTCACCGTAGAAAGCCATAATACTCTCGTATTCGCGGCTCATCTCTTCGAGGTGGACTTGCATCTGCTCAGCTTTGCGCCTGGCATCCTTCATAGACCGCTGGCATACGATATTGACACGATCTTCAGGATGAAACTTCTTGGGATCGCTCAGGTTACCAGAGTCCAAGGAACCCTGGACGTTCTTGATGTTTTCAATGTATCTCTTTGCATCGAGTTGGAGCTGATCAACATTGATTTTCTTTGCGGCAACAACGCCGGCAATCTCCTCCGTAAAGTCTTCCCATCCAGGATACTGCGTCCGCACGACTTGCTCCACTACATCTGCAAACGTTCGTTCGTTGTTATGGTCTTTGACCATACCAAGCCGTGACAATGAGCTCAATTTGAAACCAGACGCTTGTTTGTTTGCGTCGTTCATGAAATTACCGATATCGAGGATGAGTCCAAATACGCTAAGAAGCGAACTGGAGTCTCGAAGAGACGCTGAAACTTTTGATACTTCGTCTAGCTTTTTGTATATCTCATCATATTCAGGCTCAAAGCTCCTGGTCAATGCAAGAGCTCGTATACGGGATTTCCAGTAGTGGTGAAGTTCGAATGAAGTGAAGAGGTATATTTGATCTTCGCGTGTCAGCTCCTGAGGATCCTGTTCAGGGGGTGTATTGGCGGCATTCGGTCCCGTCCAATCGCGGCTGTAAGGAGCAAGAAGTTTTACTGTGTTCTCCGGGATGTTGCAAAGATCCGGCTTGCCAAGGAATTCCATGACAACGTCGTTGTCCAGCACTTCGCGATCACAATGGATGATCATACGTACAATCTCGTCGACAGATTTGCCCGATAGCTTTGCTAGAGCAACATCTACAAACAGACAGACATGTCAGCAAAGACGTGATGAGGAATATATAGGTAAGAACTTACGATATGCTTTGCGAAGGTCGGCCGAGATGAGCGATTTTTTGTCGTCCTTTTTACCTGATGCCTTTCCAATCGCCTTGATCTCCTTGGCTAAAAACAGCTTCTCGACCTCGTCCAAAACACCCTTACGAGACAGTTCGATGTATCTCTCTTCTTTGGCTTCATGCGTGGGAGCATGATTTGTCCAGAGTGTGTCCTGAACAGTGTCGACCTTCTCCCAGTGTAGCGCCTTGAGTTTCTTCTTCGGCCTGGCAACTCCATGACCGACTGTTGGAGATAGAATCGCGTTATGCTTGGGTAAAAAGCCACCTATACGCATGCCTGGTAGGGGAGGGGCACCAGGAGTTGGAGGAGGTAAAGGAGGTGGAGGAGGTCCCATTCCCATTCCCATACCCGGCATCGGAGGTGGTGGAGGGGGTGGAGGACCAGCACCATCGTGGAATCCTGGCATAGGAGGCGGAGGGGGCGGCGGAGGTCCACTTCCAAACCCAGGCATCGGAGGAGGGGGCGGTGGAGGAGCCCCGTTTGTGAAACCAGGCATAGGAGGCGGGGGCGGAGGAGGTGGGCCAGTCTCAAAGCCTGGTATCATGCCAGGCATTGGGGGAGGAGGTGGTGCTGGTGGTCCGTCGAATTCGTTCGAGCCATCCGCTGGAGTCTTGAGAGGTTCAGAGTCAATGCTGGGTTGCGAAGGACCAGTTGTGATACCTTCGTCCTCAGCTTCGTCGTCACTAGCTTCGTAGCGCTTGACTTTCGATGCAATCTCGCCCAGAAGTCCGGTGGCTTGCTGAGCGTTCATCTTCGGACGCTTCATTTCGACTATTCTGGGCTTTTCGTACACCACGTCGTCTTCATCTTCCTCAGTGACAGGCATTTCGGTCAGTGTTTCAGCACTGCTTGGAACAGGTTTCCTATGGGGTCTTCCAGCACTGCTCTGTCCTCTATTGACCTTACCCAGGTAGCCAGCATCCATATGCCCACTAAGATCTGGTTGGCCGCCCATTTCACCCTCCATCTGTTCGCGTAGTTCCCGGAGCTTGTCTGATGGGCTGAAATTTTGCAAGATACGACCACCTTCAAGTGTAGCTTGCGTTTTAGCCCGCTGCAGCTGGATCTCGAGTCGCTCCATAAGCCTTTCCCGGTCAAGGATACCACGCATCTGGGCTGGATCTGTAGATATAGTTTCTTTGCCGCCCTTCTGAGCAGCTGATGCTGCAACATCTTGAGCATCGCGAAGCATGAGATAAAGTTCTCGGGTTTCTAGCTCGTTTCGCTGGAGGTCTTGAGCACGGAGTCTTCGCACGTCAGCGAGCTCAGCTTTCATCGCTTCTGCTTGGCGACCTCGGAGCTCTATGATGGCAGCCTGTTCGTCAATTTGCTTCTGCAGTTTCGCAACAACACCATCTGCACCTAGCTCCAGTTGTGCTTTGTATTCATCACGCTCCGCAATCGCGGCGTCTGCTATTTGTCGTGCCTCTAGGGCTTCGTCCCGGACTTGTCGTGCCTCTGAGTCGGTGTAGAGTTTATCAAGAAGATTTTGCACAGTGAAATTGAGACTTTGCTTCAGGTCCATGTCCGGGAGCCTCCTGTCCATAGCGACATAGCTGAGCATTGAGTCTACGAGCTGGAACATCCTTAGTCGATCCTCACCCTCGTTGTCCCGGATAAGTAGAAGATGCTGCATGGCTGAGACAAAGTAGTCTTGTGCTCTACTGTTCTGTATCTTGCTCATGATGGCATCTGTGATCTGCATGGGGTCATTCAAGTCCTTGACTGCTCCCTCGATGCTGTCGACCATGCTGCTGTTCTCTTTCTCAAGTACATCTTCATAGTCAACACCTTCGTTGTCGTAGTAGCGTGCGATTTGCTTGTCGATTACATCGTACTGGAAATCGGCCATCTTCTGGAATATACGCTTTATGCCACATGCCGTAAATTGAGCGCGAATATGCATTCGCAGCTGCACATCTGCCGGCGCATCGACCAACATATTAATGAGCATCAGAGATGCTACGGCATATTCCATAAGAAGATTCTCCATGCCAATGCCCCCACTACGAACCTCATCGCTCGCACCTACAAGGCTACCCATCTTTCCCCTGCCATCTACTGTGACTTCGACGATGCGCATCCAGGAGTCGAATCTGCCATTTTCGTTTTGTTGCGATTTCAGGAAGTCCAATGCTTGCAACACCTTTTCATGCCCATCTCCTTCGCCCCAATGGCACAGAAATGTTACGACCTCGCTGACAAGTTTGCGAGTATTTAGACGGGGAGATGTAAGAGATCCTGCAAGAGCCATCACAATGCCGACATGGGCCAGGGCGTTATCAGCACCATACTTGTTGTTCATGAGCGCCTTCAGACACTTCACGATATCATATTCTCGGTCCAAGTCCTTTTCGGTAGAATTTCCAGATGGAGGCGCGGGCCCCGTTGCTTGTTTGCGATTAATTTTTCCCAGTACATTGGTCAGAGCGACTTGACCTTGTGCTTCTACAAATGATTTGACCCAGGCAATTGGTTGTGTGCGCAGGCTGACACTTAGACTTTGAAGCTGCTTCGCAGTGATTGAATTGTCCATGAGCTTCCGCACATACCATTCTGGACTACCCTCCTCGTCAGCTCTGCCGAGGATTCCGAGCGACTCTTGACCGCCGATAGTGAGTCGTGCATGTTGCTTTTTCTTTTGGTCGGTTTGGTATTCAGAAAGCTTGTCCTGATATACAAGTGTCCATTTCTTTGAGACAGGATATGCCTCCATTTGCCTTTTTGCTGCGTCAGGTAACATCTTCCAACCGCGTTTGACCATAAGTGCCATGAACTCTTGTTCTATTATACGTGCGTCGCTAGGTTTATCGAGATTGAAGCCCTCGGGAGAGATTGGTTGGGTGGAGGAATTACTTGAATGGTGTCCGAAACCATGCCGATGATGCGAGTCGCGATTCGAGCCGATCGTAGGTAGAAGGGTGGACTGATCAACACCAAGTGAGGAATAAGTTGAATGTGAAGGGGTGAGCAAAGAAGTCATGCTTGATCCTCTGTACGCTGAGCTATTCGAATATATGCTTGCTTGGTCGGATGCTGCTCGTGTATTGTTAGAGGAGTCTGAACCAGCATATGAAGGGTTATACGAGCCCGTTGCTGTGCTCGCCCTGGCATTACCGCCCCATTGCTGCACTGAGACCCCCCGATCACCAGGTTGACTTGATGCCATCGATGTACCTGTGGTATGGGGTGGCGGTCGTGGACCAGGTACGCTGGTATATCCGTTGGATTGTGGTACGGGAGTGAATGCTGGGTACTGATGAAAGTCGCCGCCAGCTTTGGCCAAATGATGCGGTTGCGGTTCGCGGGAGCGGACAGTCCGTGGGTCATTGCTCTCCTGAGGAAGGTATTCCACGGGTATTGGCGAACGCGCATCAGCTGTCCTGTCGTATGGAATTGCAGTTATTACACCAGCTTGCATGTTGATGCCCTGACTATCGTGACCACTTGAAGACGGACGATCTATTGAGGCCACAGATGTCCTATGTGAGTGGCGAGAGGATTGTGAATTTGTTATGCTTGGCGCTATACTCGAGGTCTCGGCGCGGCTATCGTGAGATCGATCCTTGTGAAGTCTTTTCCCGAAAAACGATCTACCGCCGGAAGACTGCCGCGACTTTTCATCTTGTGGAGTTGAAGACGGCATCATGGGAGGTTCCGAAATATATAGCAGTTGATATCCGGCAAGATGCACGCGCCTCGGAAACCACCTCTTGTGCGCCACAGACCAAGCGCTGCAATTTCAGAAAGAATGGCGCTGGACAAGAACGCGGCGAAGCGTTTGAAGCCGCGTGTGTGGACTATTCTCCGGACTGTCGCGAGTATGAGGGGGCGTTATGTAGTGAGAGGGGGCAGCTACGGAGGAGAAATGTATGCCGCTGTAGGTCGTCCGTAGGGGTAGGGAGCGGTGCAGGACGTATAGGAAAGGCGACGCGGAGCGAGGATTGCGAACGCATCAGTGTAGTCTGCTCATGGCCCAGGTCGTGTGAAGTGAGCGAGAATGCGTTCAAGGTAATTATTACGTTGTCGACGAAGAGAGCATTGGGGCATTGACTTCCTCAGTTAGACCCTGGCCTAGCCTAGTAATCGTGTTTCAGGGGGCGCTCACGTGCTACCGCGCGGAAGTGGAAACAGCGATCTCTTCGAACGTCTTGATATTCTGAGACCACTCACTCTCCTACGCTTGCGTTTAGTCTATAAGCACATTTTTAATCCCCGGATAATCAATATCGAGTCCCCGGGAGAAGCGTGTGGATACGCTTCCAAACCTCGTATCGGTGAGACTTGCCAGCACAGAGGCGAGGCCGTCCTTCATCATCTGGCCAATTCACATTCACTGAGACGTCGCGTCTGTTTGTCCTGTTTTTGCCACATCGCACCAAGCATCGCACCCTCCGACCTTCAAAAAATCACGGCGACGGAGATATGACGGCGTTTGGGAGCTTTCTCAAGGTGTGCATTACGTCCACTACTGTGTTATTTTCTTGGTTTAGAAAAAGAAAACCTGACATGCTTAGGCTATCCTGGCACCCGCGCTCATTGCGCTTGTAGCTTATATACTCCTCAGCTATTTTGTATTACCATTCATTCGGCGACACCGTCAGCGTTACAACCAGTACTTGCCTGTCAACGGCGGCCTCTCCACCATCTCCAACACAGCGCTCACAGTCAGACAACGTGTTGGTGATGCATTGATCACTTTCTTCCTCCCGTCATACGGGTTGCGTCGAGTGATAGACGGCTCAAGAGACCCAAGAGGGAGCGAAGATGTGATGTTCGATGACGAAGAAGGCGAGGATATGGTTGGGTTTGACATAGACGAGCGACGGCGAGAGGCCCTTGAGCGAAGAAGAAGTAATGTTGGGGAAGAAGATCTAAGACTGAGCCGTGATCTAGAGGAGGGATTCAAGGATGACAGCGACGATGAAACGACTGGGAGCAGAACAGAGCGATGACAAACTTGTCCGCCCAAATTTCGCATCGTTACTTATACATTCACATGCAGGCTTGGACTTGAACTGTGAACCTTTCGTATGGTTATGAACGCCCAGATGAGTCGCTAAGAATGCTTCCGTTCTGGCGATTGACCGACCCGAACATATGATCAACCAACATTTTTCCGTTCCAACGGACCAATTGAGATATCTACTTTCTCTGTCCATATGCCTTCGTAGCATAGTCACCAGCGTGTACAATCAGATCCTCAGGCCTGTAATCGAGACGGCCCGAGAAATAAGAATCGAGGATAGCTTTGGTGCCGGCAGCGTAACGCTAAGAAAAAGGTTAGCCCGTTCTTCGATATTTCAGAATGACAATCACGCGAGCACTTACCTTCTGAGCGTCAATGGAAGTACCAGACATGTGGGGAACCATGGCGTTACCGCCACCCCATGCATTCTGTGCGTATCGAAGAGGGTGGTCCTTGGGTGCCGGTTGCGGGAACCAAACATCACCTCCGTAGCCACGAAGTTGACCATTCTTGAGAGCCTCGGCAACATCCTCCTTGACAACGATGGCACCACGAGCAGTGTTCACCAGCCATGAGCCTAGCAGGATTAGTAACCTGGTGTCTGCGATTATGACATGTTTACGTACCCTTCTTCATCTTGGAAAGAAGTTCCTTGTTAAAGAGACCACGAGTCTTCTCGTGGAGGGGACAGTTGATGGTAACTACATCACACTGACCCAGCATCTCCTCGAGAGTCTCGACACGCCTGCAGCCAATTTCCTTCTCCTTCTCAGGAGATAGGGCCTGGTAGTCGAAGTATAAGAGCTCCTTACAGTCGAAGGGCTTCAATCTGCGCAGGACACGCTCACCGATACGGCCTACAGCCACGGTACCAACGACCTTACCCTCGAGATCATACTCGTTCTTTGCAACTTCGGCGACGTTCCAGTCACCACGGGCGACCTGTTCGTGAGCGGGAACGAAATTGCGGACGAGGGTCAGAATGGTCATGACGACATGTTCAGCGACTGAGACGACGTTGGAGCCAGTCACCTCAGCGACAGTGATGTTGTGTTTGTTGGCTGCGTTGAGATCGACGTGATCAGATCCAATACCGGCAGTGACAGCGAGCTTGAGTTTCTTTGCCTTGGCAAGACGTTCCTCGGTCAGATAGCCAGGGTGGAAGCTACAGGAAGAATACAATCAGTATGGCGCCAAAGGTCAAGGCGGACGTGCTTGAAAGTTGGACACTCACGGAGTCGTGATGATGACCTCTGCATCAACCAATTCTTTGTCGAATGTGGAGTTCTCGCCCTCCTTGTCGGACGTAGTCACGAGAGTGTGACCTTGCTCTTCAATCCACTTTCGAATGCCGAGCTCGTTCTCTGTGGTTCCGAGCAATTGAGGCTCCTGTTCGGCATGGACACCGCCCTGGGAAAACGTCAATTAGGGACAGTTCGAGGTTGTCACGCAGGGTTCACTCACGTCATAGAGAACCAACAAAACTTTACCCTGCATTTGCGAGGTAGCTGTTAGCGTTCTGATACCAGTACAGTTGGGATGTGCCCGGAAGGTAGGGGTAGCATTGTATCGTGAGACAACCCGGACGAAGCTGGGCACGGAGGTTGGGCGTGCGAGGCGGGACAAGGACTGAGCAAATACCATTGTGTATGAAGAAGTGAGAGTGTAACGGAGACGTGATCAGGAGGCGGAAGGTAGCTGGTTATAAAAGGTCAGCTATGCCAGAGCTCCAGGGTAGCCAGCTAGACGAATTGATGGTGAGAGGGGGAAGAGGCGGCAAGGACAAGGGCAAGTGCTGATTAGCTGTGATGACGTTGCAGCACGCTGAGAGCGAACCTGTTGACTTACGGAACAGAGTGAAATTGAGTGGACTGAGCGTGTTTTGGCGTTGGTGGTGATGGTGTGCAGTGAAGAAAGGTCTAGTGTGCAGATCGGTCGACAGTGTTTATTGCAGGTCCCGTTGATGCGGAGAGGGGCAGCAGTTTGAAATATATGTGCGTCCAGGTCCGTCAGTACTAATAGAAGTAGTGCTCGTGCTCGGTATGGACAATGAATTTGCTCCAATCTTTTTTGTCGCCGAATGCGCAGGCTAATAGGTGATGCCCCATTTCTCCACACCTAGGCAGATTTCTTCTCGTCATGTTCCATCGATGAATGATGGGCGAGACCGCACCGCCGCCATTACCATCCATCCAGTGTATTGGACTGGCCTGGAGAGAGAGCTAGACGTCAGACCTCCCCCTCCCCCACTTTCGTGTAGTGAAGCGTGAGGTCTGCGCTGCGTATTACACCGTCTGCTGGCCATAGCTCCATCTCCCACCTGCACATCATTCTGCTGTGGTGGTTGGCGCATTATCGGCAAATGCGGGGTCGTGTCCAATCGCGAGTAAGTCCATGGTGAAGACTGCTCCTCTTCGGCCCAGTGGGAGCATTCATTCAAGCATGTATTGATTCTTGAGCCACAGGTACACTAACCGGCTATTGTTGATGTTGTTTCCCTCCTAGGATTTCTGTGGGATCATTGCTATTGTCTTTCCGCGTGGGTCTGCTTCTAGCTGCAGATGTTGACTCTTCGGACTTCTCTCGTTCTTTCTAACCAACTCAGATCAGACTACCAGCAACATCCCTGGTACTGTAGAGCGCCAATTGCCTCGACTTGGAACTTCGGCATTGGTCTGTCCAGGGACCAACGGCTAACACGGAACGCTGTCGTTGTAATGTTTGGCACCGCAATTCTGCCTGTTGCCGCCGAGGATGTCCACTGAAAGCATCCCAAGAGAACACACTCGTGCAGCCAGCTAATTAAATCAGAAGCAGCTTTTGGCGTGTTGGGTTCTCGAGTTGGATATTGATAGATCATATGACCTCGTTCCTGCGACCAGGTCCAGCTTACACTTGTATCCCACTGTACATGCTGATTAGACCGCATCAAACCGGACTCCACCACAGAGTCTTCCAGAAAAGCTTGCTCGTGCGCCAGTCCATGTCCGGGACTCAGATATGATACCTATTAGATGTCACGAATCCATTTCCAGCTCAAGCCTTCCGTTTGTCCTGCCCGGTTAGAGTTGCTTTGCTGTTCTGTATACCCATCTATACAGCCCACCTCACTCAGCAATGTATCCCAGCGAGCGCGCATTATTGTGACATCACATGATATCCCTCCAACAGCCCTGTCGCATGCTTGTATACTGCGAACCTGCCCTGTACTATCGTGTATCTTTCTACCAATGGTAGAAGTGAAAACGTGTTCGGATCGATTGGAAAAGTTGGTCACGCGAGACTTGAGGGATATTATTAGCAATTCTGCAACTGTTCACAGTAGTCTGGCAGGGCCGCACTTTCGACTTACTCCCATATCGTGTTTGCACGGCTCGAAAATGCCGGAGCTGGCTGCCTTGCAGATGAAATCGCCGCGATAGCCGGACTGCTGTAATGTACGGCAGTCTCCATTTGAAGCTTTAGATTGTCTGCGCTTACGAATCGCATGCAATTCTGTTTAGGATAAGTGAGCTAGGACATGTACACAACATCAGGTAGAGCTGAGCGCGCGAGCGTGTGTGTGTGCCAAGGTCGACGCGCATGGACCCGCGCAAACGGGGAAGGTCGAGCGAGTTGAATGATGAATGCACATCTTCTCAGCAATCCCTTAGCGACGTATGCCTCGTTTACTCCCGCGATCAATTCTGCATGCTCAGTCTGAGAATCCTCTCCTCGCGAAACTACTCCCTACATGCAGAAGTCTCGCGTCTGCGCGTAATGAATTGCGATGGCTCCGTGAGCACGCTATCGACCACCATGCCACTGAGCGTAGCCCGGCTTCCAAGGGTGACAATAACAATTGGAGAGCGAGATTGAAAGAGCTAGTCGCACGACGAGCGAGAGGTGAACCTCTGCAATATGTTCTGGGAACTGAATGGTTCGGAGACCTTGAGCTCGTGTGCCGCCCGGGTGTACTCATACCGCGGTGAGTTCAGTCGACACCATCAGCTCATGTAACGTATATGAGAGAAAGAGATGCTGGGTCTACGGAGTTGTGCTCTTGCAATAATATCTCGAGACATACGTCAAGTGAAATGCGCCCAGCATGCGAATCAACGAGCGTGCCAAAGCCAGCTTGTGTTCATGCAAGACAACTGCCGTCTGCCGAGCGACCTGTGTGTACCACAGCATTTTGCGACTTGCTGCTAACCCAACGATCAGGCCGGACACCGCGACCGCTATAGGCTACCTCGTACAGCGGATGCTCGAGCGTGACCCTCACAAGTGGAGAAAGACACTTCGAGTGCTTGACCTTTGCACAGGCTCTGGCTGCGTATCTTTGTTTTTCCAGCACGAATGGATCAGGTTCATGCCCGTAATCCCTGAAATCCGCACTATAGGTGTGGATCTGTCTCCGAAAGCTATATCACTTGCACAGCTGAACCGAGACCGCCTGCTGAGAACTAAGCATGAAGACGTTGAACGGCACAAAGCATCACAGGCCTCTCACTTCTACGATACTGCATTCATTGAAAGTCTGAGCAACACCAGCTTCCTGCACGCTGATGTTCTCGAGGAATCACAGCTATGGCAAAAGCTAGAGGCTGAGCATAGCCTGGCAGCGGACATACTGCTGGCCAACCCACCATATATATCAAGATGGGGCTTCCAGCATTCGACAGAACGGTCAGTGCGTAGACATGAGCCTAAGATGGCTCTTGTGCCTCCCTTGCCATTCTCAATCCCAGGCAAGGACTGCCCTAAACGAGCAGACAGTGACGACCTGGGTGACTTATTCTATGAACCATTAGTCAAGACCGCATTAAAATCCGATGCAAAGATAGTTTGGTTCGAAGTTGCAGATATTGAACAAGCCGCACGAGTGGCACATCTGATCACCTCGATGGCTTCCGCGCGCCCAGAACAGCTGGAACTGTGGAGAGAAGAACCGATGCCTGGTATAGAAGGCCTGGAAGGAAAAGACGAGATATATCAGGGTTTTATTGTCAAGGGCAGAGGAAATGGCAGATCTGTAGTCTGGTGGCGAGATGGATAGCGATAGCCACTGATGATCTGGTGGAGATTGGCCTCATGCTTACACGATTGACATATAGTTAGACATTCTCGTCGTACGCCTATTGTGCCTGATGTTCACAATATTAAGAGCAAGGTTCATGGGAGGCAAGGACAGAATGCTTGGTATTATTCTGTGGAGCTCCGAACTACCCCACCAGAGCTCCTCCTGCCGAAGTCGGATCCATATGCAGATTTGAACAGGCAAACCGTGACCCAGGCGTGTATGGTAACTTACTATACATACCGCTGCTATTACTGTCCATCTCAGCGTACTACCCTTGTGAATCAGACGTCTCTCCTCAGCTCAACAATCGTGCTTAAACAAACATTGAAAGGTATCCAGACTCTTTGTCGCAAGCCATCCTACCTCTATCAGATTACACTATTGCCCTAGTCCCGAGGTCGGATCGAACAGTCATTCGAGAGCACGTGTTTTAGGTCATTCAACTCATCATATATAGTCGAACCCCAAGACATCAGCACAATTTTATCGACGCTACACAATAATAATGCCAGAACGGTCAGACGTACATTACTTCGGCGCTGGCCCGGCACCACTTCCATCTGCAGTGCTCGAACGTGCTTCTCAAGCCTTGCTCAACTACAAAGGTCAAGGCGTTGGCATATGCGAGATCTCGCATCGATCGGCGGACGCAAATGAGATACTTGCCGACGCAAAAGCAGCCCTCACGAGCTTGCTTGACATACCTGAAGATTACGAGATCTTGTTTCTTCAAGGCGGAGGTAGCGGAGAGTTCAGTGCGGTCGTCTATAACCTAGTCGGCGTCTGGGTTGAGAAGAGGCGTGCACAAGCCGAGAAGGACCTCAGCGCCTCTACCGATGCCAAGGGTGAAGCACTTGAGCAGAAGATATTTGAGCGGGTTCAACGAGAAGTCAAAGAAGAACTTAGACTCGATTACTTGGTCACAGGATCTTGGTCACTCAAAGCTTCCCAAGAAGCATCTCGACTCATAGGTGCAGAGTATGTGAATGTTGCAGTCGACTCTCGCAAAGCCAATAACGGCAAATTCGGTGTGATTCCGTCAGAGTCAGACTGGAAGCCTACACCAGGGAACAAGGCTGCGTTCACATACTTCTGTGACAATGAAACCGTTGACGGTGTAGAGTTTCCCCAATTCCCAAAGAGCTTGGAAGGAGCAGATGCCCCCTGGGTCGTTGCAGATATGTCATCCAACTTCATCAGCCGCAAGGTGGATGTCAGCAAGTATTCGGTCATTTTCGGTGGTGCACAGAAGAATGTCGGTAATGCCGGGATTACAATAGTGATTGTGAAAAAGTCGTTACTTCCACCGGCATCACCTCAGGCCGCACCAGAATTACTACGGAGGCTCAATCTCCCCATTGGTCCAATTGTTTTCGACTGGCCGACTATTGCCAAAAATAATTCGCTCTACAACACCTTGCCCATATTCGACGTCTGGATTGCGGGCCAAGTCATGTCTGACCTTGTATCCACCTATGGGGCAAAGAAGATAGCGGGCCAAGGGGAAATATCTGCTGAGAAGGCAAACATCATATATGGCACGCTAGAACAGTACCCAAATGTGTACAAGGTCGTTCCCGACAAAACAGTCCGTAGCAGGATGAATATCTGCTTTCGAGTAAACGGGGGCGACGAAGAGAAAGAGAAGACTTTTCTTGCGGGTGCTCAGAAAATCGGCCTGCTGGGCTTGAAGGGTCACCGAAGTGTTGGTGGCATACGCGCAAGTAATTGTAAGTGCGAGGAAAAGCTTTGGCTCAGCCAGATTGCTGATTGATCATCACAGACAATGCCGTGTCACTGGACGGCGCTAAGAAGCTCGTTACCTACCTCGAGACGTACGCTACCGGTGCATAATCCTTCACTCTGTAAAATATGTGTGTTTTGTTTACATTTGGACTCGAATTGGTACGTGCGACGCAATTCCGTAACATAGTCTCCGAAGCAGACATGCTCATTCAACATGATACCCACACTAGACAATGGTTTCAAAACAGTGAAAGTAGAAAATTGGCAGTGCACGAAGTCTTGAAATAGTAGCGAAATCCAGGTAGTCTCCGAAAGTGGATGCCGTAGCATTAGATGGTGTAAAGAGACCCTATATCTTACCAACCCTTGATCCCAGTCAGTGAGACCACGGGCTCCCGAGACCGCCAGTATGCTTGTCAGCGACATCAATGCATACTGAAGTATAATGCCAAGTACTTAGTTCGTGTTTGTTTGACTTGGATCGGCGTATTCTGCTATGTTTAGGCAGTGTGGCGCACATCATACAGACAGATGACGGCACCGAAACCACTCCTTACAGCGCCTCTCAGCATGAACAGGAATGAACACGACAGTTCGACATTGGAAGATGCGTAGTTGCCAATAATTCCAGGACACAAAATGATAACCTGAAGCTTGTTAAAAGTGGGGCTCCCAAGCGACCGAGCGGCTTCCCGGATACCCTGAGATCTCAAACTGCGATGTGACATCTACGACGCCATCAACATCGACCTCATCAATGCACCCTACATCTTATTCTCTCTTTGGCTATAGGATATAATTGGGTATATCTGCTATCGGCGGATGACCCTGTCTCTTCCACCGGCTACGAGGCGCGCGACATTCTTAACGCTTCATACGACAGGGCTAGATGCAAGCTCTACACACGAAGCCATGTAGACCAGCACCATCGATCTGACTCCAACCAGGGTCATGTTCGTCCCAGGTTGCCACGCTCACTCAGGTCAGCTCTGACTGTAACTTGTGCTCGCCATGGGATGACGGATGTGCACACTACATTCATTACCTCGAGACTTCGTATAAGAGTATTACGCGCAATGAGCAGCACGCCTTTTGCGATTATCAACGGCGAAGTAGTCCGAGGGGTCTAGGATATTCTTATGGTTCTTACAATTCTGTCTTGGTACCTGACTATCGATGTTCTCGTTACGCTGAGTCTGGCACTGTTCGCGTTTCAGGGCCCCCCTTGGCTGCTTGAACCCATTCTGCGTGCGCCGCACCTCTCAAGCGTGAGAACGATCTCCGAGTTATCCCACCAACTGAAGTGAGTGTATCTGATGCAAATGATCGGAGGGTGCGAAGCATCCATGGCCCGTCTACGTCATAGTATTCAGACAATGAGCTCGACGATCTGCTAATTCAGCCAAGGGCTATTGAAGCAGGTAGGATAGCATACAAATGTGGATCTTGACTGTCTATGGTTGAACTTCGCTGGTGATTTTTGGTTGCAGACATCCTTTCTGTGTTTTAGAAATATTCTTGGCCGCTGTCAAATGCAATGAGAGGGTAAAGACTGGCTTATACGATCGTGGCGCTTCTATATGGAGTATCGGATTGGCCGCAGCCGGTATGTCGATTATTGCATGAGCATCAGGTCTCTTTCACGTTTAGCGTCTTTCGCTTGACAGTTCGATCTCACCTATACTGCAAGCCCTTTGAGGTTCCAGGAGTCCAGGTCACGAAACCCAAGGCGCCATCAATCGATGTCTCGGCTTGTTCATATACCTTTGCTGTCTCATGCTGTTGCCCCCTCCAGATGCTCCGCTCTTACATTCCTTCACTTTCTCTCTATCCGGGCTGGTACCAATTTTTCCTATTTGTTTTCTAAGTATCAACAACCACGCGTGTTTCCTCTTTTCTCGGTTTGGGCATTCTTCATGAATCTCCTCACCATTACGTTCTTTCAACAAGACTGGTCTTCGTTGTCACACTAGTTCGCTCATTCATTGCTTTCGGATTTGTGCCAGTACAAAACATGGGAGAATGGCATCTTACACAGGTATCGAATATAAAGAGAGCAGATGGCTCATTCGCACAATATGAGCAATCCACGAATATTACGACGATAACACTCCTCGAAATTATGGGGATGATGACGGAGATGGATACACAGAGCCTGGACCAGTTCGGACAGGTCAGGGCGCTCATCGACAGTCTTATCCTGAGCAAAGTTGAGACACTTCGGACAATGCACATCGCTTTAAGCTGTATAGGTATTGCCTCTGTGCTCGTGGTGATCTTTTGCATCTTGCAAGAAGCCAGGAGGTCTGCAAAGCTACGAGTAACACTCAGACCACGGTTAGTCGATCAGTGGTTTTGTCCAAGACTCACTGACATGGATAGAAAATTTGACCTCCTTCATGACGTGCATGAGGCTGAAAAATTCCCTCTTACGCTTGTGTTCACAGCTTTGATCCAGCAAGCTGTGTTCGTTGGTGTGCAGAGCTCAGCTCTGCATAGTGTTGTAGTGACGGGCTGCTCGAAGGTTGCGCAAGTAGTTTTTCCCGGTATAAGAGATCAATGCAAAAAGGTGGTCTATAAGCTGACATAAGTGCTGTAGCTATCTTCCTTCTAGGGTACACTACTTTCGTGTACGGCGTGGAAATAACGAGACGTTCGCTTGGATCGAAACCATTCAGACCAAAAGGCAAATGGACCGGTTCCATATGTACCGCTTCGGTGGCTCTGCTTCTCCTTTTCACCTGGATACCAACCGCTATCTGGCGATCACCAGATCGCTGCTTTGGCAATCTACTTTGGTTTCCTGTTCGATACAACGTCATTGCAATTAGCGTTGTATCATTACTGATATTTATTTTGATTCTTATGGGAGTGATTGTCATTACGCAGCTCAAGAGAAGCGTACAGGTCGATGAGAACGAGAGACTGTCAGCATCATTGATCTGTTACTACATCTTTCTGACTGTTTTTATATATGTAAGTCCCTGTTGTCTTACAAATCTGTGATAGCCACTGAACATATACTAGACGCTCATTCTTCCTTTCTTTATCCAAGCTCTTCTTCACAATTTCGACTCCAACCTTACGAGTTCTCGTTTGGCTGAAGTTGCTTTATTCGGTAACACCCTTTTTCTTGTCACATTTTATTTCTTCTTGCGCGTCAACGCAACTCGTTTGACCATAAAAGCTCCTGGTGCCCTCGGTTTCTCAAAGGGACACCGTGGCAGGAGTTTTGGCCCCGGCTATATGGCATCAAGTATCAGTGAACCAATTCTCTCGACTACCCACGATATCGACAAGACCATTCTGCTGTTCGATAAGAAAGGTCATCTAGAACCTGACTTCGATCCTCGAGCAGAGACGTCTAGCATTACCGAGCAGGGTATACTCTCACCGGGTCGACTTGACCCCTCAACCTGGCCATCGCCCCCTGACCCTTGCAGTCCGACCACAGCCAGTCCTTCAGATCTGACGAAAAGGACAAAGTCAAGCTATTCAATCTTCCCAACTCGCGCCGATGAAATACCTCGGCTGCCTCCTTCTGTCTATTCCTTCAACAAGTCAAGCAGCTTGAAATCATTCGCACCATTCAAGCGCACCACGACTGCGTCTGAAGTAGCCTCTATCACTGACGTATCTGCGTCTTACGAGGGTCCACTTCGTCCTCCATTACCCCTATTTGCACACCGTCATCGCCGAGATAGTAGCGGTGGGAGCAGTGCAACTGTACAGATAGGACTGAGACTATCTGTTGCGCCTGCTACGATTGCAGCTGGGCACATTACCACACAAAATCGCACAATACCAATCCGGCGACCAACACTGCCTGCGCACCCTGCAGTGCTTCGTCGCGATCACAGTAATCCAAGTGTCGAAAGCCTAGTTCTGCCTATCCAGACTCCATCAGGATTTACTTCCAAAGACATTACCACCTCTCAGGTGCAACCACAAAAGGCCGGTGAGACTTCTACCGAGACTGAGACTCGCATCACACCGACCGAGAGCAGTGGAGAATATCTCGAAAAAGCCCGCGACAAGGTCCTGCCACCGATACCTCATCCATCTGGTACCCGTGGCGTCAGTGGACTCAGGCTGAATCCGGTTACACTACCACCTGCAAAACCTGCAAACAACGCGGGCTGGATATGAATTCTCTATTGGCATATCTGTAGACAAGCCTTATGCTACATTCATCAACAACAACCACAAGCCTGTCGCGCGCATATCCAAGTCTGAGACAAACTATCCCCCCGCCTAGCCTGGGGGTGATTCAATAAGTGTTTCATCAGCGTCAGTGGCGAAACAGGGCTTTTGAGTTCTTCTAACGCCAGCATGAATCCACACAACTCTGACTCGCAGAACTTGACCCCATAACGACTCTACTTTGGCACCTACTACTTTCATTCGTCCGCTATGACAGCCGTATGATTCTTGGTGTTTTGTCTTTGCCGTACATTTATACCTTCTACAATATAGATTTGGGGATGTCACTATTCCTAGATCGAGTTTTCGTGTACATTATATCTTACGATGCAGTCGAATAGAAGCGGACTTTTGATTGTTTTGGTTCGATTGGGAGGGAATTACTGATGTATGATGCCTGTGATACGTGATGATTGAATATCGAAATATCGACCAGGTTCATTGAACATGAGTGTCGCGTACAGGACACTGTACCAAGACGGATGAGTGACCTTTTGGGACTTATGTTTGCTTTATGTGGTAATCAGTCTTGATTGCGGTAAGTATATTCGATCTTTGAATTATCTTGTATGTATAGAATTCTAGCCAATCATGGCGGAGGCTCTGCTTACGTAATGGAAACTCACTCCGTAACAATTCGAGGTTTTGGTATTGCGCGTGGAAGTCCGCAACGCGACTACGAAGGTCGCCAACTTCATCTTCTCAATCCCTCACTCCCACATATCGCAATCATGTCGCTGGTATGTCTATACAGGATCTGCTCCGATGCATAGCTAACCATGGCAGCAAAACATCACCACCGTCGCCGAAAGCAAAGAGCTTCGCGGGCTCAACCTCATCGCGGCGCATTCCCACATCCGCGGCCTCGGTGTTGAACCGGACACCTTAGAGCCCAAGTCGTCATCGCAGGGCCTCGTCGGGCAACAAAAGGCACGCAAAGCTGCGGCGGTAATACTACGGATGGCACAGGAAGGGAAGATCGCTGGGCGCGCGGTGTTGATTGCAGGACCCCCGAGCACGGGCAAGACCGCGATTGCGATGGGAATGGCACAGTCTCTGGGGCCCGATGTACCGTTCACGATGCTGGCGTCGTCGGAGATATTCTCTTTGGAGATGTCGAAGACGGAGGCGCTTACGCAGGCGTTCAGGAAGTCGATTGGTGTGAGGATTACGGAGGAGAGTGAGGTTATTGAGGGAGAAGTTGTCGAGATCCAGATTGATCGGAGTGTCACGGGTGTATGTCTTTAGCAGGGATTTTAACGATTGTGGTGGTGGCTAATAGATGTGCAGGGAAACAAGCAGGGCAAGCTCACGATCAAGACTACTGATATGGAGACGATCTATGATATGGGTACCAAGATGATCGACAGTATGACGAAAGAGAAAGTTATGGCTGGAGATGTCATCTCTATAGACAAGGCCTCGGGCAAGATCACAAAGCTCGGCCGCTCGTATACAAGGTCTCGCGACTACGACGCGATGGGCGCAGATACCAAGTTCGTTCAATGTCCCGATGGCGAATTGCAAGTACGACGCGAAGTCGTTCACACCGTGTCTCTCCACGAGATCGATGTTATCAACTCCCGAACGCAAGGTTTCCTGGCGTTGTTCTCTGGCGACACTGGTGAAATCAGGAGTGAGGTGCGGGAACAAATCAATACCAAAGTAGCCGAATGGAAAGAGGAGGGAAAGGCCGTCATCGTACCTGGAGTACTCTTCATCGATGAGGTTCATATGCTGGACATCGAGTGCTTCTCGTACATCAACAGGGCGCTGGAAGACGATCTGGCCCCCATAGTCATAATGGCAAGCAACAGGGGTCAAACACAGATACGAGGAACCTCATATCGATCACCTCATGGCCTGCCGTTGGACTTTCTGGATAGAGTGGTCATAATCAGCACATTGCCATATTCAAGCGAAGATATTCAACAAATCCTTTCCATTCGTGCAGCTGAAGAGGAGATTGACCTCACGGCAAACGCACTCGCTCTGCTCACGAAGATCGGATCTGAAGCAGGGCTACGGTACGCAAGTAACTTGATCACAACATCGCACTTACTTGCGCAAAAGCGCCGTGCCAAGGAGGTTAGTGAAGAGGATGTCGAACGGAGTTTCAAACTATTCTACGACCCCGGGAGAAGTGTGAAGGTATGTGCTTTAGAAAATAATTGTAATATCTCTGCTAACAGACACAGTTCGTATCCCAATTCGAGAGTCGCTTCATTGGACCCGAAGGTGCTGTGAATCTAACGGCCACTAACGGTGCAGAGGCAATGGACGTTTCATGAGGGGCAAAGTGAATGGTAGACAGATTTGATAGCAAAGGCGTTTAGGCATAGACACTCGTAGGCAGGCTAAAAGTGAGCACCCTATGTACCAATATTGTATCGCTAACAGGCGTGAGAAAACTATGAATAGTCTATTGATGGAACAATAGAGTCGTGTCATCATTCAGGATATGCTGGGTGGGCCTTCACTGTGGCGTACAATAGCTAAAGTTGACGCACTTTCACATTCTGACTCACGTCAATAGGCAAAATAGTTTGGGTATGAGTAATCGAACTTAATTGCACCCCCTTGCCTCTATATGCCCCGGCACTGGAATGACTTTACTTTAATTCCATTTACAGTTTTTTGAGAAATTCACAACATACCTTTAATACATCAACATGGCATACGACTTAGATATGAAGTCGAGAAAGGAGCGTCAGCATCAGGACGTCTCAGAAGATGCTAATTGCCATGATACGAATCTCACTCAGTCTTATTCGGACAAGAAATCACAACGGCAAGGCCACATCCCGCACTCGAGGAGATCCAGAAAAATGATTTCCGCAGACCAATTTCATGCAGACTCAGCCTCTTATGAGTGGACACATTCACCATTCAGCACGTTCAGATCACTCTATCCTCCTCGAAATCACCTCACCGCTGAACGCAGACGCCAAATTGATGACTTCAACACCTCGTTCGGGGGCTCTCAAACTGCACATTCCACACCTACGGACCAATACAAAAACAGTCTCAACGCATACATGCTCTCGACATACCGTCGCTTCGCCGCGTTTCAGAACGAATACCTCTGGCTCCATGACAAAGCAGACTGTTATCACTGCCAGGACATCCTCCTCGAACACTTCCGTTCCTCGTTGCGCTCGGTTGAAAGCTACCTCGATGGTCTCATCCTCGAAAATGCTCTGGACCAGCCGTATAACACAGACTACGATATCATGGGGTTGTGGTGGAGTGCCAATGGGAAGGCTTTCGAATTCAATAAGCTCCCGACGGAGCTTCGTGCTCAAGTCTTCAAGCTCTGTCTTCCGCACGAACGGCACGGTCGCAGGTTGTCAATGCATAAGGCCGGTCTCAACAATGTTAGCGCTCTGTCTGCCCTGGGCAAGTTTCTTGGAGATGGATTCAGGTCCCTCCTGCTTGTTTCCAAAAGCATACAATTCGAAGTCATGAACATCGCGCTTAATGCAGGAACCTGGGTTGTCACTAGGCACCACCATCTACTCCGCATGCAATCAATCTTCACTGGTTTCTCTATCCGACAAATCGTCACGCTGGAGCTTGACTTTGACCAGCTTCTTAGCCCCGGAGAAGTCTTTCCGAAGGTGTGCTTCGATGCCGTCGCGGCACTTCCGCTCAGGAAAGTCATCGTTAAACTACCCTCACCGAACGACGAGGTCATCCTACGTGGTGGTCGAAGCTATAACATGCCGCAGCGGCCGATGTGCTACCGGCTTCATAGCGCCTGGATCCTGTGGGCTGTGCAGCCGCTGGTTCGCGACGTGCCATGTGTCCAGGTGACAGGATTTGCGACGAAGAAGCATTTACGCCATTTCATGAGGACGATCCGGGAGCATGCACGGATCGTTGCAAAGGCGCAGACTGTGGAGCTCTCACATTTCCGATACAGCGAAGAGGATGACATGGACGAGGGGGGAGTGAGCGTTGGGTTGGTGGATGAAGGGAAGGCAGATAGGCCATTGGAATATGTCGCCCCTCGCGAGGGTCATAGATCGATGCGTTCCCAACCGCGGGTCCACAAGGGAGTGGTGAATGAGGATATTTCGGCTAGGGTTCTCAAGTGTGAGTGTACGCCGCCGTGTAGTCCGGAATCTCTTGGGCAGTTCCTTGAGCTATGAAGGGGGCGGATATTTAGATATCTACATAGGGGCGCCAAGGAACATTGTCTGGCAAAGACAGACACAAATATGATCCTTGGAAACAGGCCAATGTTTGTAGATTAGGATATGTGAACAGACAATGGTGGATCTAATTTCAGGTCAATTCACTAGGCAAACGCGTGAACAGCCCGTATCCTCCGTGACTCAATCTAACACTGTGTAACCTTTTCTGAATATATAACAACAACGCCAACACAAACTCAGATACAATACAACACGTCAAGTGAAATTCAGGTTTTCTCTCGCCCTATCGGATATAACGGCACTCCAGCCGATGCACGTAGAGCTATTCACCTTACTTTGAGCTGAAAATTTCAAACTCAAACTCAACACAGCACAGTCACGTAGACAGCCTCACACACCCGCTACTACATCATGGATTCCTGGAAGTTGAGGGAACCAACCGTAGACTTCCAATTGTTCGATGATGGAGAGGATGGAGAGAACGGCCTCGATCAAACCCAGGGCGCAGGTTCACGACATCTTCCTCGAGATGAAGCACAAAGTGAAGGATGCAAGACTGACCCGGAACTCACTACGTCCAGCAATGACCTCTTCCAGGATACGGACAGTCGAGCACAGAGACACGGGTTTGGAAAGAATATGATCATGGATTGGCTGAACAGTGGTGAAATCAAGAAAGTCGACAGCGATTCTCCTACTCAAGACCAGATTCTCCGTGATCTGGGAGCTATAGAGCAACGTCGCAGAGCTTCCAGCGAGGCAGCCGGACCCATGAATCATGCCAGCTCACCAGAGTTGCCGAAAAGAAGTTCACCCCCAGCGGAAGCGGAGGAGGCAAAGAGGCCGCGACTGACAAGAGACAGCCACAGTTGGGACTCTCAGTACAAGTACTACAACAAGTCCATGGCCGCTTTGATCATGAACACACCACCATCCCCGTGCCCGAGCCGCCGCTACCGAACCTCCGAGCCCAAAGGCAGCGACAACACAGTACGCCGCAACCTCTTCGGCGCCATCGGCGAGAACCGCCCACAATCCCACCGTCGACCCAGAGATCCCAGGCCCATCCTCCACCCTATCGCAAACAACCCACAGCTAACCCGTGAGTCCGCACGCAGCCCCCCTCAAATCACCCCTTTCTCACCAAGCCGAACCTACAACCTCCCGCTCACAAAGCGTCCTTGCCAAGAGCACCTCCCCCTCGAACTCCACGCCATGTGCAAATCATGCACGACCAACCTCCTCAGCGCCACGCGCAAGCATCCCGCGTCAAACCCCCCCGGACGCCTTTCCTACCCACGCATCAACAACGAGTGGTCGCCGTACAAGGATATCCCGCTGTGTCAGCAGGCTATACTGCAGAGATGGGCGCGGAATAGTGGGAATACGTGGATCGATGCGATGTATAAGTACCATGAGGGGGCGGGGTGTGCGTTCATCGACGTGGTCATCAGATATCGGACGGAGTCTAGATATCAGCGGAAGTTTCCGGGGCGGGCTCTTCCGAGACCGCGCGCGAGGAAGCGCGGGCAAGATAGATTGGAGAATCAAGGGATTGGGAAGGGGGGTTTTGGGGGTCAGGAGGGAGATGGTGGTGGGGATAGCATTATGGGGGATGGGGAGCAGGCTGCTGTAGTTGCTACGGTGGTCGATAAGGTGGAGTCGGGATCTGAGGATGGGATTCCTAAGCTTGATGAGGAGGGTTCTATTGAGGCATGTGAGAAACTTGTTGATGATACTGGCGATGAGTCTGATGACGCGATAGATCATAAGCTGGTTGACGGGTCTGCTTCTGCGAAGTTCAGCTTGGAACGTTATTTCAAGACTGAAAGTGAGGAGAAGAAAAGTTCTTAGATTCTGAGACGTCGTAGTACTAATTGAGATATTCTCGTGTTGCTGATGAATGTTGATTGAATGAGGCATGATATGATGGATATCAGGTACAAGTGAATAACCGTGACGCTAGTAAAGTGGGTCCAGAAGGGCAAGCCGGACTAATGGTTTTTGTAAGTATGTACGATACATACGTAGCTGGACTGCTCTTTCTCAGCAACAGCCACGCCCTCATGATACACCCACAGCTTTAAACTCGACTTCAGCTCAACTTTGAGCAGCAGACACCTTTGCATAGCCATGTGTTTCGGAGAAACAAACCCTCGTTCGGGCTCATAGCTCTTTGAGAACGCCAGTCAACGCGCTGTCTCGAGCGCGCCATGACTTCCACTACGTCTACTCTGACAAGATTCAAGCCCGTCATTCTATTTACAGCCGGTGCTGCCGCAGCCCTAGCATCCTACTATCTCTACATCTCATCAACGCCTCCGACTGGTTTACAGCGCAGCAATGCCGTTCGCGAAAGGCACAGGCGACCGCCGGCACACCCTACCCGAGACGCACGCCATGAACGAACAGCGCAACCTGTCTATCCAGAGGGCGGTACCGAGGGTGTGCTCGAGCGACTCGCAAATATTGACCACGATTTCGTGTATGGGGAGGTACGACACTTTAATACAGCTATTCCGTTGACTCTACGGACCATCGCTCCATTAGAGATACGGAATCGGCTTACGCCCTCGGTGCTCCCCGACACCGTTCCCGATATTGATTGGGACAATGTTGTGGATGAGGTGCACAGGGACTTTATACACCATTTTATGAGGGTGGAATTTGCCCGTCGTCCAATCGAACTGGACGAGCTGGTAGTAATATTCTACTGGTTGCTGGATCGACTTGTGAGGGCGGAACTGATCGCGGAATGCTTTTCTGCATACTCTGGAGGGATACCGGATATTGGAGCTCGACTACAGCAAGAGACGACTGAGCAGCCAGGCACTTCGGACCACGTCGAGGTAGTCGAGGTTCCGGAGACAGAAGCGTCGCATCGCGTTTTCGATGACGCCGAGGACGACGGACAAGTGCTTCAAAGAGCTGTGTACTACATCGCAGAGGAGCGCACGAAACAAGAGGGCGTTATCCATAGAGGCATTACGTGCGACCAGTGCGATACACGACCTATTCGAGGCATCCGTTGGCGCTGTGCAAACTGCGCAGATTTTGATCTTTGCTCGTACTGCGAAGCCGACAATCGTCATGACAAAACGCACATCTTCTACAAAGTCCGCATCCCAGCCCCGTACTTGGGCTATCCCCGACAGCCCTTCACGCCAGTATACCCCGGCAGGCCTGAGATGATGCCAAACGATATACCACGCGAAGTCAAGAAAAAGATGATGAAGGAGATTCCCAAGATGCCATACGAGGAGCTTGATGGACTATGGGACCAATTTACTTGTCTGGCTAATGCAGTCTGGAAAGAAGATCCAAACGGGATAGGATGGGCAATTGACCGGAAGGCCTTTGATACGGCTTTCATACCGCACTACTCTCTGTCGACGTCAACACCGAACCTTATATACGACCGTGTTTTCGCTTTCTATGATTCAAATGGTGATTCACTCATTGGGTTCGAGGAATTCCTACGTGCAGTGAGCTCGGTCCATTCCCGAAGTCAAGGTGTACGTTTACGGATCGCATTTGACGGATACGATATTGATGGCGACGGTCTGGTGACACGTAAAGATTTTCTACGATTATTCAGGGCGTATTATGCGATCCAGAAGGAGAGCACGAGGGACTACATTGCTGTTCATACCGAATCGCTCGGCGTTGCAGGGGCACTCGATACTATCATGTCGAGCCAGCCACTTGCATCCCACTTCAGCGAGATTCCGATTCCATCAGGAAGACGCAATAGGGCGCCACCCGACAAGAACAGAGATCAATTCGGTGATCCAGTCAGTACAGAGGCCGTGGTCTCGGAAACCAATGAGGGCGTGGATCGAACTCAATTTCTTGAATACGAAGCGCTCATAGGACATCTTCGAGGCAGCGCTGACCGGAGTAATCGAAGCAATCTGCCCCTCGAGCGTTGGGAAAGGCGCGAATTCTATGTTGATGTGGAAGAGGGCTATAGTCCAGGAGCGCATATCCGTGGTGGCAGTCGACTAGATGAGACGAGCAGTATGACAGCCGCGGATGGTACATACACAGACGCTACCTCAAATACTGGCGCCACTTCTGAGCCGTCCAAGGTATCAGATGACGGTGAGGATTCTACTACCTCTCACGGGCAAGCAGGTGGCATTGTTCAGGACAAAGCGAGTTCAGATGAAGAGAATACAAATGAAGAAACTACAGGCGATGGTCCGGCTGAGACCGGGACCTTTGCCAGGACGTCAAGATCTTCTTCGAGAGTTCGCTTCCAAGATGACGTAGATCTGGAGACCAGATCCAATGCTTCCACTCATGCGTCAACGTCTTCACGACCAGCTGGGGAGCGATGGGGAGGCTACGAGGTTCCACGGGCGGAGAAAGACCTTGGCAGGGAGCTGCTTTACCAGATCACCCAACAAGGCTTCAATGAGCTTCTAGATCCTCTTTTTAGAGAAAAGGAGGACCTTGCGATGGAGACATATGCGACCCAAGAGGAGCGCAAGAAATGGAGACATCTTGTGGAAGAGCACATGGGAAAACCGATTAGTTCCTTGAACAATGTAGCAATCCTGGCATGTCTACTTGGTGTGGAAATTTTTGAACAAGACTTCCGACGCATCCTGCATATTATCACCGACAAGCATCGCGAGGCCTACAAAGAGCTTGGCCCGGAGCGAGGCTGTTTGTCTTATCTTGATGATGTACGGGATGCTGAGCGACAGCTCCTGCATGATAATGTCAAAATCATAGAAGAACACACCCAGGCTATAGCTAAAGCAGACCTTGACAACGCGATGGAGTCTCGCCAGAAAGTCATCAAGGAGACGTGGGAAAGCATTCGAAAATCGCTGTTCTCGACGAAACAACTGTCGTCGCTCGAAGTCGATGAGACTGTTCTGGATGCCAATATTCTGAGTCAACCACTCGAGAACCTGCTCGCGTCAGCAGGTTATGAGGTCGACGGGACTCTGGATCCACTGGAAGATGGATATCCACAAGAGCCGGCAGTTGACCAGGCTCATATTGCTGCACACATAGCAGATGCACGGCAGCAAGTCGAGGCCATGACGCAGGCATTTGAACAGGAACCACACGCCAACGCCTCTGACTATGTATATAGAGATCCTACGCTTCCTCAATTCCGTCCAAACACAGCAGACGATGAAGTAAGAGCATCACCATCCACACCAGAGGAAACGCTGATGAGCGGCGCCATCCAGCCTGGTTTATCCCAGTTCTCTCGCCTTCGCCTCGGTCTCCTTCAATCGCGTTACGCGATTCCAGGCGAATCTCAGTCGCCCATCGAGGTTTCCCCATCCAGCCCCGGTAGCTCCTCATACGGCAGTTACTTCACCAGCTCAGCCGCCGAAGAGGCCGCGTTTCGCGCACCCCGAACCGCTATCCCTGTCGTCGTCGACCCTCGAAGTAATCCTCTCGAGCGTTCGGAAACGGCCGAGGAAATGATTCAGATCCTGCAGTCTGCTGCGTACATGCAGGACAGTTCGACAGTCTCTACCAATTATTCTCGCGAAGATCAAGCTGCACATCATGCTGCGTATATGACCGCAGCGAGGTATTTCCGCCCGGACCCCGAGGTTGGGGATCGAGTGCCGCCGGCCTGGAGACTGGATCGGCTTGTGCTGCTGGAGAAGCATGAGAGCGAGATGAGGCAGCGCAATGGGGCGGGACGGATCACGTTCGAAGAATTCGAGGAGCTGGTGCGCAGGGACGGGGATGTGGGCAGGCTGAGGTATGTTGAGAGGCTGCTGGAGAGCATCGGCATCTAAAACGGCGAAGACATTGTCCTAGCCTTTGGGTTGTTGCATTGAATCCGGCATATCTCCACATACCACACATACCTCCCTTTCTTCCGTCCTGAGCGAAGCCCGCTCGCTCGTAGGAAGGCTCAATTGATGACTTGGCACAATATGGGACCCCAAACAAGCTCTTCGAATATACAGCTCAATGATTCACTCGCAGAACTTTGTGGGCTGACTTTGGTGTGTGCGGGCTATCTAGTGCCTCCCACTTCCTCGGTCGGAGGTTCAACCTGATCTGGTGGGAGGGCGAGGGGTTCAAGCGGTGGTGTGAGCGGTACGCGCTCGAGCGGGAGATGGGATGGTCGTGAAAGCGAAGCGAAGCGAAGCGAAGTGAAGCCGAGCAAAAAGCGTGCTCGGCTGAGATTGTGATGTGTACTGTGTATGATGACGAGACGACGTTATGATGTGTGTGCATGCATGCGTGGCATAGAAGGGAGGGGGCATTGGTGGTGCGATTGGTGTGGCATTTATTGCGTCTGGAGGGGGTGGGAAAGGAGGTGTCACTGTGTATTGATAGCTTTGGAGAGGGGGGAGAGGGGATAGAGATGGGTTGTGAGGGGGGAGGGTGTGTTTATTCTTTGTCTTTCTCTTTCTCATTCACTCATCTACGGACGTACGTGCATGTATGCGCACGTATGAGCAGCGAGAATATGGAAGGGGGTATATGTCATGTGCGCTCTGTGAGTGGGAGTGAGAGTGTGTCTTTCTTTCAGACTTGTATTGCTTCTCGGGTCTGTACGGAAGTATTCTTGGGATATCTATCTACCTGACGAACACACTACTCACTACCCTGCCGTTGCATTCTCCTTTAGGACTGGTTCGTTAATCTTCGCATCTCTTCGCCGCTTCAAAAAAAGCAAGCAAACGGAAAGATACCATCTCACACTCACAATCACACCCACGCACGGTACCGCGTAGCTTACTATACGTACAACACAACACAACCCGCACCGTGTTTTTGTGGTCAAACTCTTTGTTCTTCGCTGGTTATTGAGAGATCCGCCGGCACTATGCATCAGCATAATAGAAGCGTGTGGAGCGTTGGATCTGATGGGGATCAACGTGAGCGGGATTTGGGACCTGAGGATGGGCAGACTCGTGCACGTAAACGCACACATATACATACACACCCACATGCCAACGCCCACGGACACGCCCACGGACACGCCCCCGCCAAATTTGAAACTCGAATCAGACCCGAAACGCAAACGCAAATCCAAACTCCCACTCCAATCCAACATCCCACCCCCACCCCCACCCCCTCATCCTCACATACCCAAACACCGACACAAGCCCGCCTCACAGCGTATATCGGCGCGAACGGGGATGGGTTCCAGCCTGTAGCGTGGGCACTGAAGTGCTGGGTGGTGTTTATCGTTGTTCTTGGGATTGTGTGCTGGGTTTTTATTGTGTTGAAGCTGCATCGGAGGGTGGAGGGGTGGGTGAGGAGGATGAGGATGAGGGGGAGGGTGATAATAATGGGGAGGGAGGGGAGGGAGAGAATAGGGGAAAGTATGGAGGGGGGGATCGAGGGGAGGGAGAAGGTTGAGTAGGTGATATGTCTTGCACTTTGGCGGCTTCGACGTATGCCGAGTGTGGGAAACAACATAACGTTTGGTGTCGCCTGTAGTCAGATCCAGAAATCTCCTTCAATATCCCCCCCAATAACGATGAGCGCATAGAGTGATAAGCGATGTAAATGGGGCGTATACCCGTATAGGTATGTGCATGCGATGATGGCGAGCCATGTGTTTATTACGTAGTGCGTGTAGGTAGCACAGCGGCGAAAGAATTTATTTTGTGTGCATTCTTCGGCTTTTGATGTTGGGTACACGTACACATGCTAGTCTAGTCGTGTGTGGTACGTGGTAGTCGTACCAATATGGTCATCCATGGCTCCTTGTAGCGAATGCCGGATGGGAAGACTGGGTGATTGATCGGAAGGGGGGTTTTTTGATCCTGGTCTGGCGGCTTGGAGTCAAGATACGTGGTTGAGGCTACTTGATCGGTTAGGCGTCAGCTGGGAGGTATGTGCAATGTAAGTTCTTGTCGGTATGTCTTGGCGTATGCTACGAGGGTTTGTTGTCGGTGCTATAGTTCGGAGGATTGTATGTAGTTCGCGCGGAATGGGCTTGTGATGTTTGGGCAAGTACATGTAGAGGTCTAACGAGTAGGTCGTGTGGCTGTACGAGGTCAAGTAGATAGTTATTAGGAGAGCCAAGCAAGGATGTATAACAGTTGATGAAGCTATTGACCGACAGATATATCATATCAGCCACCTGCAGCTTGCACGTGGTAGGCTGTCGGCAGTCGCGGAGTATACACACACAGATAGCAGAAAGATGGCTTGGAAGGGTGTCGAAGTGTAACAACAGTGTATGTGGCTGCTTGTGGCTACAGATGGTTGGAGGTGGCTTTGTAGTTCGTACTAACTTTTGGTGTTCGTATTTTATATACTATCGCGACTGAATATACGCGTAGCCTTGCCCGGATCGGCAGTTGAGCCGCCGGTGTGGGGAAATCCCGCAGGCTCAATCCCTGCACCCAGCCCGTTCCGAAGCGCGCGGCATTCCCTCGGTCCCATACAGAGAACTTCACCCCCAACCATCTTCTTCGCTGCCTTCTTTGCTGATACATCACGCTCATGACCCAATACGCTGACCACACGCCAGCATTGCATACTGGACGGTAAGACAAATATGGGCTACCTGATGTCAGCAAGGCGAATCGCCATGCGGTGTACGAGCATTAGTAGCATGAAGTCATCGCGTACGCCGTTGGGTTGCACATCTCTCGTCTTTTTCCAAGTCGTCAACTCTATCCAATCTTGTTCAGAGTCTTGCGAATCCCATCAACGACGTGTCGCTGAATATGGTGCCGTTGTCGATCATGGACGCTTTGTTACTGATGATCGTCAAATGTCCGAGTGAATTCGTATTATATATATTCGCCTAATTGCTGCCATTGCAGATATTGGCCTGATCCAAATATATCTCTCCGGCGATCAACAACAACGACCATTCACCGATGCAAAGAGACCCTTCCATCGTCGCTCCCTCACGTCGTGGTACTAGTGTTTACATTGGTGCTGTCGCCGAAGTGTGGTAGCCACCACCTGCAATCACCTGCCGAATCCACCTTTGGTTCGCGTGGTTGGGAACACACTCACCACCGACTTAGCACTACAAGTAAACTCAGCTGGCCTTGTAGTGGGAGGGCAGTTTGTTCGATGCATCGCCGTGCAACCGCATTCTTATCGCCATTCGCTCATCATCAATAACTACTCTCGGTCGATAAGCCCTACTGCCACCGCTTCATTTTTTTCTCTTACTGTTCACATGCGGTCACATCCCATGTTCATCTGTCTATCTGCACGATATAAGACGCCTGGTTGACACGACAATTCAGCCGCTATCTTGCTCTCCTTCGCGGGTATAGACTTTTGTATTCTTTTGTTCAGGATATTCTTTTTCTTGTCTTCCAGCACCCTGGGTTTTACGCATTCTCCAACATGCTGGGACTATCATCGATAACCGTGCTCCTTGCGTTGGCTACTCTGGCCATATCGTCTCCTCTCCAGCGATTGGAAGATCACATCACACAGATTGGCAGACGCCAGTCAGGGACTTTTGCCGTCACGGGTGCGACGGGCGGTGCCTACCCTCGCCTTGAGATTCGAGATATGCAAAAGAATGCGCCGCTGTGGAATTTGTTTCTTGCGGCTCTGGAACGGTGGCAGGCGGTCGATCAGGATGACAAGACTTCCTACTTCCAGATAGCCGGTACGTGCAACTTTCCACATCAGCCAATGTGGCACAACTTTCGCTAAATCTTCTGTGTAGCTATCCATGGTCAGCCATTGATACCCTGGGATGGCGTAGGCGCAACAGGTAGTAACCAAGTGGGAATGTGCCCACATGACTCCAACGTGTTTGGAACGTGGCATCGTGAGTATATCTGAAAAAGTTATCATGTCACAGCTAATGATGGCTAGGTCCTTATTTGGCACTTCTCGAAGTATGTACAACATGATAGCTGGAAAGACCTTTGGGACTAACATTTTCTCCCTTTCGCAGCAACTTCTTCAAGTACAGGCTTTCAATATCGCAAACTCTCTTCCCGATGGCGACACCAAATCCAAGACTCGTGATCTGGCAAACCAATTGCGGTTCCCCTATTGGGACTGGGCCATGAATCCGCCCAATGGAGGCCCTATCCTGCCAGACTCGGTCACTGCCCAGACTGTAACCATTGTGTATCCCGATGGAACGAAAACGAATCGACCGAACCCTCTCTTTCAATACAGATTCCACCCCCTGAAAGCCAATTGGTTCGGTGGTGCATACAACAAATGGGACCACACTGTCCGAAATCCAGCTGACGTCAACAACGTTCAAAGTCCTAGCAACAATGGCGAAGCCGAGTCCAAACTGCAGCAGGGCCATGCCAATCGGCGTAGCTCACTCTACAACATTCTGACTCAGCATCAAACTTTCAATCAGTTTTCGAACCATGGAACAGGAAACTCGCCGATTGGTAATCTAGAGACCATCCATGACGGAGTACATCAAGTCTTTGGCGAAGGGCACATGCAGTACCTCACTGTGTCAGCATTCGACCCAGTCTTCTGGCTCCACCACATAAACGTAGATCGCTTGATCACGCTCTTCCAGACGGTGTACCCCGATACCTGGGTTGAGCCATGGTCGCAACACGGAGACACTTGGGTGTACAAATCAGGCACAACCCTCAACAGCGACTCAGCACTCCTCCCATTCCATGCCTCCACCGACGGTCTATCAGCGTGGAATTCTGCAGCAGCAGCAGACTGGACCCGCCTCGGCTACACATACCCAGAACTCGTCAACAGACCCTCCAACGCAAGCGTACGATCAGCAATCAACAAGCTCTACGGCAACAACCAAGCAGCCCAGAAAGGCATCTCAAGCCGAAAGCGCAACGCCAGCGGCAAGACCTACCTCGCCGCCATCGAAGCACCCGTACAAGCCCTCGACGGCCCCTACGAAGTCGAAGTATGGCTCGGCCCAATCGACGGTAAAACACTCGGCTATGGCCCATCATCATACGTCGGCTCCATGGCCATCCTCGCCACTCCCGGCATGAATATGAACAACGTCATCCGCGCAAGCGTGCCGCTCACCGAACGCCTAAACGAAAACGGCATCGCCGGCATACTACCCGACCTGGGCCTCGATAGCATCCTATGGAGCCTCAAGAAGGAACTGCACTATCGCGTCATGCAAAAGGGAGTGGAAGTGCCAAAGGAGAGGATTCCAGGCCTCAAGGTCGCTGTGTTTAGCGCAGACGTCAGTCCTGCGGCTACCGATGAGGACTTTCCCATCTGGGGCGATCTGACCAAGCATAACGACATCACGGACGGTTGGTCGGCGTGGGATGATGATACTTGATGAGGAGGACGGGTAGATGTAATGTTGAAGGCTTGAGCCGCGGACGCATTTTCTGTTATCGTCTGGAACTTGGGGCAGTGTATCTGGTTTTTGCATAGGGAGCTGCATGTAAGAAGATTGAGTAAGTTATAGACGATTGGCCGGCTATATAGAGAGCCTGGACAGGTTTCATTATTAAATGCTAGGAAGCTTTTCCAAATTGCAATTGTATCACAATCTTATATGTGAATCCTATGCATGTAAGCGAGAGTGATTCATTCTTTACACTCATATGTATCTTCTTCGCAGCCAGATAGCCAAATATATATCAACATTCACCACATGTGTCCTCTCTACTTGCCCCCATCCAACAACGCAGTCGCCGCCTCAATCTTCTTCACAATGATCCCCACCCACTTCTCCGCATTATCCCAATCCCCAGCCTCAATGCTCTCCACCAAGCCCGGAAACGTCGCTCCGGCATACCCGGTCCAGATCCCGGGCGCAAAAACGACATGCTTGAACCAAGACCTTCCGTCGAGCCCTTCCTCGTGCAAAAACTGTCTCTCGAGCGTCTTGTATTTTGTATTCACTTTGCGGGTGAGGTAGTACAGCCGGACACGCTCCCACCATTTCCACGCTGGCGGGGGGTCCTTGAGACTTTCGCCGAGGTCTGCGGCGGATTGGTCCAGTTTGACAGACGCAGAGTAGAGGGACGTCAGGACTTGCTCTATCGGCTCGAAGATGGACGCGTGCTTGGCGGGGGTGCCTTTCTGCGCAGTCTTCTTGGCGCGCTCGAGATAGCCCGAGAGTCCGGTTGCATACTCCGTTGCGTTCAGAGCTAGGACGGGCGTCTCGACGAGTTTCGCCGCGAGCAGTGCCCAGACACGTGCGATTGTGGCATGGTACTGGAAGCTTGGATCGCCGAATTTCTGCATCCAGGAGAAGGAGTCGTAGTTTGAGTGGTAGTGATACACGGCGCTGTGTTCGCCTGGCTGGAAGCCCATGTCGATACTGGGGATGCCGGCGAAGTCCTGGAATGCGGTGAAGTCGGAACCGCTGCCCATCGTGGCGATTTTACCATCCCAGAGATCAGCGAGGGTCTGGTTCACGACGGTCTGGTTGGGTGACTGAACTTTGCTCAATGTAGAGACAAAGGCGGTGTTCAAGAGCGGCGCGGAGGCGACGTGAAGATGTGGTCCGGATGTGCCAACGTCAACATTCAGGTATGCGACAGTGGAGGTTTGGAGCCAGGGGAGGTATTCTTCGACCCATCTGAGAATTGTTAGCCTGTATATAAGATGTTTGACAGCTTTGACACTTACTCAGTTGAGCCAATGAGCCCATATTCTTCGCCGTCCCAACTGGCGAAGACAATGGTTCTCAGTGGCTTCCATCCGGCGTCGAGTGCGGTACCAAAGCTTCTAACGACTTCATTCATAGCTGCTGAGCCACTGTTCGGATCGCCAGCTCCACCAGCAATCCATGCATCTCGGTGGTTGCCAAGCACAATAACTTCGTCAGCTATCGTTCCGTTGATTATACCTATCACGTTCCATAGAGGAGTGATCTGATAGTCTTGCTCGTTGGACAAGTTGATGACAAGATCATCTGGCGTGGGTCCAATATTGTAGTCCACACCTTTGTAACCGAGTCCACCGCCTTGCCAAAATTTATTGAACTTAGATGCCTTGGGTCCGTAGCCATTGAGCGCCTTCAATAATGGTAGAGCTTCTTTGTACGAGATTGGAAGAGACGGGATTGAAGGGATGGCATGGTCAACAGGTTTACGCTCAGCACCGGGGAGAGAAGGGTAACCAGGTGTTGTTGGATCACCAGGGGCCATGCCTGAAGTTGTTAGATCCTGAGGTTTGCATCTTATTAGACAAATACTGACTCAAAAATTGAACACTTCCTCGCTGGACGCTACTTTCCTGTCTCGCAAGACCATGTGGGTAAGGCTTATCGCCATTCTCTTCTGTAACGCCACCGTCATCACCCGGGTCCGTATACATAATTACTCCAACCATTCCGAGCTCTTGAGCACGTTTGACTTTAAGTCCCCGAAAGACGCCTCCGTATCGAGCAAGAGCAATCTTGCCACTGAGAGTGACGTTAGCATCAACGAGGTCCTGGTAGTCGTAGACGGTGCCATAATTCACGTATACATAAGGAGCCGTAACGTTTCCTGAGGCACTATAGCCGTGAAATGTGGGAATGCGATCCTCCAAACCGCTTGTACTGTCTTCGTCAAGAACATCCTCTTCGAGCGTAGCTTCAAATTTGACTTCCCAAGAATCTTTCTTCTCAGTAGAAAGACCATGCTTCTTCTTGCTCTTTTCCAATAGAGCCAGTCTGTGTGCGACAGGGTAATTTAGGTAGCAATCATAGGATACGATCTTACTAGCTACGCCAAACTCTTCCCAGCGGTCCTTCGTCCAGACTGCTTGTGAGAGATTCTTTCCTGCCAAGTGCGGTCCAGCAGTGTAGTATTTACTCCACTCTTTCGCCTTCTTCGGGTCGGGTATATCGATCAGGATCCCTTCAAGCTCCTCATAGCTCAATCCGCTGCTCTGAGGCCATGATTGGGGTATGTGCTTCGATGACCCTGGGAGATACGGTGAAGGCGTATATGTACCATCATCAAGATGATCGGGGAGGAAGAGACCGAGGAGAAGAGAGGCGAGAACGAGGATAGGAACGACTGTGAGCACTAACGAGCAGAATCGACGGAGAGTGTGGTGAGAATATCGCGGTGTCGCGGGACGGATCTGGATCACCTGGATCAGTGGGGTGCGTTCGTCAGCCATGTCGAAGATCCCATCTGCTTCAAAAGAGGCCTTTTTGCAGAGTCGGAAGACTGGAGGAGCTCGTCCTCGTCCTCGTCCCGGTCCACTAGCACACTATCGATGTTTGGATGCGGTGCGCGGCACCAATGACGTCGGCCGCTAGCCCCACTTCCGCCCGGGCGCCCGTTTCAACCAACTAGGGGGAGTGAAGACGGGTGAGTTGATAAGAATACCATACTAAAACAGATTTCATATTCTATATTCCATAGATCATGCACTTTACCCCACTCAAACATAAGATAGGATTCTCCCTTCATTCTCTGAGTTGCCGGCAAGGGCTGCTTACATCCCAAGCCTCAGAGCCGACATTGGTGACCATATGCGATAACGGTAGTGATTGAAATTGATTCCCCATTTCGTGGTCAGCAAGGCAACACAAGATTGTATCCACCAACAGCACAGTTTCAACGGTGATACAACCCATGTTACGCGTATAGCCAACGCCAAATGTATTACGGAATGATTACTATGCGTTTCCTCGCTTCTTCTGCCCAATCACCCCCAGTCAAGACAAATCCTAGATGCAGCATCAAACAACCATGCCTTGCTCCTCTCGCCCAAGTCCGCTCGGTAGCAGGCTTTAGTAATCTTATTCTCCAAACGTGTTGTAGAGATAGCCCACAACGTCGTGCTTCCGGAGTATCCTGTGGTCCGATAGCTCATTTCCAAGCATTGGTAAGTGATGTGTATACATTCTTGGCTTGCTTTCGGTGGAGTCTGCTCTTGGGACTACGAAGATGAGCGGTGAGATCAACTAGAGAGAATCATTGTACTGTAGGCGGAGAAGTATTCTGTGGTGAGTTGAGGACTATAAATGCAGGATGCCCGTGGTTATGATCTGGTATCAAAAAAACATAGCTAGCAATTATCCTCACTTTTGCGTCTATAAAGCCTTCAAGATGACTATTTCCGCTCTTTGTATCGCCTTGACGGCTGTCGTTGGAATTGCCATTGCCGATGGTATTTGCTCCCGTGCAACGAGGTTTTGAGTCTTGCTAATGAGAACCAGCCGTGCCGTTCGAAAGGCTGGATATCAACAATTCGGTGCGTCACAATAGAATAGAGGTTTGATGCTCAACAACGAATAACCACTCTTTAGGTCCTCTTGATTGTTGATGAACAGGTTGGCCTTTACCATGTGGCCAGGGACTTTGATCCAACCTTGTTTTACAATAATATCCTCGCTCATTCAGCCATTGGAAATATCTTCGACATTCCTGTTATCATGACTACCTCTGCTCAAGAAGGTAAGTTCTCTCCTTCGCATCCAAAAGACAGGTCAACTAATACTAGTATAGGGCCGAATGGACCAGTAAGCATATACATTCAATGCCACGACAATCACTCATGTTCCCGTAGTTGCCGAGGGAGATTCTCGAGATGTATCCGAATGCTCCTCTGATACGCCGCAACGGAGAAGTGAATGCTTGGGACAACGCCGAATTTCGCGAAGCCGTCAGAGCTACCAATCGCACACAGATGATCGTTGGTGGTATCGTTACCGACGTTTGTACGTGAACTCATAACATATCCTCATGTATGCTGTTGACCCTTTTAGGTACAAGCTTTCTCTCCCTGTCCCTTCGCGCCGAAGGCTACAGCGTTTGGGCCAATGTCGAGGCTTCCGGTACAACTACTGAGCTTCTTCGTGATACCGCCAACTTGCGAATGCATGCAGCTGGCGTTCAGCTGGTTTCGTGGTTTGCTATCGTTATGGACTTGATGCGTGATTGGCGCAATCCTCCAGGTACTGCTGGCATGCTTCCAGTGATCGAAAAGTACTTTCCAGCGTATGCATTCATTGCGAAATCCCATGGAGCTGCTGTCCAAAACGGGACAATAATTGACGGAGAGCAGCAGCTTTTGTAGACAACATATGCTGTCTCTCGGACTACAGGTTTGGCCGAGGACCACGACAGGACCATCATAGTGACTTTGTCTTGCCTTACTTTCGATATGTTAAAGCACTTCGGGTTGTCGTAGTGAGCTAGGGCGTATCTTCAAGTCGATGTTGGGAAGAAGGGCCGCCTACGTTTTCCTTGGTCGTTACCTGAAGGTGTGTGGCTTTGCTTGGGTCGACTTCGTTTCTTATTCGTAACTGTTGACTTGAATACATGCTGCTCTGTGCTCAATACTTGTGTCTGGTGCGGAGATCGGTCTTCTTTGACAACTTCTTTAATCGTTTGTCGAGATAAGCAAAGATCAATGTGACTATTGAAAGACTGATCGCCCGCGGGCTGTGGAAGGGAGCATATGGGACAAGTCCAAAATTCATCTTTAGGTGACGAGGGCGGAGATGATTTTACAACCGTAGCCTTTTTTCCAGCAGCAACGCGATGCGACAATTCCCAGGCACTTTTCGGCATATGCTCCTGTTCGTGCTCTTGGCTGAGAGATTCAAGCTCGTTCATCTCATCTTGTCGTTCCTGCCGAGCTGCATCTTCAAACTCAGTGTCAGGCCATACCTCCCATGCTCCATCTTTGTCGACATTCCCATGTGCGATATTGTTCGAAGGACATGATTTCATTTTTTTCAGACCAAAGAAGTCTATGCCAGCCTTCTTTGTGCTAATGAGATGCGTCACGCGTAATCCCATGAGTCGCAACTTCATCCCAGGAAAGTCTTTCTCGAGCTTTGCAAGCATTGGTTCTGAATACTTATACAGATCATCAGCTAGGTTCACCGCTCTTGGAGGCTGGACTTGTCGGGTAAAGACCTCATAAGTGTGCAGCTTGACCTTAAGACATAGTGTTCGTCCTCTATATTGGGTTCTCTCCAAATCTTTTTGGAGTTCTTCCGCAGTGTGGCGCAGCTTTTCTCTGAGCTCTGTCTTGTCGCCCATGTCCCGAAACGTGCTTTCGGTTCCAACGCTCTTGCGATCGGATTCGTCAGGGGGCTGAATCGTGGTCCTCCCGAGACCCAGGTAGCATTGCATGAGAAATTGAAAGGCTTTCTCACCAAACAGTTTCGAAAGATACGCGCGGTACTCGTAAATGTCGCCTATTGTGTTTATCCCAACTTCTCGCAATTCGCGTTCGAAAACCCGACCGATTCCGTTCACTTTCCGGGTTGGAAGGTCGCGCATAAAGTGCATTATCGTACTTCGGTCGCTCGCTACTTTGAACTGTCCATTGGGCTTATTCATATTAGATCCAATCTTGGCCAACTTAGCATTCGGTGCAATACCAGCAGAAACCGTAATTTTAGCATGTTCATGGACCTCCGCACGGAGTTGTTCGACGGCATCCCAAGGGGTCATATCATGCTGCTGACAATATCCCGTGATATTCAGGTATGCTTCGTCGACACTGGCACTTTCAAAGTTTGGGTCGTATCTGGAAATGACCTCACGAACCTCCTCAGCTTTAGCGGAATACTTCTCAAAGTTGAGTGGCAAGCAAATCAACTCTGGACATAATTTCATAGCAACAAAGCCAGCCATGCCACTCCGACAACCAAACTTTCGTGCAGCATAGTTGCAAGTCGTGAGCACACCCTTGCCAACCGCAAAGGGAACGTCCTTGAGATCTGGCCTGTCCAGCTCTTCCACGGCCGCATAGAAAGCATCACAATCCAAGTGTACAATATGCTGCGACAAGTCTCGCGATAGCTCCAGTTCAGTAATATAGTCGTCTGCTCTGCGCAGGTCGGAGGTCAGGTCTAGGCGCTCGAGCTGTCGTTTTTTAGCTAATATCCTACTGATCTTGTCCGTCAACGTCTTATCTTTTGCTTCTTCATTGTTGAAAAACTTCGATCCTTTAGACGCATTGTAAATGACTTCTGATACCTGGACTTGTTAGTGTCATATCGTGCACAGGGCTGGACTGGATCTACCTTCTTCTGATCTACAGAGTCTTGACCAGCCTTGGTCAAGGATGGTCCAAGGAGGGAATACTTCAGAGAGTGATGCTGGCTTGAGCCCGGATGGGACCCATCTACTGCTGCCTGGTTGGCTGCTTCTTCGGATTTCACTTCGCGATCATGACCCTGTCCTTTAGCATGTTTGTCCGTCATACCGTGGTGGTCTGGAACATTTCGATATACAGACTGCTCAAGCAGAATGAAGGAATGCTGCTGTAAAGGCTTCTAGGATCCTTGAGGCTGCAGCGGAGGGTCTTGCGGGGATGCTTGGTGACGCGCTTGCAGTTTGCAGGGATCGCGTTTCGCGTGTACCAACAAGCAAGCTAAGTGACAGGATTAGAAGCCCTAGTCTCCACAAGGTTTGAATCGGATTAGTATGTAAACAGACAAGTTAGATCAAGGAGGCTTCGACTACTTCATGTTGAAAACCATATAGACACAAGCGGATACTGTTGACCAACACAAGACATTTGTCGTTCCGGGGTCTCAACAAGTGTGAACAATATTGCCAAGACACCAGCAAGCTTCCCGCAGCACTCCTACCAAGGTGCATCCGCCGCAACGACGACGACAACACGCATATCGATACGCATGAACCCCTCCTAATACAAATTCGCCGACCATCCACTCTCTTCGCTCCATCAAGTCAGACTCAGACTCTCGTCAAGACACGCCTCAACCTCCATTGATACCATCTATAGCGTTTCACCGCACCCCCACTCGTTGTTGTGACGACCCATCAGACTTGCGGAGGACGATTTGACCGCCTGTGACCAGTTGAACATCGATATGGCATGTTACCATTACGACTGTAGCGTGTTGAGTCCATGATAAGGCCCAAGAGTTGACACAATGCCTCCCGAACGACAAAATAATGCCAATCCGGCGCGCCCATTGATGCCAACGCTGGCTTCATCTAGGACTGCTCGGACTCCCATCACACCACGCCTTGCTGCTGCAGCTCAGCCTACGACAGGTGGTATGCGGCGGAACGACAGATCAGACATAACTTCAGCGCCGAACACGATACTGCCGTCCTCGTCCGTAACACCAGCAAACAAGAAATCCCTCAATAGTAACATTACACCCCGTTCTTCCGACCGAAGATCACGCGCCGGTAGCACTCAGTCAACATCCAACGATGCCTCAATACACTCTCCACCGATGGCCAGTCGGCCTGTATCAGGATTCGATGGTTACAGGAGAGATACAGGGAACAGCTACACCGGCTCAAGCTTAGCAGCAGCAGCACCAGTCGGTGGTGGAAGATCTCGCAGTGTCATAGGCCCTGGCAGCGCGCAAGCCGGCAAAATGAGGAGCCGCTCGCCCCATTCCACCTTGTCTGGGATCGCTGGATCCGAGTCGGGCGCGCGAGAAGATCAGTCGATGTTCTTCCACGCCGATGAAGCAAGATCGCAACGTGCTGCGGTAGCACCCCCAGTGCCGAGTGCACCAGTACAGAAGAAGCCTACATTTTTCTACGCTGATGGAAGGAGGGAGACTGGCTTTGTGGAGCCTGTCGGGGTTCCGTCGCCTCCTTTGTCAAGTCTAGGAAGAAACAATCTTTCACCTCCGTCACAATTCTTCCTGGCAAGTGATGCTCCGGTTTGCAAGCCGAGTAGTATACATCCCGCGGCGTCTCCCCCTTCCGCTCTTCCCGAACCCAACATACAGGCTCCACAATCCAGAGCACTGGCTTTGAGATCACCTTCGCCGGAGAAAATTAACATCCATCTGTCTTATCGCAAAGGCGCATCGCAGATCATGAGACCGAACGGCCACCGACCGTCGCCCGTATCGATCCTATCAAGCGAGCATTTGACTAGACGTCGCTCGAGCACTGATTCTCCTCTTGCAAAATCTTCGCATGCAAAGACCAGTAGCTTGTCCTCGATTGATTCCATCAACTCACCTCCTCGTCTACACGAAGGCAAGGTCGAATCCACCTCACCTACAACACCACTAAGAGCTAACATAGCCAAAAATTTCACGGAAAAAAGTACCGGTCGGCCGTCGTTGGACTCCAACTTGTCATTGCCTAGCGAGAGTCAGGTGGCGATGTCTGAGGACCATGTTTCGGGGCCCCAAAGTCCGACTGCACCGTTGCAGAGTGGAAATAGTCTGCAAAAGATGAACGAGCTTGCAGCCAATGCTAGGCGTGAGAGGAAAGTACTGGATCTTGAGATTAGCAATTCGTCCCTCCTTGCTATCAATCGACAATTAGAACGAGAAGTTCGAAAACAGAAGGCGGAACTACGACGTTATAGGCGACTAAGTCGAGCGGGTAGGTTCTCAACTAGTACCGCCCGTACCTCGTCGGGCGAGTATTTCGACATCGATGACAGCGAGAGCCTGGACATATTAAATGAAGTCGATGAGGATGCGGAAGAGGATGAGGATGAGGAACAGTCTTTGAGCGAATCATCTGCCGAAGATGAAGATTTATCGCCCGATGCTCTTGCTGAGCGCGATGCACGACATGCGTTTAAAGACGAAAAACGATTGCAGCTCGATCTGTCGAGGCATAAAGAACTTTTGGTGGACTCTCAGAAGATGAACCAAAGTCTAAAGCGTTGCCTGGGCTGGACAGAGGAGCTTATTGCTGAAGGGAGGAAAGCGCTGGAGTACAAAGTCAAGGTTTCAGACGTAAAACTTGGTGGTCGTGTGCTTCAGGCAACGGAGCATGAAAACGACTACAACGATGATGACGAGGAAAATGATCCTACGATCGGTTCTGGTGGAGCTCTGTTGAGCCCATGGATCCCGAGTTCTGAGATGCAAGAAGATCAGATAAATGCTTTATTGACATCCATCAACGCGGCTCGTACAGATCGAGATAGTGGTATCGAACTCGAGCTCCCCCAGACCCGAAAAGACCAACTAGAGCTATCATAAGCTGCTCAGTAGGCTTTTTTCCACGACAGGTCTTTAAGATCTACACCACTTCCACAGACACATCAGGTTCGCTTTCCTTTGTTAACGCAAACAGCTTGACTCTTCGGGCTTGCAGGATCCTCTGGCGTTGAGTAATGAGCTGGTAGGGGACCACGAGGAAGGCACAGCTGGACTGGAGCGATCATATTACGGGTGAACATTTTTCGAGGCATAGTTTGACTCATGGCGGAACCACTACCTTTGTTTGTTGCTTGTTGACCCTGTACAATTTGGCCGGTACATTGAACGCACCCATACCCCATGATACCCCCTATTCATAGTCTATCTCTTGATAGACCAGTCAAGATTATATAGCTGACGGTCTGTACATAGTCACTCTACTGTCAGAGCAATAGACTGTATAATTTACTCAATCAGCGCTGATCGTGAAATCGGTAGATACTGGCTGGCTGATTACCATAGCGTGCGTTGGTTAATTCGCATGCCTCTACTTCCTCTGATTCAACTCTTCTGGGAACTCAGCCACCACCTGGCATCTACCAGCTGACGTCATCCGGAAGTGCTACTTAGCCACCTTGCTAGATAGATCTTCAGAAGAACATCATACGAAAGGAGCTCGCAGATCGCTTTCTCACAACAGTTCCCGTAGTAGCAGATGCACAGAATCAAAGGATGGGACAGAACCTATCCGACCACCCTCTAGCCATTCCAGATAATCGTCTTCAGATCTTAATCAACCAGATCAAAGACTACCAGATAACTCATGGCTCTCTAATAAAACTTCTGCCAGGGGTAAATAATAATGAGGAATCGCCTGTGCAGTCTGTTCCAGTCGGTGTTGCAGTATTTCCAACTCCATGGCCGCGAGAGCTGTTCGAGCGAGCTACGGAGATTCAGCAGGCCTTCAATGAGCTGTACATACGGATTTCGGAGGATCCCAAGTGGTTGGGCGATGTACTAGTAGATCTACGACGATCGGATAGTTTCACACAGAAGCTATGGAGAATATGGGAAGCTGTGAGCGAAGAGCAGAAGGGCGAGGAAGGCCGCACGAATCTAGGCATTTTCCGGAGCGACTACATGCTACATGATAGAAGGGGAGACGGACAAGAGCTCGATATCAGGCAGGTTGAATTTAATACCTTTTCCGTGGCCGGTGGTACGCACGGGAACATAGTAGGGAATATGCATCGGCACCTTTGTCGGACTGGCGCGTTTGATGCCGAAAACACCACGGCAGGCAAGACGAACCAGTGCAAGCTCGAAAACCTTCCAATCAACGACACCATCAAGGGCATAGTCGCGGGTCTGAAAGCCGCACACGAGGCATACGGCCCAGCAAGGAGCTCAGATGTCTCAGCAACGGCAATGCTTATGGTCGTGCAACCCCACAATATCAATATCTGCGATGAACGTCCACTAGAATACGCACTATGGGACCAGAGTCCCTCTATACCCTGCTACCGTGTCGTCTTCAGCGACGAAGTTTTGGAGCGAACCTCTCTCACGGCCGACAAGCTTCTTCTGTACCACCCACCGCATACCGCCCAGCCCGTCGAGATCTCAGTCGTGTACTTCCGCGCCGGATATGACATGCACGAATACACCGATGCCGGCATCAAAGCCCGATACCTACTCGACCGCAGTCGGGCTATCATATGCCCCTCGATCCTGAGTCATCTTGCGACGTTCAAGAAGGTCCAGCAAGCGCTCTGTGTGCCTGGCGCTGTGGAGCGTTTTCTGCCAGACGAGAAAGCTAGGCTTGTGAGAGCGACGTTCAGTGCTATTCTGCCTATGGACGAGGAGTCTAGGCTGGGCCAATATGCGAGGGAGCTTACGCAGGATTCCGTGAGGGCAATCGATTACATCCTCAAGCCTTCTCTCGAAGGTGGCGGGCATAACGTGTATGGGATCGATATTGTGCCGTTCTTAGCGAAGGTGCATAAACGGAGATGGGCGCAGTACATCCTCATGGAGTGCATACGACCGCCGAAGATAGACAATATCTTGTTGACTGGGAGAGGCGTATATCAAGGACCAGTAGTTAGTGAGTTAGGCATGTTTGGCACATGTTTGTGGATGAGTGATGTTGGCGACGGCGTCGAGATCTTGCGAAACGAATGCGCGGGTTGGAGCTTCAAGACGAAGGCTGCGGACGTTGACGAGATGAGCGTGGTAAAAGGATATGGTTGCTTTGACTGTCCTTATCTGACTGTCTAGTTCAATCACCATCCTGAAATCTTAGTCGACGAGATCTCAAGATGCGCCGTTCGTATAGGCTATGCACAGCTATAAATCTGCATATTGGCCCTGGAGCAGGCTATGCTTCTTCCATTGGGATCCGTAAGTATTATTTAATAATGATCTAAAGAAGCCCTCCCTCGCCCGTAGTGCAGATGCCAGTTACAAAACAAAAAAAAATAAACAAAGTGCATCGAAACGAAGGTACGCCGAAGTCGCGAAATGCAAAACATTGGGTCTAACCGGGATTTGAACCCGGGGCCTGTCACATTAGAAGACTCTAAAGAATCCGGGAAAAGAAACCCGAAGCGACAATCATACCACTAGACCATTAGACCACTCATGTATTCAGCATTTGGCTCAGGAAAATTATAACTGTTGATAAAAATTGCTTTCAGAGTGGGGAAGAGTGACCAGGGTCAACCAATGAGTCTTTGCTTAGAGCCGGGTGAGACCCGGCTAGTTCTCCACAATTTTACAACTTCAATCCACGTCGTTCGTTGCAACGTCGGACGTCAGATGTCCTCAGTCTCTTTCTAGCAATGTCTGGCACCGTGTGTGGTAGAGTACTCTACTAAACAAACGACCTCTCTTGGGGAGAATACTTGCTGTCATTCAGGCCTTATCGCCTTGGTGCATCTGTCACTTTATATCCTGTACTAGTATCGTCTTTCATACGTGTCTTATGATTTCACCGTTCGTTATATATGCAGTCACTAACAATATCCAAAGACATTCACCATATGTCTAGCTCCCCAGTAATATTGCTAGAATGCCCCATGAGTCGCCCTATTCGTGGCTGCCGTTTGATCCTAGATTGTATAAGAGCAACTACGCTGGCGGCATCACAACTCATAAAAATCTTCTTTGACCTTCTTGGACTCAAGACCTCCGATGATATGTACCTTGGCATCAGGCTGGCGTATGTGCAAGAGAGCTTCTCTTTAGGCTTCCAAGGCTCTTTCAAATGCAACAGAGATTCGATTACTTTAATTGTCCGCGCGATCGTGGATGACTTTTGAAGTTCAGATTGAGAACAATTGTAGAAAGCCTTGCGACCTTGATGAGCAGCCGAAAGTCTTACATTGAACGGGACAATGAAGATCACAGGCGATTTTGCAAAGGATTAGCCACTGTTCATTATCAGGTCGACAAGCTCACTGATGAGGTCGAGCAACTTCGTTGCGTCCTTTCAACGAAAGTGTTGTCCGACTCCAAGATTTCTGCTGAATCCTCGCTCGGGTGTGCTGTGTTGTGTTGGCTGCCGAGACGAATCGGCTTTATGTAACTTTGGAAGAGCTCGTGAAGGCGAAAGGAGCTGTCGTAGGAGATCGGAAGATATGGAACGACTATTCAAGAGCATTGGAAGTACCAGCTTCGGAAGCAAAGGATGTTGTATGGGCGAGCAGTGGTATATTCTAAGACTTTGTAGAATATGCTCTCACACCTTGACAGCACGACTCCGACGAATCCGATGACGATCACGATCACGATTGGGCACTCGATCGATCGCGACCCAGACCGAGGGCGAGTCCAGCAGCTATCGGAGTGCAGGGTCATCGTAGCAGAAAGACTTCCATTCCACGATACAGAAAAAGCTCTGTCCGAACGCGATTGTATGATGGCAGGTAGCTTCCCAGGGAAAGAGACCTAGTAGCGCCTACAAGGCGGCCACTTCCACCCTACCGAACAGCGCAAAATGCCATTGTTTGCGAGCATAGCTTAAGCACGAGCCAGTGAACAGCGAACCGTGGGTAGGCAGCACCCCGCTTGTGTGGTGCCGCTGCCACACTATTTACACATACTTGCTTTACTTGGGGTATATAATCATGTCAACGAGTACTGTTCTCATAACCCCAGTGGGAGAATAGTCTAGTTGGTTAACGACCTGACCTACCACTGAAGCAAAGCACCAGATGAAGGAGCTAAGTATCTGCAGGGGAGCAGAGGCGCGGGTTCGACCCTTGTGGACCTGAGCCTTTTGTATTTTTTCGACTTTTTTGCCATTTTCATAATTTTTGGAGTTTTAACTTGTAGACTGCTTTCTTTTGGGTCTTTGTTATTGGGGGATCCTTTCTAGAGACTGATGAGAGGCTCATTGAATGGATGGAAGAAAGATTGCTTGATAATGAGAGTCTGTGAGGCAAATACATTCGGTTAACAGCGAACCACAACCAGAAAGCACCTATTGTGCTACGATGAAACACGCATTAGTTGCGCGTGGCATTTGCGGCGCGTTCTAGAGACAACGTAGTATATACATGCTCACGCTCGCACTCGCATTCGCACTCCTGAACTGCCCGGTACGCCCGCGGCAAGAACACCCATCCTTCCAGGACCTCCTCGTAGGTAGGTGGCCGCAGCGGAATACCTACCCGACATACATCCTACCCGTCAGACATCCTACCCAGCACTCCCAGCGCACGTGCACCCAAGGCAAAAGCTATATAACCGCCCTTTCCTCTGTCCACCAGTTCTCCTTCCATCATACCACTAAAGGCACCATGGCAACTATGGTATACCGTACAATGTTGTGTCCTTTGGGGAGTGTTGGCGTACAAAGATGGTGTTCTTCCCATGGTGGTGGGGTTCGGTTGTTGTGCGGTTCTTCGGCGTGGGATGGTGGTGATTGGTGGCATTGGGCTGTAGTGGTGGTGATCATCATTGTAGGATTTGAGTGAAGGGGGGTATACGCGTATAGAGCGGAGAGGTGAAGAGGGTTTTGAGGGGATGGAGGAGGTGGGGAGTTGACGCGATAACTAACACTGTAGAGATTAGAGAGTCTAGGTTTGTTCTGGAAGGGAGATAGATGTCTTCCAGGGTAGGATTGCACGCATTTAGACAGAGATGTTCTGGATTTCTTCGCGGTAGGGACTATACATGGAAGGATGCTGAAGAGTGGCAGTTTCTCACTATAGCAAGTTTACCAAAGAATTGGTTACATTGATGACTGTGTTGCTGTCTCCAGATGCGTGAAATGCAATTGAGTTATCAAGAAGTCTGATAGAATTTCGCTGAGACACAGCAAGGCGTGCCAATAGTTCCTGAGCCACATAAGATCAACCTGGTGCGAATAGAACACTGCCATCTAGTTCTGACTGGTGAGAGACACAAGGCTGAGCGTATAGAGTAACTCTCAACACAGCTCTTCGCCGCCAGCTGATAGATGTTATGTCTTCCAAAACCCTCTTTACCTTTCGTCATGAACTGTAACGTGACGTTGAAGTTCCAAGTAGTCCTCTGGAGGAGCGTCGTATTGCTTATGTGGATCCATTCAGCCGCATCTAGGCCCGCAAATCAACAGCCCTGCCGAGTATCCTACACTATTTTCACGTCAGACTTAGTTCCGAGACATTCTCCATACCGAGCTGGATAGTGTGCTAAGCCTTCTTGCGTCGTATATCTCATCTTCGTGATACATGATTGCATCGCACTTGGCGAACATCGGACGAAAGCGATATGCTGGCGAGCATGGATCCTCCAGGTCCAAGCTCCATGACCCTAGATCTTTCAATGAGAACGCATGTCACCAAAGGCACGGCAGCATATTGCAGGTGCACTGAGCCATCGAAAAGCTTTGAACACCTTGCTTCGAGCGTAGCCATCCTCAGGAACGGTAACATTAGCACGGACTAAAACACTGGAGCTTCATGGGGCAACTGTACGCTAGGCTCCATGTTCACGATGTTGTGTCGCTTGAACCTGCAAGTATTGTAGTACGCCATACTTTCGCCTTGCTTATACGCCAGGGTATGATCTCGCGAGGCTGCAAACAGGACCCAACGATCTCACAGGTTGATCTGACGCCAAGTATTGGTAGGATGCGGCTCGTATGACTATGACCAATGGCACGCAGCGTGGTATTGACATCTGGTCTTGTTCACTTGATGGTCCGTGATGGCGGATGGTCCCGTTCCTTATAGGACTTTGTGGATCCACAGGTGAGTATAAAGACGCGATCTACAACTTCACCGTTGAAAAAAAGTGTCAGCAACAAATACCACACAGCACAATTCCAACGAATATCCCAACCTCCACCGAATCAAGCAAACTGATACGCACCATCACCATGCAGATCTTCACCATCGTCGCAGTCCTCGCCGCTGCAGCTTCCGCAGCCTCAGTCAGTCGCCAACCCGGTCCAGTCAACTGCTCGACCTGCAACCTCGACGGCTCCGGAAGAGCATGCCACCCGTCAGCCGCCTGCACCTTGAACGGCGGTGCCGGAGCTCCCAACAAAGCCTACTGCACCTGTCCATCCGGCTTCAAGGCAAACCCGAGAGAAGTCGGCGCGGATCCAGCCGCGCAGTGGCGCCTGAACTGGGCCGGACATGAAAGCCAGGTCTTCGTACGTGAACAGTGCCGATTGTCATGATTTTGAAATGTGCTGACGCGCGAGGTGTTAGGTGCGCTGGGAGACTGCGTGTACCACACCGTGCAACGACGCTACCTGCTCTGAGATCAGCATTAATCGCAACCCGCAATGCTTTGCGTAGGTGTTTTCCTAGGAGTGGCATCGGACGAGTGGGTCGGGTAGTGTGATATCTGAGGCATAGCTCTCGTCTGGTATGGTTCACATTGAGTGTGATATGCTGCTGGCATAGAAGGGCCTGATAGCGAGTGGCGATGAAAGTATGAGATATGGAATGCGTATCATGCAAGGACTTTCAGGAAAGGGCCTTCTGAACCATAACATAATCATGAATATCACATAATCAATCTACTCTTTAGGCATTTTGCAGAGCTACATGAGGATGTAGGTTGGTACTGATGTGAGATTAATGTGATTCTAAACACAGCGTCTGGGGATTTGACGTAGATACTCATTACATGTAGGGAGGTCGTGCTGATGACAGTGTAAAGAAATATGGACATGGAAGAGGAGGTTTCAAACGATGACTGTAGCAAATTTGTTCTGATATGAATGGTGAGATGTGGGCCTACCACTGTGTATCGAAGCATAGAGCTGATAATAGTCTATTCCTTTTGAGAAATGGAATTAAACCAGACTCGAGTTGTCGAAAACATAAAACTGTATTGTGAACCGATGCAAAACAGACTTAGAAGATATGTAGAAACACATGACCGAAGTAGTACTTATATGGAATCTGTAGACCAGTACAACGTTGCCAGAGTACATATGGTCAGCCACTCTGGTGTAGCCTGTTGCTGACTTTACAATAGTAAGCGGTTATTGTCCTGGAACTGTTGGAGTATATAAAATATCCTGCCGTGTTGTGATATGTTCCGAGCTGTGTTGTCGGATGCAATGAATGCACTGGAAATGGCCGCTGCAGCAACAATTCCGAAGGACTGAGTCATTGTCGTGAGTCCTACAGATACTGTGATAATCCGTGAAGAGCGGCCATGGAGTTTCGTCGTGGCTCCTCGCCGTGAAAGAAATATAGGTGAGAGGTTGGTTGTTTGGTGATAGGGGGAGCCGACGGTAAGCGTGCCGATCCACCATCCATGCGTCAGTCGGCGTCGGAGTTAGCGTTGGACCCCGCCAGAAATTACGCAGGGCGCGCGCTAAATTGATATCTCCCTAGCTCAGTGCTATTGATATGTTATCGGGAGCCCCTCCAGCTCAAGTCGCTCCGGTGACTCCAGTCGTACAACACAGTCTTCTTGTCTCCCCCTCTCAATTGACACTGAACACACACCTCATACTACTCTGAACATATCTAGGACTTGTCAAGATCCACATCGACACCTACAAGCCACTCAAACTTGCGAGTAAGACGGTGTAAACAAACGGAGCTCTGCACGCCATGGCAGCATCGTGCCGCGCTGCCAACAGGCTTCGAGGAGCTCTGCTTTCCCACGGACTTCGATCTCGCTCACAAACTTCCCTCATAGCTGTCAATGGCATCCGGAAGGTCTCTGCTGCGGCAGCTGTCAAGGCCGCTATCACTGGACAGTCATACTTTCCGGACGAGCCAAGGGTCCCAATCGTGAAGACTGAGATCCCCGGGCCGAAGAGTACAGAGGCAATCAAGAGACTTAGCCAAGTCTTCGACACCAGGTCACTGAACATGATGGCCAACTACAAGGACAGCTACGGCAATTAGTGAGCGGCTTCCAGGCCAGGATATGAGAAACTTGGCAACTGACGGACTATAGCATCGCAGATCTGGATGGGAACCTACTCCTAGACGTGTAAGGCTAGCATGTCTGTCTGTTATGTTTTCCACAATATCTAACACAGCACGCAGGTATGCTCAGATTGCCTCCATACCTGTCGGATACAACAACCCGGCGCTCCTCCTCGCCGCCACATCCCCTGACATGGCCTCGGCCATCATCAACCGTCCAGCGCTCGGAAACTTCCCCCAGCACGACTGGGCCGAGATACTCGCCACGGGAATCCTCAAAGTAGCACCACGCGGTCTCGACCAAGTCTTCACCGGCGTCAGCGGCTCCGACGCCAACGAACTCGCCTTCAAGGCAGCATTCATGTGGAAGCGGCAGCAACAACGCGGCACAGCCGACTTCACCCCCGAAGAAATCGAATCCTCCATGAACAACAAGTCCCCCGGCTCACCCGACCTCTCCATCCTCTCCTTCACCTCCGCCTTTCACGGCCGCCTCTTCGGCTCCCTCTCAGCAACCCGCTCCAAGCCGATCCACAAACTCGACATCCCCTCCTTCAACTGGCCGCAAGCCCCCTTCCCCCAATGCAAATACCCACTCGACGCCCACTCCGCCGCCAACATGGCCGAAGAAGCCCGCTGTCTCGCGGAAACCGAGCGGCTCATCACCGAATGGCCGCACCCGCCCGCCGCCATCATCGTCGAGCCCATCCAGTCCGAAGGCGGCGACAACCACGCCTCGCCACACTTCTTCCGCGGCCTGCGCGACCTCACGCGCAAGCACAACATCCTCTTCATCGTCGACGAGGTCCAGACCGGCGTCGGCGCCACCGGCCGCTTCTGGGCCCACGACCACTGGGCACTCGAGCACCCGCCCGACATGGTCACGTTTAGCAAAAAGGCCCAGACGGCCGGCTACTACTACGGCGACCACGCCCTCCGGCCGAATAAGCCGTACCGCCAGTTCAACACCTGGATGGGCGATCCCGCGCGCGCGATCCTGTTCCGCGCCATCATCGCGGAGATTGAGCGGCTCGGCTTGGTCGAGAATACGGCTGAGGTGGGCAGGTATACGTATGCTGGCTTGGAGCGGCTGGCGGACAAGTATCCCGGGCAGATTAATGACTTGCGCGGGAAAGGGCAGGGCACGTTTCTTGCGTTTGACAGTCCGAGGCGGGACGAGGTGCTGAGGAAGGCGAAGAGTGTGGGGTTGAATCTTGGGGGCAGCGGGGAGGCGGCGGTGCGGTTGCGGCCGATGCTGATTTTCCAGAAGTATCATGGTGAGTCGAATCTTGTCCTGGGTGCGTTTTAGTGTGGTTTACTGACTGGACGTTTGATGGCAGCCGATATGTTCCTGGAGCGCATGGAGATGATCTTGAAGTCGTGACATGGTGTGTTTGGATGGATGGATGGATGGATGGATGGAGGGGTTTATGTATACGTTTCTGGGGGGGTGGCATGCTATGCTCGTGCATGTGCGCCACACCGGTGCTATCACATCTATGTCCAAACCTTTCATACAAATACAAGACACACAGGATCTTCCATCTACCCTGCACTGTGCTCCAACTCATCCTCCTCCTCCTCCTCACTCGAACGTCGCAAGGGCTCGCTCACTGCTCGTCAATGGAAACAGCTGCTTGTAGAAGCCCACAGCGCCTGCAACGAGTATCACATAATACGCCACCGTCCACCCTATGCCCAAACTCGCATACTGCACCTTTCCACGCGACGTAGCCCCAGATTGGCGCTGTCCCTGCCTCTCGCTCTCCCTCCCTCTCTCCCTCTCCCTCTCCCCATTTACCACCACCACCACATCCTCGCCCACACGGCCCCAAAACCGCGGAAGCCCCATCCAATTACAAAAGCTATGCGCAAGTATCAGCCCCAGCAGACTACGCGTGCGCAAAAAGACAAAGGCGGCGTAGAAGCCAAACAGCGAAGTATACGCAAACTGAAACAGCGAGCGGGCGAGCGCGGGCAGGGCCGGCACGCCCGGGTTCGTGAGGCGGAACTCGTAGTAGTGGTGCACGTGGGCGATGCCAAAGTAGAGCGGCGTCAGGAAGACGGTGCGGAGAGGGGTGATGTGGCCGAGCAGGTGCAGGGGGATGATGAGCGAGCGCCAGATGAGTTCTTCGGAGACGGGGCCCTGGGGTTAGGGTCAGTTTGTCAGCCAGTCAATTAAGTAGGCAGGCCAGGTTCCCGCGTCTTCAAGAACAGAGTATACACACAGCAATGTAATTCCGACACCCCACCCAATCAGCCAGCACGGCCTCATACAGCGGCCACCCACGGATCCAGCGCCTCCACCCACCTTCCACGACTCCAGCCTCGAAGAGCGGGCCGGCGAAGAGGATGGCTGTCAGCAGCAGCGTCTTCGCGGCGTCTTTCAGCGACACGGGCCACCAGCCCAGTAGATTGAGTGTGTCGAGCGGGCGGGCGTAGGTGTAGTGCTGGACAGCGTAGATTGTGACGAGGGAGGCGACGAGGCAGGAGAGGGAGACGGCGCGGATGCGGGCGCGGATGGAGGAGGGGGCATCGCGGGAGAGGGTGGGCGAGGGCCGGGTGGCGGGCGAGAGGTAGAAGGGGAGGATGTAGATGAGGGTGAAGAGGACCTGTTGATCGTGGGTGGGTTAGTGTTCATTTCTTTTGTGTGTTGTGGGTTAGGGGTTGTGGAATGAATGGATGAATGAATGAATGGGAGTGACGTACTGATATCAGGGCGGCGGACCCAGGGGACAACGCGGGCTTTTCTGTGCGTCAGTCAGTCAAATGTTAGCGTCGCGATTCGTAAGGAGATATAATGAATTGAATTGAGAGCGTGGTGTTTTGTGTATGTGTGTGAGAGGAGGAGTAATTACCGGGCTCCTTTCTGAAGGCCGAGACCAGACGGTTGAGATAGTCGACAGGACTCCCCATTAAGACTGACTGACTGATGACCTCACTGGGTGAAAGGCTGTCACTGAGTATTACAAGCTAGTAATTAAGCTTCGAAAAAAAAAAGAAAGCGCGGACAATTGTCATGTGACGACGCTGGACGACGGCGACAACGACGAGAATTGACGAGAACGCGACGGAACGGGAAGGAGGCTGTTGAGAGTCCAGACTCAACGAGAAGGAGCAAGACGTCTTTGGGCACCTGCACCTTGTCCGAATGGGGAGAGCGCGACAGACATCTCTACGGAGCAGTCGCATAGTTCTTGATCAGGATAGGGACCGGTGGTGTTATCGTTATCCGTCCACTGTCGTGTCTTTTATCGCGCGCCTGCTATTTTTGGACGGCGCCGCAAAAGCATATTAAAGCATCTCACACTCGTCATGTCCGCGCGCCGTGACCGATAGAACCTGTGATTGCATGAGAGAGGAACGGTTCGGAGTACTACGGTGGTCGTTGCATGAAGAAAAGAAAGCAGGATGCACAGTTGCTTCTGTTGCGGTCTTGTCGTCAGTCTGTCTAGATAGACACTGCGCAGGAGTAGTGTGAAAGTGTCAGATCAGGTACGGCGTGAAGCGATAGTGTGATCATCAAGACACAGAGATTATATGACTTGAAGAGAGGAGGGCAGCAAGAACAACTACAACATAACAACTGCAACATAACGACAGCCAACACTGGTGGGCTCAAACATTGACCCGGCGCAAAGTCCTGAGAGCGGTGTGCTAGCACTGTATGTAGCTAGACGCCGTTGAAAGGAGGCTTGAAGCTGAGATGAAACGTCCCGCATAAAAAGACGTCAGCTAGTCACTAGTTCCGTCCACGAAGACGCGATCCCCAGGGGCAGTTCACGATGGGATTTGCAGAGCGAGTGTGTGCCATGGTTCGCAAGTGAGATGTGGAGAACAAGCCTCAGGGGGGGAAAGTCAGTGTGCCAGCTTCCAGAGCTTTTTATGGCACACGACAGAACCATTAATGTTTCGGTACCAAAGCGCAAAGAGCATCAAGGACTCCAGACGATTTGTTTCATCGTGGGCGCCAGTGGAGGGTGGTGTGGGTTGTGTATGTGGGTGTGGTAGAATAAGCGTGAGGAGCGTGGAAACGACAGGCAGACAGGAGGAGTGAGAGAATGTCAGCTCGATGCATGTATGTGCTGGCACTCAATTGACCACAGTAATACATACTGCTTAATACTATTAATATTATTGTTACCGATGAGGATGGGAGACGAGGCATGCAGGAGTGAGGAGAAGGGCGCGACAGGAATGAATGAATGCATATTGTTGATTCAAACCTGAACGAATCAGAGATGCAGCCCGATGGGGTTTTGTGGCATCGGCGCGCTGTGAGTGGCCAGAGCGTGACGCAATTTCGTTAATGACGCCCGCTAAGCCCAGCCAGGACTAGCGGTGTCGCGCACAAGCATTCCACACGCGCCTCAGCAAATCTCTTTTTACGCGTTAGAACGGCGGTTCAAGTCTCCTGGACCACAAACATTTGCTGGAATCTCACCGTACACTACCAACGACTACACACTTTACGCGGTACATGGTACCAGACCATGAGGCAGGGCCCGTACGGCGCCCTCGTCCACATCACATGGAGAACCTTCTCTTGCCTCTTGACTCTTGAGTCGTCTTGAGCCTTGACTCTTGAGTCTGAGAGCGGAGGGAGAGTGAGTGTATAGTAGTAGTGTAGTGTAATAATAGCCCAACTTGTTATTGTTGTTGTTGTTATCGTGAATTGTAGCATTCAGACTAATTACTACATCATCTCTCAAAAAGGTTCATCGTCCTGCTTTCATTATGCCCCGATTCTGCCATCCAGAAGATCCTTCTTGACCCCCCGAAATTGACCACTGTCCCCCATAACCCCCTCCCTCCCAAAGGAAAGGAACCACACAAAATCAATAACCTATCCCTCACCGCGATTTGCAAAAGCACCGATATCATCTGCAGCGCCAGCCAGTCAGACGGCCTCTCTGCAGTGCCAGCGACATACAGCATTAGCCCATTCCACACGCCCATACCAAATCTGCCACTCGCTTGGCCCATCTCGTCAATTCTCAATTCTGCCGACGACCCACTCGTTACAGCAGTCGCCCATCCATCCCACCATCTCCTCTCCATCCTCAAACCCTCAATCCTTCACCACACTCTCTTTGTCGCCATTTTTTGGCCAGTCACTCTTTTGGACTCTGTGTAATTCTTTCCTCCTTCTTTGTCGCTCTTTTTATCAACAAAAACACTTCTTATGCCCTTTCACGAGTCTCTCTTTCAGCCGCCCGTTCATTTCACCGACGACTTTGTTAATACTAATGCCTTGAGGAACCTGCGAAAAACCCCCCCACGGGACTGTTCTTTGACTTCCCATCCACCTTCTCATGACCTTTCCTTGCTGCCTGTACCATCTCCTAATTCCGCCATGTCTTCCTCGTCAGAAAACGAGAATCCTTCGCCGCTGCATACGAAGCCGGTCCTGCGCATGCCGTCGCCCCGCCGCAGGCCTCTCCATGACAGATCAAACTCTCGGAACAACGACTGGGCCGGACCAAGTATCCGCATGGTAGACGACCTGGATGTGACGACTTATGCGAAGACGCCATTTCCAAACCATCCCTCTCAAATCTTAGCACCGCGCAGAGAGCCGCCTGGTTATGCGTTCGGGGACAGGGGCTCTGGCGGTGCTCGAGTTTCGGATGCTAGCTCGGCTACTAGGGTTCCATCAACGGAAACGAGCAACCCCACGGAGGACTTGTATCCCAAACCACTACAGTTGCGCAAAGGCCAGCGGGGTTCTGGTTCGGTATCAAATTCAGATGTCGAGAGCGTCACGGATGCGTCGCCATGGACACCTGCTTCGTTCCGCTTGTCGCAAGACGTCAGTCCCCCGTCCACACCAGGCGTTGCACGAAATTCCCTATTACCACCAGGCGGCTTAGACATCGTCAAGGAGGAGTCGCCGCCATTGCCACCGCAACAGGAACAGCAGCCTCTACAGACTCTACAGCCTCTGCAAGACCAGCCCACGATACGCGCCGTTCACCCATCAAGCGCTGCTCCTTCACAACCACTCACCTCGGCGCAGTCAAAAGCCTCTCTCACTTCCTCCACCTCCACCGACACTCTTGTTCTTCACTACGGCATCGAAGAGCGCAGTAATTCCTCAAGTTCTGACCTTGCCTTTCCACGTCCACCTTCACCTGTTCGACAGGCCAAAACACCGACATATGCGCAACCACGTGTAGCGAAGCGGGCTTCATCTGCACTACCAGCCTCTCCTTCTCGACCGAAGATTAACCAATCATCCGACTCTCTGGCCTCTCTGGATTCAAACTCTTCGGAACGCCCTCGATCATCATCTGCGCCCGTCTGCGTGCCTCATGTTTCTTTCACTGCGGGAACAGAACGCCCGAGTGTTGTTCAGTATCCGGTAGTCCGGGCACCGCAATCGAGCGGTTCTTGGGCGCAATCCTCTCAGGCTGTACCACGTCAGAAATCCAAGAAAGCCTCGCGAATGAGTGATCGGTTTTCGGGCCGGCCCTTGAACACGCAGCTCTCCAACAATCCTTCAGCGTCTGGACAAGCATCCCAATCATCGCAGACACGCCCGCAGTCGAATGTGAAAGTGCTGAGCTCAGTCCCGGAGCGCAAGCCTGTGCCTCGTAGCAGGGTTGTAGAGCAGCCATCGGCGGAGTCACTGACGGTGCCTCAACGGACACTTTCGAATGTGCGACCGCACGACTGGAGGGATTCGGATGAGCATCATGATGTAGTCACGGAGCTTCAATCGCCGCCTCTCAGAAAGCAGCGTTCTGGCTACTTTAGCAGGTTCTCGTCCGAGTCACGGCCCAACTCATCACGTGGCAGCGGCTCCAGACCGAGCTCGTCATCGTCGGATGTTGCGCACTTTATCGCCAACACGATACCTGCTTGGGCGAGATACTACTACCAGAGAGGTGAGCGAGGCGCCGACTTGGCCGTGGATGGTGACTGCCGAAGAGACTCGGTGCACAGCGAGGGCACCAGCGTCAGCAGCGAGCCCAACTACCGTGTATGGCGTCCACGCACCAGACCTCGGCCAGGTGATGAATCGACGGATTCTCTCGCCATCTCTGAAGCGCGCGTGGAGCAGGAGGCATATGTGCAGGGAGGACGTCGGCAGCCGATGAACGAGCCATGGGCACCTCGTCTTCGACGCGACAAACGGCCAATATCGCGCATCAGTGCGTGGCGAGCACCGTCGTTTGATGACGCGTTCAACTTTCTGTCCTGGTCGCAAGGCAATCGACAGGTGCTCTTGTTCTGTCTTGGCTTCTTCTTCCCCCCGTTATGGATCATGGCCTCGTTCCTCTACGTTCGACCGCCGGAATGCCACGAGAAAGATGCGACGCCGGGCCAGGTGGAGGCAGCAATGGCAGAGCACATGGGGCAGATTGACGAGATCCGGTACCAGAAGGCGCGCTGGTGGCGGAACCTCAACCGCATCATGTCGGTCGTCGGCGTGGCTCTAATAGTAACAATCGTGAGTGTGAGGGCCTGAAAGTGAAAAGCAGTATCGTTTTGTTTAACAATTCGTACAGATTGTCCTTGCCATATTCGCATCGCGGGCTTGAAATACGGGCACAAAATATTTGCAACATCAATGTACACGTCCCCAAACGGGTATCTACGATTTTCTTTTACACATAAGTTCAACGTCATCTACGAATTGTCGACATAACACTTCATGATGTCATGACGAGGCCCTACGCCACTACACTCATTGTTTTCACTATACACTTGGCCATCCACGCTTCACGATCGATTGCAAGGAGGATGCGGATGGGCTCTTTCTTGGATAAACTCTACCGCAACACTGCGACACCGCGACACGCCCTCTTCACTATCTCATCTGTCGACTATGGACAGACAGCATGTCTGATGATGTACGCCACACTCTGCTTGCGTGTAATGTGAGCAGCAGATATGACAGCATCAGATGTTTCCTCTTTTGTCCTTTTTTATCATCATCATCCATTTTTTCCTCCTATTTTCACGCGCACCGAAACTCACGAAAGAACATATCCTGCTATTTAGCGACGTTTTTGGCTACAATTGATGGCATGGCATGAAGCATTGCATTTTTAGCGATTCCGAAAACGCCCCCCCCTTTTTTTGTTTTCCTTTTTCCTTGGTGGACGGCTTTTTTTCCAATATGTGGGCGAGGATTGGTAACGAAGGACTGTTTGTGTGGGTGTTCCAGTTTGGCAGCACCGCACATCAGACAGACGGACAGACGGACAAACAGCAAAGAAAGAAAGAGAGAAAACCTGTGGGCTCGCGGCGATGCTCGGTGCGGGGATTGAATTTTGGCACACGGGCAGCGCGACGACCCTGGGAGGGGACTCGAAGAGCATTTGAAACTAAATACATATGTACTGTAAACTACAAACGTTGTAATAAGAGCACGGCGGACGATGTACCCTCCTTCGGGACTGGACATCGGCATATCCGTAAATAGAAACACGACTTTTTCTTCTCTTCACGGCGATCCCGTTCGTTCATCCGTCTTTTCTGGATATTCTGAAACAGAACCTAGCTAGCCGTCGTAGACAGTGCTGACGGTTGACCCGCTAAACTGATTAATTAGTTAGCCAGGCGGGCATGTAGACGAGGCGAGAGAGGAAGGGGAAGAAGAAGAAGCGCTCGTTTTCGGCCGGTAGGTAAAAACGCGGCTGTGTGTGTGTGTGTGTGTGTGCTACTGTAATGATTCACCCAAATAGAAAATAAGAAGTGGGCCGTCTTTATCTGTCTTTGTCTGGTCTTTGTCCCATCAGGCCGTGCATATCCGCGCATGCATGAAGGAATCGAAGGGAGGGAGGATGTCAGCATTGCTTGGCGGGGCGAGGGATGGATTGGGCTTGGCGGTCTTGGCGGTCTTGGCGGTCTTGGCGGGACGGTTATAGGTACAGGACAGGGCTATCTTTACTGTTAGGTGTGATGGTGCCTGAGTGAGCTGAGGTCATGTCAGCCAGTGCCACTGGATCGAGATGAGGGATGGACTGGAGGTTAACTGGTCTTCTGGATGTCTTCCCTTTGTGACTATATCTATTGATGGCCGAGCATACCAAGATCCATGGATGGCGTTTGAGTTGTGCCAAGCGGGCGACGAGAAAGTATGGCAGAGAGAGAGTGAATAACAATGGATACCAAGATATACCTGCCTCGACTAATGACCATGGTCTCCCCGTCGTACCCGCCATTTAACCCGTCACGAGGCAGGAACGGCAAAGATGGATGACGAAGCAGGCAACATGTCGCGTGCCGTCCATCTACCCCCTTTTTGCTGTAATCAGGGGGTTTGTTGATTCATAATTGGATAAGCAAGTCAGCATCTCTGAGTCGCGTGGTTTATAGATTATGCGCCTGCCTGCATACATACGCATACGTACATACGTACATACGTTCCTTGTCTTTATTGCCTTTCTCCCACATCGTTCAAGGGTGCCCTGCATGTCCCCACACACGAAAGTGAAGGGGAGGGGGGGGCGCTAATGCAACTCCACCAAACCCGTCTGTATGTGCACGGATAACGGGTGCCAAGTGCTTCAGGAAAACACCTAGTACTACGATGTTATGACGCAGCTCCGGGCAGCCAGCTGTTCGGTTGCGAGGGTAGGGCTGTGGAGACCGACCTGTTTGGCTGTGATTAATGAGGTGAAGCTGAATCTGAATCTGATGCTGATGCTGACGCACCCCTTGTAGCACCAGCAGCGACGAAGTGCATTCCCCCATCAGCATCAGCATCCGCATCAGCATCCCAAAGCACTATCTCTGGCTTGCCCATCCATTCTCATTCGCACACATTCCTGATCCCATGTCCCCTTCCCATTCCTCCAAGGTGACAAAGGAAGGGATCCACGCGGCCTGCTCGCTCCAATTTCTCCACTCTGCCTTCCCTGCCATATCTCATAAAACCCTCACCATGTCTCTCTCTCTTCCTCGCTCTCTCTCTCTGCTCCATCCTTGCTTGCTCCCTTTTTCTCTTTTCGAAATCCGCATCCCGGCTCTCTTATATCTTAGCTTTGCCGTCGTCTACTTTTTCTGTAATCAGGAATACATTTAACTTCTCTCTCTCTCCCTCCTATTCATCTCCCCGTCGACAACGACCCCGTCAACAGGATACCTTAATCGTCTTCACCTCTGTTACAAACGAACATACTCAAACAGTACCCTTAACTTCTCTGTCCTCGGCTTCGTGGCCATGAAGCTGCTGCAATGCCTCTCCGTGCTGGCTTCCTCTGCCTTGCTGGCTCGTTCCGTCTTGGCCTCGCCGGCAGCTTCACCTCGACTGCCAGATACAAAAAATACACAAGCTACCGCATCGAAGCGTGAGGAGAATCAGGAAAATGAAAAAAAGGAGGACAAGCCGTCTGATCCGAGATACTTTCGTATGCATCCCTGCTCTGCTGCCCCGTTCCGTTCTTACAGAACTAGTGCTAATTCCTGATCCCTAGATGAGCCGGGGTATGCCAGCACTGTTTCCCCCCCTCAGTATCTCTGCGCCACCTACAGCAGCAGCAGCCAGCCCAGCTAGCTAACGTTTGTCTTCTTTTAGTGGTAACATGTATCTGAACCATTACGACGTGCGTTACTTCAAGACGCAGCAGGAATACGATGATCGCGTTCAATCCCTACAGCATATGATGCGCTCATACCTCATCTTCTTCCACGAAAAGAATCTAGAGACCTGGATAGCCCATGGCTCGCTCCTCGGCTGGTGGTGGAATGGCAAGGTCTGCCTCACATGAAGCATTCTCACAGCCCCGTACTGACCTCATCTCCCAGATGCTGCCGTGGGACTGGGACATCGACACCCAGGTGCCCGACCAAACCCTCTACTACCTCGGCGAGAACTACAACCAAACCACATACCAGTACCGAGCCGCCGGCGAGGCCAAGATCCGCAACTACCTCATCGACGTCAACCCACACTTCCGCGAGCGCGAACACGGCGACGGCGCAAACTTCATCGACGCCCGCTGGATCGACATGGACAACGGCCTCTACATCGACATCACCGGGCTGTCCGAGCTGGACCCCGCGACCAAGCCCGGCGTCTGGTCCTGCAAGAACTTTCACGATTATCGCACCGCGGACATTTATCCGCTGCGTGACACCTTTTTCGAGGGTGTGCCGGCTCGGATTCCGTATGCGTATGACAAGGTGCTCTTGGATGAGTATCACGAGAAGGCGCTTGTGGTGACGGACTTTGAGGGGTGAGGATTATATGCCTGTAGACAGTGTATTGCGTCGAGCTGACTGTCTTCTTCTAGTCATCGCTGGGATGCCACGCGACGGGAATGGCTCAGAGTCCAGGACCAAGCCGTCACACCACGCCACGACGGTCCCCATCTCGGGTCCAAGGCCTTGCGCCGACGCGCAGCGCCCGAGCAGCAGCAGCAGCAGCAGCAGCAGCACTCGCCCGCAGAGAAAGCAACCTGAACACACCGTCTACTAGCAGTCTTCCACTAACACTCGCGCTACAGTTCCCCGCCCGCCAACCTACTCCCAGCCCTACCCGGCGGACGGCCCAAGACAGACGTACAGACAGAGTGGTGGATCACAGTCGCGCAGGAGTGCTTCATCATCATCAACGTCTTCTTCATCGGCATCTACTACGGCAGCCGGCTCCCCTTTGCCATCCACATGTTTCCCTGCATCTCCAGGAAGATGCGCAATCGCTGGCAGCGATGGCTGAAGAAGACGGTTGGTGCGGCGGGGAATTGGGCTACGGATCTGCTGATTGGGCGTGAGGCTGGGCCGGAGGCGGAGGAGACACGGGAGCGTGTGTCGGATCATGGTGATGTGGAGACGGGAGCTGCGCGTCGCGATGGACTTGAGGAGATTCCCTGTGCTCCAATGCGGCCGGCTTCGCGAAGCTCGGCAGATGCGGTCCTGTCGAATCCTGATGCTGTCGACGACAAAGGCCTGCCAAAGGTGGATGGTCCGTCAGACTGCTACTATGAATACGGCTTCCGCGACTTGAGCGACGGCAACGGGGGCGTGATTCGGCATGAGCCAAAGCAGCGTCGCGAGACGCTTTGGAGATATGGCAAGTAGACAGTAGCCAGGCGGCGCAAGCCTGGGCTGTCGATCTGTCATTCTCTGTTCTGGCCTGTCGTGTGTCTTTCTTGTCTTGTGTGTCACTTTTTTGTTTTTGGTGGTATCAGTCTTGTGTTTTTTGGGGGGTTTTTGGTTTTGGGTTTGGGTATGGAAAAGGGTCTTGGATTAAGCGGGTGTTTTTGGATAGATGGGAGTAGGAAGGAGGAAGGAGGAAGATGGAAGGAAGAAGGAAGAAGGAAGAAGAAGGGGAAGAAAAAGAAGAAGAAAAGGAGGACGAAGAGGAAGAAGGTGAATAATATGCTTTTTTGCTTCGCTTTTGACCTTTGAGGGGTCTTGTGCTGTGCTGTGTTGTCTTGGTGGTTGTGCGTGCTTTGTTTACTGGGGTTGGGGATTGGGGGTGCAGGGTTGGAGTGCTTTGGATTATTGATCAATGTGTCTTGAGAGCGGGCGGGTCGGACTGTTTTGGTGGCGTTGGATTGATGTGGTGGTGTTGGATTGATGTGGTGGTGTTGGATTGATGTGGTGGTGTTGGATTGATGTGGTGGTGTTGGATTGATGTGGTGGT